CCGCGGTCGACTACGTGGGAGTCCAGCGACATAGCCGTTACGCTAACTGCTGGTTCCCCTGCCCCCTGATTTTTAAAAAATTTCTTGTTAAATTCCCTGTGTGAAGAGAACAGTTCAGTTTTTTTTTTTTCTTTTTTCTTTTTTAAGTTTTTTGCCACGGGATGTGTGCATTCACCAGGAAGAGACAGCAGAAAACAGTACCAGTGCCCATCAAACCAGTCATAAACAGATGCATCAGAAGAGGAAAATCAGGATATTGGGCACACACACACACACACGCACACGCACTCAGCGTGATTTTCAAGCTGCCAACTCTGGGACTCAAACCGAGGTCAACCATGTAGGAGTCCAGCACCTTAACCACCAACCACCTGCCAACCCCCAGGTCACCCTTTTTAAAGTGACTGTGGCTCGGTAGGGCGTGTTAGGCTAGAAACATCATCAACCTAGTTTCTTCCCAAACGAGGTTAAGAACACTAAGATGAACTGGAGCCATCGAAGGACTGCGTCCTAGAGAGTGGTGACAGACACAGTAACCGGAAGGCTTTCACAAGGGACAGGGAAAGACTCACCCCCTGGGCTGGTGGTTGATATTTGTGACAGCCAGCCAGCTGCGTTTATTGACTTAACTCAGCAAAAAGGCCTGCTTGTTATTATGACATCAGAATACTCCTCCATAGTAAATAACAGACCAGGGGCTTAGAGAGGGGGTTGGGGTGGGGGAGCTGACCAGGAAGCCAGAAGCAGGCATACCCCAAGAAGATCCATGGTTACTTCTTTTAGTTCAATAAAGTACGTTTACTGAAGAGAGTATCTCAGTCCAGGTTCCAGTGATGGAGAACTACACCTTTGTCCTTCACATGGGTTAAGTAGCAACTCCACCTCCTAGCTGACTTGTTAGGAAATACTGTAACAGATGTCAGCTGCCTGCAGAGCAAGCTGCCAGGTCCAGGACTCGAACCATAGTTGGCCATATGGGAGTCCAACACCTTTCACCACACCACGTGTCAACCCCGCCTGCATGGAATTCTTTGTTATTGTTAGTTTACACTGGGGCAGTGTGCTTGCCGGAGAGTGGAGAGTGAGAGACAGAGAGAGAGGTGAGGAAGCACACTTCAGGAGGGATGGCCACACCGCAGTCCCTTCCCCTCCCTTCTCGGGATTTGGGGCACGCATGCACATGTGCCCAGCCTGCTTTTCAAGCCGCCAGTCCCAACTCGAACTGCACAGTCAGCCATGTGGGCTCTAGCCGCCTCACCACCACACCACCAGCTGGCCCTCAGTACTCGTTTTCAAAAAAGGGAAGTAGAGGTTAGAGGCCGGAGAAATCACAGACCTCACGGTGAATGGAACTTTCTCTTAGGCCAGCCCCGCAACTAACAGAGCATGTCTTCCACTTTCCCTGTACGTGTCCACTGGACCCGGCTTTGCCCCGTCCAAAGTGGAGTTCCCTCCCGAGGCCAGCTGCTCTCTGCACAGGAGCAGGGGTCCCTGGGAGCAGCTTGCCTGCCACTTCCTGCTCCTTGGGGAGCCTGATGCCTCTCTGGGGCCTCAGCCTGGGGGGGACCTGATCCTTCCGGAAACTTCCTCTGGAAGTGCTGTTCCCTTGGCCGAAGAGCTGATTTCCCCTCGATACTTGTATAATTTTAGCTATTTCTACATTAGAAAAAAAGGCCTTGCTTTTCCTGGAAGTTTATCCAGTTGGAAACCATGTTTACAATTTTGTTATTCGCTCCTTTGATACATTTGTATTGATACTTTTGTGTTTCATTGTAGGAAGCTGAGGCACTGTTCTCAGGCCGCAGCCTTGGGACTCAGTGATGGCGCACTCCGGATGCAAATTCCGGTGTGTGTCGCACTCTTCAGGGAGCAGTCTGACTGTGTTTTCATTGAGTGGTGCTCAGAATCATCCCCCCCGCCCACCCCAAGAGATTTTTGCTATAGGGCCTGTGTACTCACCGGCAAGACAGAGAGAGGGAAAATGAGAAATCACCCCCAGGAGGTTGGCCACGCTGCAATCCTTTCTCTTCCATTCTCCTGTAATCTTGGCATGCACACACACACATACATACCCAATGTGATTTTTTTATATTTTTAAAGAATTATTTTATTTAACTTTACTTATTTATTTTAATTTGACCAGGGAAGGGACAGAGTGAGAAAGAGAGAGAGAGAGGAAAAGTGAGAAAGCAAGCTGCCAGGTCTGGGACTTGAACCATGGTCGGCCATGTTGGGAGTCCAGCGCTCTTAACCACCATGCCACCTGTTGGCCCCAAGCATTTCCCAGGACTCGAACCACAGCTGTCCATGTGGAATCCAGACTCCTTAACCTTCATGCCACTAGCATGAAGACTCCTGGTATGATTTTGAAGCCACTGAGTCTGGGACTCGAACTGCAGGAGTCCAGTGATGTAACCGCTGCACCATCTTCTGACCCCAAGATTTGAAAACTTACCTTTTTCTTTGTAAAAACATTCATAACTCTTATCAATCAGCTTCTCAGCATCTTCATGAATAGAGCCCATTAGGAATTTGAGAGACCCTTTCTCTGGGACAGCTGGGCACTGAGAAAATGGACAGCCAGCCGCAAGATGGTAGTTGCTGCCACCTGGCTTCAGAGGACAGTGGCCAAGGCACGCGAGCATCTTCTTGGGCTACTGTCCTCTACATGTGACAATGGTGTGCAAGGATGCAGGCACCCAGCAAGCCCCCAGCGGGGTTCAAACTGCTGATGTTTTGCCCAGAGCACACGGGTGGGTGTGGGTCCCAGAGCATCTGAAAGATGAAGATGACCGGGTTTATTTCCACGTACGCATTGCATCCAGAAAATAGTGACCGTAGGTGGCGCTCAAACCTGTCACTCATTCCACTTAAGGGGATTGGGAACAAATGACACTCAGGTTCCATTTGGACTTGGGCATTTTGCTTTCACTGTAGCCAGTTCTGGCTCACTGTATTGGAGAGCAGATCTCGCCTGCTGGCTGGCCTCTCCTGGGACCTTCTGCATTCCAGCTCTGTCCACCAGCAAGGGGGTCTAGTGACCTCCAGGACTTCTGGGGCAAGCTGCTTGGAGCAGATCGCCTTTCTAGGACCAGACAAGCCTGAGAGGAACCACTATATATGCACATCAACTCTTCTGTTTTATTTTGAGAGGTAGGCTCGACATAACCGAAAAACACTGCAGTAAATTCAAGGCTCAATGCAGAAAGCTTTCTCTGTGACCTTGTGCCATTAGCACACTTGCTTAGCCCCTGATCCAGGAAAGGAGAGAGCAAGCATTTGTAGTCAGTTCCGTCTTCTTTCAAGACCTTTTAGCTAAGTATTTTTCAATGGCCAGAGAATATGTGTGCTCACCAGAAACAGAACGAGAGGAAGCACCCCTCGATGAAGCGTGGTCACTCCATAATCCTTTTTCTTCCATTTCTTCATCCTGTCAGGATCTGGGGCATGCATACACATGTGCCTAGTGTTTTGTTTTAGTTTCTGTTTTTTCCAAACAAGAGATTTTCACTCTAGGGCATGTGCGGTCTTTGGAAAAAGAGAAAGTGAGAAATCACCCCTCAGGGGTGCACTGCAATCTCTTCTCTTCCATTCCCCTCTCGGGATTTTGGACATGCATGCACAACCTGGCGTGAGTTTTAAGCCGCCAGGTCCGGGACTCAAACTGCATTTGACTGTGGGAATCCAAGGATGATGTAACCATTATGCAATCTGCTGGTCACACCTGGTGCTTTTTAAGCGGCTGAGGCTCAGACTTGAACCACAGTTGGCCGGGTGGATCCAGATCTTTATACACAGAGCTTACCCACTGCACTGTGGGGCCGGCCCGGACCTTCTAATTACAGGACTAGAAAGCTTTACTTTTTCCAATGAAGCTTAATCGTGGAATTAGTTGTCCTTTTTCCCCCAACAGTTGTTCTAAAGCTTGAATGTTGTCATTTTAACAGTAATTACTGACTGGGGCAGTACAATTCAGTAGAAGATAGTATTTTCCCCTCAGTTAACCCCGAAGGTATTTCCATAAACAGTCATTCCGCCCACAAGCCAATACCCTAGAAACACATGGCTACATTTTTTGTTATGATAAAGCATGTGTCCAAGTAACTATAAACAAATGTGAAGACGGTAATACTGTACTTTGAGAATTAATTGTTAAATAGATGCCTGTATTTATCCAATAAAGTGCTTCCGAAAACCGGCTTGATCCCTCACCGCCAAAATGATACGAAGATGCCGTCCAGGACTGGAGTACAAGGTTCTCACAGGAGAATGACGACTCGTTCCTTTTGTCTTCGACTGTGTTTTCAGTTGTCATCATTTGTTTAAACATTAAATAGCTGCTCTCCTCTCCCCAACCCCATTTTGTAAAATTCAAGTGCGGTTTGGGTTTGTTTGTTTGTTCTTTTTGTCTCCTTACTACTTCCTCCTGGACATCCATACAGTTTGAACATCACACAGCTTGGAAGTGTGTCCACTTATTCAAGGGTTTTCCCCCAATAAACATTGTACATGTATTTTCCTCCTTACGATTTCCTTAAACATTTTCTTTAGCTTACTTTATTGTAAGAATATAGCGTACAATCCACATGATATACAAAACGTATGTCAGTTGACTGTTTATGTCATCGGTAAGGCTCTGGTCAACAGTAAGCCATCAGCAATGAAGTTCGGGGAGTTAAAAGTTATATGCAGCCTAGCAGGTAGCATGGAGGTTAAGGCACTGGATCCCATATGGCTGACCATGTGCTTCAAGTCCCGGATTTGGTGCCCTGAAAACACACTGGGTACGTGTGTCCAAATTCCTAAGAGGAGACTGGAGGAGAAGGGACTGTGGTGTGACCACTCTCCCTGAGGGGGAGGTGCTTTCTCATTTTACCTCTCTCTCTCTGGCTTTTTGATGAGCACATGTGCCCTATAGCAAAAATTGGACAGAAAAAAAAAGTTATCCAAGGGCAGATGGCAGTGCAGTGGGAATGCAACTGAACCCACTGGAGGTCCTGAGTTTGCATCCCAAGGCCTCCCTGTCCACACCAGGCATGTGTGTGAGCTGGGCTGGGAGAGGCTGGGGGTGGGCACAGTGTGAGGCTTCTGTCAGGGGTGCTGTCTCTCTGCCTTTCTCATGGAAGAAATTAGTCATTTTAAAGTAAGTTACATGTGCATTGTTGACCATGCAAGGATCGGTGTCCTGGCCCCATGTCCTTCAAGGGTCAGCTGTATGCTACTCATCTGCCCAGAGAGGTAGGCCCTGTTCTTCTCTCTCTTTTTCTTTCTTTCTTTCTTTCTTTCTTTCTTTCTTTCTTTCTTTCTTTCTGTGGTTTCTGCTCTAGGGCATGTGTGCTCACACAGAGAGAGAGAAAGTAAGAGAAAAAGTGAGAAGTCACCCCACACCCAGTCCCTTCTACTCCATTCTCCTCCCTGGACCCTGAGCACACACGCACACAAGTCCAGTGTGAGTTTCAAGCCCCTAGGTCTAAGACTTGAACTGCAGTCAAGCCACATGGGAGTCGGGCACCTTAGCCACTGTGCCACCTGCTGGCCCTGAACCAGCTGTTGATCGTCTCAGAAAGGCTACTGTGAAACGCCGAGATTTCCCTGCAGAGAGTCTGGGATGATGTGCTTTCCAGATAAACCATCCCAGTAACCTCTCGGCCCATGGTCCCCCAGGCAGCAGGGCATTGCGGCCAGCTCTGAAAAGTGGGGTGTCGTGAACACGGATGATACACCGTGTCCTGCTGCTCCGGGTGCCCTGGTGAAGGATGGGCTTGGAACTCACGGCCCCTATACATCCTGCCGCTCTCAGAAGGGTCCTTCCCTCCCTTCAACAGGTCCATGGTGTGTCCCCAAGAAGAACACAGGGACAAGCCTGAGGAGCCAAATCCTGGCATGGCCACCTGCTCCCAGAGCCACTAACCTCCCTGCCTCCACTTTCCGTTGGCCAAACGCTTCATAACAGCAGCACCATCCTGTGGACATGGGGTGAAATGACACGTCTCGGGACCCTGCCCAGGATGTAGAAAACCCTCATTAAACGCTGCATGGCGGAGAGAGCGCACAGCCGAGGTAAAGTCGGGCTGAAGCTGACGGCAGCGTAGTCAGGACAGACCACTCGTGTTTTAAAATCTGAATTAGACCGTTTATGTTCTAAGACACACACGCACACACAAATCTGTACCAATTAAATACAATAAAGTTGAAAGGATATAAATTACACTTTCTCTTTTTTAAACGGACGACAGTAAACTCCTACAGTCAGCTCAGTACACACACAGATCACGGACAGCAGCTTTTCAGTCGGGTCTCCAACATCTTACTCGTTTACGGACGCTGAGAACGTCAAGAGTGGACCTTCGCTCTTGATTTCACGACACGTGGAGACCTGTACGCCCAACCCGCGGTCCAGGCGTCTACAGAACAGGTACACAGAGGACGTCTACAGAAACCGCCACACATGTAATCCTTCAGGGTTCCGTCTGCAGGAGAATTTTATAAATGACATGACAGCTGGGCCGTCTGCATCGAATCACCTCCTGCAAACACGCATGCCCCGTGAGTGGTATTTAATAGCTCCATCCATCCCTTCAGCATTTTCCAGAAGTAAGCAAAATAACAGCAGAACCACACCACGACGAAAGCTACCGATCCCAAACAAAACCACAAACCCCCCCAGATCAACACCCCACCCTTCCCACCCCCAGCTCCTGGTATGACCCTGTGTTTGCTGGCAGTAAACCGCTGTCTGCCGTTGGCATCCCACCGCCTGGCCATGATGGAACAAGGGGCAGGAGATGGCGGAGACAGAGCCCGGGCCGCTGTCACTGCATCTGACAGTGTCAGGTCAGCAGGTGGCGGGCCAGCTGGAAGACCCAAGAATGTAGCTGTGAGTGTTTGGTGTGCTTGGCCACGGAGGACAGACGGCAGCACGTGGCCTGGTAAACAGTGGCACCAAGCTTGCAGGCAGACACACGTGGTCACACACAGCAGGAGGGGGCAGCAGGAACGTCAGGCTGACGTCGGGTCTTTGGTTATAAAGAACAGCATTCTGTAACCGTTTCTGCAAAGAGGGATTTGCAGCCTCATTCTCAGACGAGAAAGAACTTTCCAGCTGCTCGCCTAGAAGAGAGCGCCCAAGCTGCTTTGTAACAAAGTCCAGTACCTTATGATTTTCCACAAATCGACCTTATCTGCATTTTAGTATGCAGCCTTGTCTGTCTCCAAACAGACGTACTATAGATATACATTTCATATACATAATATATATTATTTATATAAAAAAGACGAATCTGATCCCACGGTCAGAACTGATGAGAACCATACAAGGACGCAGTCTGTTGGTCTGTCGCAGCTTCTCCCCAGGGGGGGACGAAGTAAGTGCAAAGAGAAATACTGTCGCCTAGCTCGTCCGGGATGTTCAGTTCTCTGGCCTTCTGGGAAAAGTGGAGGCTGCGGTTCATCTGAGTGACAGGGTGCCGTCCTGCCCCCTGGGGAGAACGGAGGCGGCCCCGGAGGCGCATGGCTTCTCGGCGCTGGTGTGAGGTCAGGCTGGGCACTGCAGGTGGCAGCAGTGGGCTGGTGCTTTCCCAAGGAGACCAGGCGAACCAAGATGCTGGCCATGGCCCGCGGGCGAAGTGCAGGCTGCCTTCACCGAGTGGTTGTGCCACCCTGCAATGCAGAGGCTGGTGAGTTCAAGTTCAAGCTTGTGGAGCCCGCCTGCCACCCTCCTCCTAGGGGCCACCCTGGAAAGGAACCCACATGACCAAGCTCACTAGGGAACCCAGTTCTATCAGGTCGTTGGAAAAGTCATGACACATTTTTCTATACGAAAGTCTCCAGCCTCACAGCACGTGGTTAACTGTTGTGCACCGAGCGCCAGATCCTCCATGGCGATTTGAAGTTCAAGCTGCACCCTCACCATCACCTGCAAGTGCACCCGTGGTACACTTAGAGAAGCGAGCCTAATTCACAGGGCGAAGAATTAGAGAGGCCTTGCACTCAACCTTGAAAGGCTATGAACATTCTGCTTCAAGATCAGTACAAACAAACTGGAGACGAGTGCTTGTTCTGCTTGTAAAAACAGAGATGAGTAGTTTTATTACTCTTATGTTAGGGGAAAAAACCCTTTTCTTATTATAAAAGACCACTGTTTGCGGGCCAGCGGCTGGTGTGGTGGTGAAGGTGCCAGATTCCCACATGGCCAGTCATGGCCAGAGTCTGGGCCTGGCAGCTTGAAAATCACACCAGGCACGTGTATGTGTGTGCCCAAAATCCCAGAAGGAGAATGGAGGAGAAGGGGTTGTGGCTCGGCCATCCCCTCTGGGGGGTGAGCTCTCACTCTCCCTCTCCCTGTCTGTCTCTGGTGAATGCAGGCTGGGAGGTGCAGGCCCGGTCACCAGTCTAACCTACATGCCAGCACAGCCACTCTGGAGCTGAGGAAGGACGAATGTTGGCTCAAGGCAGGCCTGGACCACAGTGAGACTTTGAAGAGGAGCTGGGGAGGAGCTGGGCAGCCATCGAAGCGACACTCTGAGAGGCCATCCCACAGGGGAGGACTCCCCACCCACACCCAGAGACCTCCCTGAGTCCTCTAGGCACTCATGCCCGAGGTCCTGGGCTGGCTGAGGTCGGGGGGTGGGGGGGGCAGCATCAGGACCCTGTCGGGGTGCTGTCTCTCTCTCCCCAGGAAGAACTAAATGGCGGGGTGTGTTGGCATGCGTCTGTAGTTCTGGCAGGGAGGCTGAGGCTGGAAGACAGCAACACAGCAAGACGTACCAGAAAGAAAAAGGAAACGAAACATCTGAATGAATCTGTGCTCCTCTGCCCTGTGGTGCATCCGTCAGACGTGCTCACGGACAGCACGGAACCGGAGGGCTGCCTCTGGGACCCTTATTACCTGGTCATTCTCGAGCTCGGAGCATGGCCTGCCAGGGGGCTGCGGCCCATCCGGGACCCGCGTGCTCTCCGCCTTATTTGGTCGGTCCCTCCGGCTCAGAAGCGCTCCAGCAGAATCTCTCACACCGTCCAAGTCTTTTCCATCGGCCACACCCATGAACTCTGTGAAGGCATGGTCCTCCAGGACGTCTGTGGTGTGCTCCACCGTCACCTCCCGGGGGCAGAGCTCTCGGGCCGGCCGGCTGCTGAGTCCCAAGCGGGGGCCAGTCCTGCCGGGCACGTCGGCGCTCTTCTCCGGGGGGCTCTGCCACGCCAGGCTGGCCCCGGGTAAGGCACTGTCTTCCTGCTGTGGCCCGGCAGTTACCTTCTCCTGCCCTGAGCCCCGCTCCCCTTCCGTCAGCTCTCTGTGTGGGGACGGTCTGAACTCCGGCCCCAGAGATGGCCCGCCGTGCTCGCTGGAGTCTGCGTCCCTCGTCTGCACGGCCAGCTGATCCGAGCTGTCGCTGGTTGGGACAGCCACGTCAGACAGGGTGGCATTGGAGGCACTGTGGGAGAAGTAGCCGCTGGTGATGCTGCTGGCGGTGGGGCTGCGGGACACTTCCTTCTCCAGGGCCCGCGAGCTGCTCAGATCCGCTTTCGAGAACCACTCCCTACTCTCCAAGCCGGCGTTGTAGACACTGAAGTCGGCAAACTCCACGGGTACGTAAGGCTGCGAACTCATCAGCGTTCTGTTGAGAGCTTCCAGCTCACCCTCCTCCTCCTCGGAGTCCTGCAGGAACGAAGCAGAAGTCAGTGTCAGCTCCTGACAGCAGCCACGGGGCCAGGACGAGTGTTCGACACCTCCCAGCGAAAGGCGTTCGCATTTGCATGTGGGGCGTTCGTTTTTGCCTTTCTGGGTTGGGTTAAATCTTGTTACCTTTTGCAAACACAGGAATATTATCCTCAGAGATTTGTAAATGTAAACCTTGATCACCTCATATGGAGGACATTTATTTCGTCTACACTCACTCAACACTAACTAGAAACCCTTCCTTCCCGGTTCAAGAGAAAGACCAGAACTGAAGTGCAGTGGGTTGTTGGTTAGTCATCCCTCCGTCACCATGGGGACTGGTTCAGGACACCCCTCAAGCCTCCAAGGACACCCAATCCCTCGGGCGCTCACGTCCCATATACGGGACATGACAAACCTGTGCGCAGTCTCCTGCATACTCTGCATCACTCTTAGATTACCACCTTAGTGCCACGTTAGTGTTGCACCAACTGTCTTGTTCTCACCATCTTCACCTTTGGAAGCAAACTAGGCACTTACAATAACTTGTGCAAAGTGTCTGAGCTATTTTTGGAGGGAAAGGGCAGTAAAATAAAGACCGCCCAACAGCAAAAGGGTGAGGAACACAGTCTCAACACCCCTGCTCAGCACTGTGCTAAATACTGTCATGTTGTAAAGCAGACGACCAGCCTGACAAGGGCAGTTTCTAGCACAGCCGAGAAGCCTGGATGGATCTGGCGAGATGGTGAGGCAGGCAGGTACACAGTGAGGTTTAAAGGAGAACCCTCTTCATCATGCTATTTGTGGAACTTGAATGAGTTCTTTTATATTTGGTGGAAATGGATGCATTTTATCATCAAGTAAAATTAAATGATATACTATTAAGTCCTGTCCCCCTTTTTTTTTAAGAGGTTTTTGCTATAGGGTGTGTGCACTTGCCAGAGATGTAGAGAGAGACAGAGCGAGAAAAAGTGAGACATCACCCCAAGGTGAGATGGTCATGCTGCCATCCCTTCTCCATTCTTCTCTGGGGATTTTGGGCACACATGCACACATGCTGGGCATGAGTTTCAAGCTGCCAGGTCTAGGACTCAAACCGTGGTTGGCCATATGGGAATCCAGTGCCTTAAGCACTCTGCCACCTGCTGGCTCCCCCATTTAGTCCTTTCTAATTAGCCCATAAACACCTGATGGCATGGCAAACGCTGCTTTTAAAACATGATTTTATTCAGCAGGTATTCATCGAGTGCCCTCTAAGTGCCAGTCATGGCCCAAGGATTTGAGAAACCAATGGTGAGCAGTCAAGGCATGGCTCCTCCTTGGGGAGTCTAAGTGAGAACCTGGGTCTTGCTAAGAATAATCCTGGACTCTACTTGGGTGGGTAAAACATTCATTCCAAATAGAATTTAGATAACTCAAAAATCATTTTCTTTTTTTCACTAATCATCTAATTCAGCAAGCTAATGAAAACATCTGTATAGGACCAGCAGATGGCATAGTGCTTAAGGTGCTGGATTCCCACATGGTTGATCGTAGTTCAAGTCCCAGACCTGGCGGCTTGAAACACACTGGGCATGTGTGCGTGCAAGCCCAAAATCCCAAGAGGATACTGGAAGAGAAGGGACAGCATGGCCATCCTCCCAGGAGGTGATTTCTTGCTTTCTGTTTCTCTGTCTCTCCAGTGAGTGCATGCACTCGATAGCAAAAATCTCTAAAAACAAACAAAATGTCTGTACAATTATAATTTATACTACTATAAAAACCTGGAACCAAAGCGTCAGGCTTACTTATTAAGGTTGTATTTTAATCTAGAATGAGAGAGAAAGAAGGGAGAGTGAATATATGTACCTGTGTGAGAAGTCATAGTACAGTAGACAGCTGTTTGCTAATAAACGCGTATTTCATATGTTCAATTTTAGAGTAGTATTTTCCTTTGCACCTCATAAAATAGTAAACACCTCAAAAATGTTTAATATACTTCAATGCTCCTCAGTTTAAAAGAATCTAGTTTTAAAAATATATCCTAATATAGGTTATTTAAAGGAATCAGCCATCTTAATTCCTTGTTCACTAGTCAAAGGTACATACTAAGTATTAGTGAGAAAGATCTAGAAATCAGTGGGCCAGCAGATGGCACAATGGTTAAGGCACTGAATTCCCACATGGCTGAACACAGTTCAAGTCCTGGATGAAGTAGTTTGAAAATCACATTGGGCGTGTGCGTGTGTGTGCCCAAAATCCTAGTAGGTGAATGGAGGAGATGGGCCTGCGGAGTCACCATCCCCCTGGGGAGTAATTTCTCACTTTCTCTCTCACTGTCTCCTTCTCTGGCAGGTGCAGGTGCCCTGTGGCAAAATCCTAACAACAACACAAAAAGATCCTGACATTAGCAAAATAAAATGTTTGGTAACACTAATCTCTAGTCTTTTTATTTATTTATTTTTTTGTATCACTTTGGTATACTTTTAATTATTTATATATTTTATTAACATACACTAACATATAGTAATTGCACGTATTTGTGGAGGTAGTATGGTTTTTAGAATAAGAATACTGTGTGCGATGATTAATTCAGGGTGACTGGCACACCCGTCCTTTCAACCACCTGCCACTTCTCTTGCTCTGTGTGTCAGGAGCCATTGTCTTTTGTTTCGTTTGGTTTTGGTTTTGGTTTTGGTTTTGGTTTGGTTTGTTTTTTTGCTATGGGGCGCATACACTTGCTATAGAGAGAGAGAAAGAAGGAGAGATAGAGAAAGAGAAAGTGAGACAGCACCTCCCAGGGGGACGGCCACGCCACAGTCTCTTCTCCATTCCCCTCAGGATCTGGGGCATCCATGCACAAGCACCCAGAAGGTTTCCCAAGCCCCTAGGTCTGTGACTTGAACTGCACAGTCGGCCTGTGGGATCCAGCTGCCCTAACCTCCATGCCACCACTGGCCATGGAGTCAGCCTATCTGTAGCTCCATTTCAGATTAAGCAGCACCGTTAAAAAGCGAAAATGGCGGAGCACTCTTTGGCTGGCTCGGTGGGAGACGTCGGGAAAGGAACGAAGACAGGCAGTCTGAGCTGGGAGCGTCTGCCCACGTGGGGTGACTATCCCTCTAAAACACTTGGCATTGGAACTGTTTTGGGATTCTCATTTGTTTGAATTTTGGAATATCTGTACACACATAATGAGATACTTTGGGGATAAGACCCAAGTCTAAACACAAAATTCATCTTTGTTTCATACACATCTTACACACTTCGCCTGAGGGTGTTTTTGAATTGCAGTATGTTTTTACTGTGATCCCGTCACACAAGGTCAAGGTGTGGAATTATCTCCATGTGTGGCATCATGTCGGCACTTAAAAAGTTTGGATGTTGGAGTCTTCTGGAGTTCCGATGTTTGCATTAGGAATGCTCAATCTGTATTTTCTAGATTCTTAAACATGTTTAAACTCAAAATTGAATTTCAAGTGTATCTGTTTTGCTGTTGTGTTGTTGTTTTTGCTAGAAGATGTTTGTGCTAGCCAGAGAGAGACAGAGAGAGGAAAAAGTAGCCCCCTTGGGAATGGTCATGCCATAATTCCTTCTCCTCTGTTTCTCCCTCCTTTGGGATTTTGGGCACGCATGCACACATTTTTCTCAAGCCACTGGGTCTGGGACTTGAACTGTGTGCCATGAGGAATCCAGTTGCCTTAATCACCAGGCCACAGAGCTAGCGTGCAAGTGTATCTCTTATATTTCCTTTTAAAGTGACAAAGAACCACAGTTCTCCAAACCCAAGAGAACCTGATGCAATGAATTATTATAAAATTATTTGTTGCAAGAAAAACTCAATTTTAATATGAAAAATAGTCTGGGGGGGGGCCTTTCTTATGCCTGAAGTTATTACTTTGCAAGACCAAGGAAGGCCTGTCATTTATAGTGTTGCCGAGTGAACTGTGATCATGAATTTAATGAGTGGAAATGGGTTTAAACTCACTAACCTCATAAAGACAAAAAGTTATTCCTAAAAGCTCAGAGTATCTCCAGTGACATTAGCGTCCACAGAAGGTTAAATTCAAACAGGAAGCAGTACAGGTAGGCACTTAGAGAAGGGAAGTGACCCAAAGACCCAACGGGAAAGGCTAAAAGAGAAGGGGCGGCTTATTCTAGAAAGAAGAAAACTGAGTAGAAATCAAACATCTTCCAACATTCTAAGGAAGACTGAGGGTTCACTGAGTTATTGCCTCCAAGGAGAAAAGTCAGAATTCACTGGGTAACGTTACACATCGAGGGAGCAGGGTTAGGTGGACGTCTTCATCCCAGAAACATCGTTTCCCACTGCATCGTAAAGGAGACTGAACTAAGCACCTTTCCACAATGTCTAAAGGACAAGAATGAAAAGATGTGCCAGCAGGTGGCGTGGCAGTTAAGGCGCTGGATTTTCCCGTGGCTGACCATGGTTCGCGTCCCAGACCCAGTGGCTTGAAACTCACGCCGGGTACATGTGCGTGTCTGCCCAAAGTCCCGAGAGGAGAATGGAGGAGAAGGGAATGTGGTGCAGCTGTTCTCCCTGCGGAGTGATCTCTCACTTTCCCTGTCTCTGTCTTCCTCTGTTCCTCTCTGGTGAGTGCATGCCTTACAAATAATAATAATAAAAATGAAAACCCTTCCTAAAAGTAGAACATGGGGTCAAGGTCTCAAACGTCTTTAATTTTTGGAATTTCACTTATGTAAGTAATGTTTACCTATAGACAAAATGCCTGGATTTTAGGTCAAACCCCACATTCAAGCAGTGACTCTGCAAGGAGTTTCGCTTAATTGATGCAATTTCCACTTCCACTATAACCAAGTCTGGGCTGTCTACCGGAGGGCTGGTCTCTGCAGATCTAAGCCAGCCAAGGCCTCCCAGTTTTCTGTCCATGACACTCAGGGGTGGGCAGCCCTTTCCCAGAGAGTGAAGCAGCGGGGTCCTGGAACCGCCATAACTGAGCACCTGCAGTCAAGCCAGTTCTGCTGAGGCAGGGGTCTTTATTCTTCTCTTTTCATTAAGTGTGAGACCTTGGGCCAGCTGCTCAACAGTTCCAGGCTTTATTTCCTCTGTAAAAGGACAGGAGTAAACCGCATGCCATCTATGCATGGTCTAAGAGCGGGGCAGTGTGGATACTGGCAGAAACGACTTTCTGGGACTGTCTCTGTTTCAGGACTCAGAAAGGACATTGAAGGCATTTGCTGCCTGTATCTTATTTATATAGGACACAGAGCCTGTCTGCATATTTCCTCAAAGGTATCTCACAGTGAAATATAGCTTTAAGAATCAGGCAGTGGGGCCAGCAGGTAGCATGGTGGTGAAGGCACTGGACTCCCACATGGCCAAATGCAGTTCAAATCCCAGACCTGGTAGCTTGCTTTTTCTCTTTCAGTCTCTCTCTGTCCCTCTCTGGGTCAAATTGAATAATAATAATAATAATAATAATATTAAATGAATAATTCTTTTTTTTTTTGGACAGGTTTTTGCTATAGGGTGCGTACGCTCACCAGACAGAAAGAGACAGAGAGACAGAAAGCAAGAAATCACCCCCCAGGGGGATGGCCACGCCGCAATCCCTTCTCCTCCATTCTCCTCTCAGGATCTTGGGCACGCACGCACACGCACCCGGCGTTGAGTTTAAGCCACCAGGTCCGGGACTCGAACCGTGGTCGGCTACATGGGAGTCCAGCGACATAGCCATTACACTAACTGCTGGTCCCAAATAATTCTTTTTTAAAAAAGAATCAAACAGAGTTCTACTTATCATATATTATGTGGAATTATAGAAGTTACCATGGTAATTAGGTGGATTAAAAAATAACAAGAATGATGTCTTGATATTACTTCTCAAGAAAGAGCGCAAACTCCCTTGATAAACAGAAACCGTTGGCTCACTAATTTTTTCAAGAGAAAAGAAAGGGAATTAGGGACAAAGAAAGAAACCAGTTTATATCCATTTATAGGAGGAATCAAATGAAAGCTTCCTGAGAAGCTAGACTCTCAGGTCAGAGAAGCAGCAATGCGCCAACCACCGAATCTCAGGTCAGAGAAGCAGCAATGTGTCAACCACCGGAACACTCGGAAAAAGCGCCCAAGAGGTGAAGAAAGCTCAGCAAGCCGGAGGGGAGAGGCTGCTCTCTCAAGTGGGACCCCAGCAAGAAAATGGCCCCACAACCCTTCAAGTCCCACTGCCGCTGTGACTTCCTGTCCCACCCTACCCTCTGCGAACTGCAAGTCCTCGGCTGGGTCCATGTGAAGATCTTAGAAAGTGAAGAAAGTAGCCGTGAGGCGAGCTCTGTGATCTGGGAACGATCTGCTGGCAGTCCAGTGGGGTCACCCGGCACTCTCTGGCCGTGTTACTGGGGGGTCACCTGGCCGCCTCTGACCGTGTTACTGGGGCGTCACCCGGCAGTCTCTGGCCATGTCACTATGGGGTCACCCGGCCGTCTCTGACAGTGTTACTGGGGGGTCACCCGGCAGTCTCTGGCCGTGTTACTGGGGGGTCACCCAGCAGTCTCTGGCCATGTCACTGTGGGGTCACCCGGCAGTCTCTGGCTGTGTTAAGACTCATTTAAGTTTAGCTTCTATGTACCACAAAGGTAAATGTCGTGTCAACAAACAGGCCCAGTCACAGTCAGTGGTGGCGCCGTGGTAACATGACTGGCCCACGTGAGAAACGTCCTGGGTTCACGTCCTGGCGCCTCCCCGAATGTCAGCATGAGCACCTGTGCCTGTGATTTGGCCTACCTGAGACTGGAGGTGGACTGCGGCGTGTGGACCCTGTCTCTCTGTCTCTCTGTGCTTTCTCGCTCATGGAACAAATAAATAAGTCAACTTTAAGAACAAAACAAAAAACAGACAGGTCCAACAGGCAGAGCTGGAGGCTTTGATGGGGTAACAAAGCAGCCGCCGGGGTATTTGAGCCCACACTGCCCTCCTGGGGACCTGAGCAGGGCAGGAAGGCTCATTAGCGGCCGAGGGACGAAGGCACAGCCGCTGACGGGCTCTTTTCTGCACCAAGCACTGGACGGGCAGGAAAATGGGGGCAAAGTGGTGCCTCTTCTTCCTTCCTCACCTTGGGAAGGGGAAGGCCGAGTCCCAAGCTCTGCGAGCACCCCAAGTAGGCAGGCAGAGGCCAGCTGCACATCGGGACTAAGCTGCACTCGGGACCACGCAGTGGGACTGTTTACGGCTCTCCCTCTAATGGGCCTTGCGCACGGATCTGACACCGTGCAAGTGGGACCTAGACTCCACCCCCGGCCACACAGCGCAGACCACGTGCTGGCAGGCACCAGGCAGCTCCTCTCGCTCCAAGCTGGCTTGACTTGTTCAAAGCCTAGGAAGCCACAGGTGAGCGAACACTGAGACATGAAATTAGAGAATTCTTTCCAGGCTTGAAAATGCATAGCTCTTTTTATATTAAAAAAAATTGAAGTATAATTCATAATCTAAAGCACTTGATAGACAATGTTTTAAATACTGTATCTCAAATTTGTCATTTTCTCTCTCTTTTTTTTTTTGGAGAGGTTTTTGCTATAGGGCACGTGTGCTCGCCAGAAAGACAGAGAGAGATAGAAAGTGAGAAATTGCCACGCCACAAAATCTTCTCCTTCATTCTCCTCTTGGGATCTTGGGCACACACACACACGTGCCTGGTGTGAGTTTAAGCCACCGGGTCCGGTACTTGAACCATGGTCAACTACATGGGAGTCCAGCAACATAGCCATTATGCCATCTGCTGGTCCTCACATTTGTCATCTTCAAACTAAGTGCTGAAAGGCTGGCCCTATAGTCTAGCGGTTAAGGGCGCTGGATTCCACGTAGCCAGCCACAGTTGGAATCCTTGCCTTTGCATCTTGAAAACCCACTGGGGGACTGGCAGGTGGTGTAGTGGTTAAGGTGCAGACTTCCACATGGCCAACCGCGTTTGAGTCCTGAGACACAGTGGCTCGAAACTTTTGCCAGGTGTGTGTGTGTGTGTGTGTGTGTGTGTGTGTGTGCGCCCAAAGTCCTAAGAGGAGAACGAAGGAGAAGGTATTTCAGTGGGGCCACCCCCCCACCCCGAGGAGTGATTTCTCACTTTCTGACTCTCTGTCTCTCTGGTGAGCAGATGCACCCTAAAAGCAAAAATTTCTCAAAACAAACAAACAAAAAACCTACTGGGTGCCCCAGTGGGACAGAGGAACAGAGAAGAGCTGGAGCAACCACACCCCATGGAAGGGTGCTTTCTTCCTCTGTCTCTCTCTGGCCTGTACACACACTCTAGCCATTAAAAAGCCAAAACAAAACGAAACAAAAGCAAGTGCTGAGGAATGAGGTCTTGTGGGCAGAATCTCCACCCACCAAGGGTAACTAACACTCAGATAAGGCACCCTGAAAGCAAGGCCAAGCCCAGGGGCTGGAATATATTTTGCCAGCAAATTAGCCGAAGCTCCCCGACATGGTGAGATGGGTGCGTGGGAGAGGCAGGCTGTGCATGGCTACAAACTACGGGCTATCCTGGCATGGCAGCATCAGGCAGCAGAGACCGGCTCCACACGGACCCCGGCTGGTGCAGGGTTACTTACTCCCAGCAAGTGCAACTCCTCTAGGTAGATTAACTTCAGAATCTGGGCGATATGGACAGGGACATCAGAAAGATTTCAACATTAGTCCAGCTGTGCTCTGCTGCACACTCATAGTACCTTCTCCCCTTACTCTAAGCACACCTCTGCTAAGCAAATACACATGTGAATACACACACCGAACAGAATGGACACCGATGAGAATCACAAGTCAAGGCCATGGTCATGCACGATTTCACTAGCAATGATCACGCTTTTTCAAGGAAGGCACAGACCCAATACACATCTTCATTTCTACAGCGTTTGGATGATTGTGAAAGAGCCTTACACCCACCACCGGGCAATAGGACAGAGATGGTTCCAGAACTTACAATCTTCTTCTCACGTTTGCTATCGTGTTCTAGTGGCATGCAGCTGCCATTGCTTCCTGGGGGCACAATGCAGCCGGGGCTAGGTGCCTGGGGTGGAAGCACGCTCTGCAAAGGTTAAGACACACAGATGCATCACACACACAGACAACGGCAGCAGGTACTTATCAACACGTGCGAGTTAGGACAGCAACGCGACGCTTCCGTCACGTGTGACTAGCGCAGCAGCCAACGTCGCAGGCTACAGTTCAGCTGCGGGTGAATCTGACATGAGTACACAGAGGTTGTGGGCGTAATTAGTTATCAAAAACCAAACAAAAAATAACACCCAAAACACAAAAGACGCAAAGCCTTTAATATGTCTAAAACACTTAGGAAACATCTCCTTCTCACTTGAAAGCTAAAATAGACTTGGAAAGGCCATAAATGCCTAAGAAATGAAACCACAGCATGAACCACAAATGAAACCTTTCACCAGGACCCAGAGTGCCTGAGAGAGAGGCACCTGAGCACAGGATCCCGGCCGGGGTAACCCGCGGTCTGCACGTGGCACCCACTGCACGGCGACCCCGTGCCCCTCTGCTCTGCACAGGACGGCTCAGACATTTACCTCCTGGCTCAGAAGAGGTCTTGCTTCGAGGGCTGTCCTTTTCTTATGCTCCTCTTTGACAGGCATTAGGGGTTTGAAAAACTTTGGTGGCTGAGGAGAGAATGCTTTAAAAGGGCTCACGGTTAAGGCATGAGGGCTCTCGGCTGCACAACCTGGAGGAGACAAAAGGACACACGAGCTCAGGTCCACAGCACGGGCCGACATGCAGGAGGCCGGCCAACAGCCTCGCCCCGGCCGTTTTGCATCTGTGACAACCATGAGAGGGTGAAGCACTGAGACAGGTAGGCAAGGCCAGAGATCAACCTCTCAGTTCAGCGCTGTGGAAGAGCTGGCCAGCGTGCGAGACCTCAGAGAGCAAGCCTCTGCCCTCTTTTCCAGCCCAGCCTGAGTGCCACTCACCAGGCCCGTTTCACCTCATGTACGTTCTCCGTGGCGTGGATACGCAGAGGCCTTACTATCTGAACGAGCATTGGGGCCCTTTTGTCATTTACTGTCCTATTTCTATGACTCGTATTTCCATGGTTGTATTTGCAGTCAGCAGAGAGGAGCTCGACGAGTACTCAGAGAACAAACGTGTGCGTCCTGCTGGAATCCTCTCTGTTTCTCGGGCTGCGCTGCTCTGCATGGCTGCGCTGCTCTGCGTGGCTGCGCTGCTCTGCGTGGCTGTGCTGCTCTGCGTGGCTGCGCTGCTCTGCGTGGCTGCGCAAGGACATTCCTTGCAGGTTCTCATGTCTTACCTTTCGGGCCTCTGTCCAGTTCGCTACTACAGTGGCACTTGGTAGGTAAATATGACACGGCAGAGCCACAGCTGCTGTTCGCATCAAGGCCCGGGGAGACTATTTACGTGATTAAGTGACCACCGGCCAAGCTCATTTCCGGAATCGTTTTTGAACCTGCTTTAGGAGTCAGTCATGTTCCTCCTCAGACTGCCGTCGTTTGAGTATAAAAACCTGACGGAAGTGAATATTCTGCTGGTATAAAACCATGCTGTAGTGCAAGAGTCAGGCACGGTGCCCGGGGAGCTGGATCCCACTTGGTCAACCATGGTTTGAGTTCTGGCCCTGGCGGATTGAAAAACACATAGGCACATGGTGCGTGTGACCAAATCCTGACGGGATGGGGAAACAGAGGAAAAAGTTTTGTGACATGATGACGTCCCATTGGGGGTGCTTACTGCACCCTGTGAGCACATGTGCCTTCTATCAATAATAATAATAATAAATCATATAATGGGACCCGGAGGTGGCATCATAGTTAAGGCACTGGCCTCCCACATGGTCAACTACAGTTCGAGTCCCGGACCTGGTGGCTAGCTTTTTCACCCCATCCCCCACCCCCATCTTTCTAGCAAGCACACATGCCCTATAGCAAATTTAATTTTCACAACTCTTAAAAAAAAAAAAAAAAAGACTCCTGTAATAAGATTTGTTAGTGTGTCTTGAACCTGATCTCAAACTCAGGAAACACTAAATGAACCATGTTTAGAAATTCTACAGTGAGGGACCAGCAGTTACTGTAATGGCTATGTCGCTGGACTCCCATGTAGTCAACTGCGGTTCACGTCCCGGACCCGGTGGCTTAAAACTCACGCCGGGTGCGTGTGCGTGCGTGCCCAAGATCCCGAGAGGAGAATGGAGGAGAAGGGATTGCGGCGTGGCCATCCCCCCTGGGGGGTGATTTCTCGCTTTCTGTCTCTCTCTCTCTCTCTCTCTCTGTCTGGCGAGCGCATGTGCCCTATAGCAAAAACCTCTCCAAAAAAGAAAAAAAAATTATACAATGATTAAAAAAAAGCCTACTGTTATTATCTGGATGCATGTTGGACACAAAAGAGGAAATGAGGGGAAAGAGCACGATGTTCTGTTTGAGAAGATGGTCTGGATCATCTAGCTAACTGGCATTGCAGCTCCTTCTGACGACCACGGATGGAGAATGGTCTGTTCGTGCGTTTCCTGAATAAGAAAGAATCTCACCACTCCCTTCTTTACTCCTCCGAGGAGAATCCCTGGGTAAAGTTCCGTAACACGCCACATCTTGGTAACTGGAGCTGTAGTCGGACACATCTAACTGGTTCTCCAGCCAACCCTACGGGGTAAAAATACGGGTTAGCGCTGGTTAAATCAGCCTAAGATGAGAAATGACGCCCCGCTCAGACTTCCTCCTTCCTCACAGCAGTACGGACTCTTCATCGTTATGACACATTCTAAACACAGGCAAAATGCTGAATGACGTAACAAATACTGTCATACCCAGAGTACGCCCGAGGAGATACACTTCAGTGCCTTACTGCACTTGTTCAAGGTTTAATAAAATAATGAGAAATGTAGTGAAACCCACATTTGAACCTCTGCATGGCCTATTTCCTTGTCCTCCCTCCTCAGACGCAGCCACTTTTATCTCTTGGCCATACAAACAGGGTGACCGGATAATTTAAAGACTAAATTGATAGGCTTTTGAAAGAACAACTCTCCAAAGTTTTACCAAGAATTCTGAGTCGCAGGCAAACATTGGTCTCCAAGCACAGTGGACGGTATGGTAATTCTAGTGTTCCTGAGACCCGAAGGTTTCAAACAGACATACGGTATTGGCATATTGAAGAAAGAAAACTCCTGGTACAGCAGATGAACTTACTCTTTTTTTAATTGCCAGCAGTGGAGCTTGCCAGAGACAGAAAGAAAAAGAGAGAAACCACCCCCTATAGGACATGGTTAGGCCACAATCCTTTTCCCTTTATTTCTCCATCTGTCAGGAATGTCAATCACTTAAGAGCTAGGCCTATAAACACACAGGTATTTATTCAGTCATGTCTGGTATTATCCTGGGTCATGCATGCACACACTGTCACCTGGTGCTCTTCAACTCACCAGGGCTGGGATTCGAACATGGCTGGTCATAAGGATCTGACTCCCTTAATTACTAGGCTACGGGCTGGCCCCATATGAGCTTATTTAATCTCATTGCAACTTCTCAGGACTTAGTTACCTCCAAAGACTAAACTTCAAACTTCTTTACAGCAAAATCTGTGTCCCCACACTCTCTAGCACAGTAATTCATTTCCATGCTCAAGAAATGTGTGCTGAAGAAGATAATGTTGCAAACTGCTCTTAAATTTACTACTTTTTTAATGCCAGAGGGCATATCAGCATGAGAGAGAAAGGGAAAAAAAACACCCCCCAAAAGGGCCTGGTCAATAGCCACCCTTTTTCCTCCAATTCTCCATCCCGTGTGGACCCTGGGTATGCACACATGTGCTTTTGTGGTTTTCAGTTACGGAGGCCAGGATTCAAACCCTGGTCGGTCATGTGGGATCCAGCTTCCTCACACAGCGCTTACGTATTGCAGTATGAGGCCAGCCTGTCCTTCATTTTAAATCCATTGTTTTGCTCATTTGAACTCATTTTGATTTTGCTATGGTGGCTTAATACCTCCTTCAATCACTGAGAGTAAGGCCTATAAACACACAGGCACTTATTCAGTCATGTGTGGTATTATCCTGGTATGGAATGAACGCATCTGAGAAGTAAGCATGTAATACCGAGAATACACAGCAATTTCACACCAAGTATTCGATCTTAAAAATGGAGACATGCAGAGAAGGACTTGCCCAAGACTAAGAAGAGAAGCCCGGGGATTTTAAAAGCACTAAGATCCCCTAATTTCCCAAATTTATTCAACCTTGCCATGCCCACAGGTGCACACCTTGTCATCTTCGTCAAAGCCAGAAAGGTCTCCTCGACTGGAAGAGACCTGTGAGAGAGAGAGTTTTTTCAATGTGTGTTATAATGGGATGCGTTTAAAATATATACATAAATAAATAGAATGTCACAGGTACAGCTGAGGCCTGAATGACCTTCTTCCCTCCCTTGCAGTAATGGCTATCCTCCATTTGGGGTGTATGATTTCCATACATGTTTTATGTAAGTACACGTGTATAGACCCACAAATGACACGCAGTGTTATTCTGTATGTGTCTATATTTCATGTAAGTGGTGGCTTACTGTACACTGTCTTCTTTGGTGGTCTAACAACTTCTTTGTTCCAGTCCCCTACTGATGAACATCTGGGCTGCTTCTGATACTTTTCTATCACAAACTATGAAGAAATAAACGTTCCTGTCACTGTCCGCACGTGCCCACCAGCTGAGCGGTACGAGTACTGACGTGTGTACTGTTTTCAGGATCATCCTGTTCGCAGCACGACTCGTGTATCCAGGTGGACCCTGGAGAATGGACTAAAGGCTGAAGGTGATGTATGTATACTGCTTATTTTTTTTAAAGAAATATTTAATTCCATTTATTATTATTATTATTACTATTATTATGTTTTCATTTGGCCAGAGAGAGAAAGGGAAAGTGAGAAAGTAAGTCACCAGGTCCGGGACTCGAACCGTAGTCAGCCATGTGAGAGTCCTTCACCTTAACCACCATACCACCTGCTGGCCCAATGTATGCATACTCTTGGCCTTGGTTTTCCAAAGGGATCTTAGGATCAGTTTATCAATCTTAGAAAAAAATGCTGCGAATTTACAATCAGCTTGTGGACACGTGCTAACTTGGTGCTGTGGATTCACGTCAGTGAACACAGTCATTATGCTGGTTCGGGTCTTCCTTTAGGTGCGAGCTGTGCTCAGGTTTACCCTTTCTCTTCTGATTTCATTTTTGCAGGACATTTCCATCTTGTTTAAGCTGGCCCATTTATCACAGAGGATGCTCACACTGACCTGCTCTCTCTGCGGTGTAGTCTCCTTTTCGCTCCCAATAATACCTGGTTCCTCTCTCATCTTTTCTTCTCCTATCCCGTCAATCTTAACTGAAAGTCAGTCCATTTGACCAGGTTGTACAAATAATCTGGGTTTTAGCTTCTTGATTCTATGATTCATATATATTCTGCTTACTATTTATTATTCCCTTCTCTATTTTGTTATATTTCTTTGTAAGTTTATTTATTTATCCTGAGAGAGAAAAGGAAAGACAAATCCCCCTCAAGAGGACCTTCCTGCGATTCTCCCTTCCCACAGCTGCCCAGCCACCCATGCATTTTCCTCCCTAATATGTATTCTCCTTGAACTTTCTGGAGCTCTCTGGCGTGCCTCCCCAGTGCAAAGAGCATCAGGCTGGCATCTGTCCCACTGCCAGATGTCCAACGCCCCTGCAGGAGCCCCCAGGGCCGAACCCCGAGACGTGCCCACGAGGAGCAGACCCCGGCCGGGAGCACTCACGTTGTGGACGTTGGGCGTGCTGACGCTCCTCCGGATGTGCCGGGCTTTGGCGGAAAGTGCTTCTTTAACCGTGACAGCCTATAAATAGATGGTCATTGAAAATGACATTTATTCTTTCTTCTGATTATGAAGGAACACGTGCTGATGTATAGAAGATTTAGAAAATACAGAAGTAGAGATCACTTCAATCCTACACACGCCCGTCTTTACAAAACTGAAGTCTTACTATACCCATTTTTTTCCATAGATAAAATTGGAAAACTGCTCAATGAGACACATTTACATGGTAAGTTTTTATACAGCAGAGGAGAGAAAACAGAGAAGAGATACCTCTGTACATCTCACTTGCCAGCGATAGTAAGTTTATGTTGTTTGTATTTATTCAGGCACCAATGTAGGTGAGATTTCCATGAAGGGCAGATTTTTTTCTTTTTTTCTTTGAAGAGGTTTTTGCTATAGGGCGCATACTCTTGACAGAACGATAAAGACAGAGAGACAAAAAGCAAGAAATCACCCCCCCTGGGTGGGGGGGAATGGCCACACCGCAATCCCTTCTCCTCCATTCTTCTCTCAGGATCGTGGGCACGTACACACACATGCCTGGCATGAGTTTAAGCCACCAGGTCCGAGACTTGAACTGCAGTCAACTACGTGGGAGTCCAGCAACATAGCCATTACACCAACTGCTGGTACCATGGGCAGATTTCTTTTCTGACAGGTGCCAGTGTTTTCTTCCTGCTGTTCAACACATGCTTTTTTTAAAAATAAGTTTTATTTCTATCCTTAATTTCTTCTCTTTTTAACAATCATTTATTTATTTATTTATTTATTTTATTATTACTGTTTTTTAATTTGCTATAGGGCACATATGCTTATAAGAAAGAGACAGAGAGCGAGAGCGGGTGCACAAGCCGCTAGGTCCCAGACTCGAACCGCAGTCAGCCATATGGGAGTCCAGCACCTTAACCACCATGCCACCTGCTGGCCCCTCAATACACACTTTCTAAAACATCAGCTATCGCGCCAATGGAAAGGTGTCCCCGTCTGTAGTTCCACTGGTTAGTGGATTATTTACACTTGAATGTCCTGATGCCACCCCAAAAGTTAGGAGACAGTACGGGTCCATGGTCACACATGTGGGCTTCTGAGTCATGCCACCCCTTTGGGGTTCACGTCTCCCTAGCTGTGCAACCTGAGGCGAGTGAGCGAGCTTCTCTCAGCCTCGATTTTCCCATCTGAGAAAGGGGATTTCAACAATGCTTACTGCGGAAGGTGTATCAAAACCACTCAGGCATAGTGCTTGGCAAGCAGGAAGTAACCAGTACAAGTCAGTTATTCTTGTCACTATTCTGTCAGAGTGCTCTCTCTCTTATGATTGGTAACTGCCAAAGGACATGTGTGTTTATCAGAGACAGAGAGAGAGAGAGTACCCCCAGGTCTGCACTGCAATCACTTCTCTTCCATTGCTCCATCCTGTTGGGATTCGGGGCACTCGTGCACACGCATCTGGTGTGTTTCAAGTTGCTGGGGCTGGGATTCAAACCATGGTTGGCCAAGTGAGATCCAGCTCCATTAACCACTAAGCCATGGGCCTAGCCTGAAGGTGCTCTCTAAGGGGCTTACTACTCGAGTGCTCCTGTCTGACAGGTTCAGAGAGGTGTTCAGTAAGCAAGCGCCTCTTTGCCCAGTGTGGGTGAAGGGCTGATGGCCTCCTGTTCTGATCTAGGTATCAGTTATTCAGGCCAGCAGGTAGTGTGGCCGTCAAGGCACTGGATTCCCACAAGGCTGACTGTGGTTCGAGTCCTGGACCTGGAGGCTTGCAAATCACACTGGGGACGTGTGTGTGAGTGGCCTAAATCCCATGAGGGGATTTAGGAGGAGAAAGAACTGTGATGTGGGCAACCCTTGGGGGCTGGGGGTGGTTTTTCGCTTTCCTTCTCTCTGCCTCTCTCTCTCTGGTGAACGCAGGTGCCCCCCAGTTCAGAAAGACCTGAAACAAACACACACAGAACCGGGTGACTCCCCGGCCGGAGCCGCTCCAGGCTCAGGATGTTCTCCAGCTGCAGCACGCCCCGCGTGTACTTCTCGATGTACGTCTCCCCATCACACGTGCCCTCGCTGTCGCTCCTGGCCGCCAGCAGGGCCAGCGTCTCCCGGTCCTCGATCTCCTCGGTGGCCTGAAGGGACAGGAGAGACACGACCACACTTGTACGTAAACAATGGTTTCATCAAAGGCGCGAGGAGAACATACACATAGAGCACGCATCCTCTGTGGTTTCTCAGGGCAGTATTTTACAGAGGAGTGCACGGCTTACCTTTGGTATATTGGATACTATTTCATAGGTTACTCCACAGGAATAAAATATGTTTTTCAACGATATTCTCCTCTTCAAACTCTGTGTGAAACTCTGGTAGAGAAGAAGAGCTGGATTAAGAAGAGCTGGACTAAGCCATATGAAAATGGGAGTTACTGATCTCTCCCATGACTGAGACGGCACCCCCAGCTGGGTCTGGTACCTCGATGCGTGCCCAGCCCCATTAGTCACTGATGGTGGGCACGCACATGCCCAGCGCGCTTGGGAGGTCCTGGTCACGAGCCTGGAGCCTGTGCACGTGGGCTGGCCTCCCAGGGGGCTGCATCTTACTGCCATGTCGCTGTGCACCACCCCTCCCACCCAGAGTTTTTACACACACACACACACACACACACACACGCACACACACAGATGATACTCTGCAAAGCAGAAAAAAAAAATAACAAGTGAGCCTAAAAGTCCTATCTCCGGCCCTGAGAGACACCGATGTCCAGAACCCATCCGGGGATGAGACTCCAGAGTCGGCCCGGGGCGTGTGCCTGCCTCTCTCCCAGCTGCTGCCCACGCTGATCTCTCCACGCCCACTCGCACCTCCCAGACAGTGGGAGAATGCTGCAGAGGACAGTTCTGCTCACGGCACCCCTAGGATGGGAGTTGGCAGGGCGGTCGCGGCGGGAGTGCACTGGACTCTGCATCTGTCCCGGTTTCTCACTGACCCATTTGCCCTGACACTTTACCACTCAGCCTCAGCCTTCCCACGTTTCTTTCTTTTCATTTGCCAGAGAGCACGTGTGCTTGTCAGAGACAGAGGGAGAGGGAGAGGAAAAGGGAGAGGGAGGCCACACCCCCACAGGGAACAGCGACACTGCTGCCCCTCCTCCTGAGACTTTCAGGCATGTGCACACGTGTGCCCGGCATGCCTTCCAAGCTGCTGGGGCTGGGGCCGGACCTGCATAGCCGGCCATGGGGGATCTGCTGCCTTAACCCCCAGGCCATGGGCTCGCCTGCAGTTTTTCCACTTCTCGGACAGTGAACTGCCAGAGCTCAGTGCCTGCTAGGATTATGGGCCCTGCGTGAGTCAAGGTGAGAAAGAGCTCAGTGAAAACCATCCACCTGTGTCCTCTCGCCCATGTTCTCGGACAAATGAGGACCAAGACTGGGCCTTGGCCAGTGTGGTCACATTTCACACGTGCACTGCACTAGTGCCACGAGACAAAGAAGAGCCAGCCCTGGGCGTGTGGGCACCACGGCGGAACCGCCCTGTGGCTACCTGCTTATTGTAGATGTTGGCTGCGATCCGTTTCCGTAACACCAGCTCCATGGCAGCCGGGTGGCTGAGCTGGACCGTGGCCTTCACGATGAGGTAAATCCTTTCGTTCTGCGGCGTGACCCTATTCAGGTGAACAGAGTCATGCACGGAGGAGTCCCAGGAGGCTGTGGCTGAAACCTGGGGGAGAGGGGACAATGGGAGGTGGATACAAGAACCGACAGCTGGAGCAGTTGGGCGTGACGGGTGACCGGAAGAAAACCCACCCAACTCAATCCAGTGAAAGACATTTCCTGTCTTGACTTTTTTAACAACACAAATGTTCTAATGTTTTCTTTGAGCTTTTTTCTATGTTAATTTTTTTTTTATTGCCAAGTGGTGCAAACACTCCCCAGAGAGAGAGAGAGAGACAGAGGGAGACACAGAGGGAGAGTCAGGAGACACATACACACACAGGCACCCGGCATGTTTCCCAAGCTGCTGGGGCTGAGATTCGGATTGCAGTTGGCCATGTGGGATCCGACTCCCTTAACCACTCACTAGGCTACGGGGCTGGCCCTTAGTTTGTCTCTCATGAGAGAGAGACAGAGAGACAGATGCCCTTGATACAATGCTCCACCCAGCCTCCCAGCCAGCCAGGATCACAGGTACACAGGCAAACCCAGGATGTGCAGGTCCACCTGGGGTCTCAACCCGTGGCCCCCAGGTGGCTCCAGCACTGCTCAGCAGTGCCCTCCCCCTGTGCCACCGTGGACGGGCCTGCTGTTGTTTTAATTCCCTCTTCCTGAAAGCAGAACCACAGCAGCTGAACTAAAAGACAGGCCCGCCGGGCCGTCGTGCTGATGGAGAACTCTGGCCGCCTTACCTCCTCGTCACTGTGCTTGATGATAGGTAGGTAGAAAAACTGGCTGCCGTGCTCCTTGGGCAGGATGGAGTTCACGCCCGACGCGTGGGGGCCGACGAGCTGCTCATTGGCACTGAGGTCATCGGCTAGCCAAGTCCATGGGATGGAAGAGGGGGGAAAGTTTTTAAGCAAACATCAAAAATGTAAAAAGACGGTTTTCACAGATGAAGTTTACATATTTTATTTTTTTTCTTTCATTCCTTTTCCTGAAGTTGAAATAGAGACTCTAAGACTCAGAATAGCTTTTATTCCTTAAAAATACAAAACAGGAGCCAACAGGTTGCCCATGAGCTTCCTGTAAGATGGGATGAATATATTCTATATGTCCTGGGAACAAACATTTTCACTAAACACACTCTGGCACTTGCTGCCTTCTGCTGTCAAGTCCTCCTAAAACCTACTGTAAGGTTTATGTCATAGCTACTGATACGATGTACCCTAAATTAGACCTTTAAGCAGTTAAATTATCCACTTAAAAACTGAAGTCTGGAGCACTTAGGAGAAATACGAAAATCATCTTCTCCCAATGTCTTCCCCGATGTGGGGCTCGCCCTCCACCCCGCTCTATAAGCGACCACCCAGTCTTTGCCAGGAGACCTACAGTAGCAGGGGACGCACAACCTCGGGAGGCTCACCTTCTCCTTTCAGGGTTCAAAACTTCCTCAAGGGAAGAGTCAAAGCTGCCCTCCCACATCTTTCCTCCAGGAAAGAAGGTTCTCAGTTGTGCTTGGAGGAGCTTCAGGGCCCTAAGAAAGGCCCTGACACCCCCCCCCCCAAGGAACTGAGGGACTCTGCTTTCACTTCCCACGTATGGGGTTCCATCTGAGATCTCATTTGGAAAAGGGCTCACTGCTGAAACGCACTGAGAACCGTTCTTTTCGGCTCAGGTCAGTTGCCATTAAGGCCGACTTGTCCTGCAGAGGCACGGCACGATCCTTCGGGCTCCCGGACTGTTAGGGGTGGAGGGCAAATCCCACTATGCGGAAGTACAGATGCCGAGCCCCCATCCAGCCTGAAGAGTCAGAATCTTGGGGGGATTATTTTCACAGGTAACTTTTTTTTTTTTTTAATTTGCCAGAGGGCATGTGTTCTCATCAGAGAAAGACACAGACAGAAAGGGAAAACGAGGATGCACCCCCCAGGGGCACGGTCATGCCGCCATCCCTTCTCCCCCACCTCTCCCTTTGGGATTTTGGGCACACATGCACGTGCGCCTGGCATGTCTTTTAAGCTCTCTAGTCTGGGACTTGAACCACGTGCTCGGCCTGTGGGGTCTGGTCGCCTTAACCACCAGGCCACCAGCTGGCTCTTCCATTAATGTTTCAGAGCAATCGCTTTGCTGTTCTCTCTGCAGTTCTTGATCTTCCCAAGTGTCATCTTTTTAAAATTTTGTATTAAATATCCCAAATTCTAGTGATTCTACATGTCACACTTATACATATTTGATAGAATCAAAAATGACACATAAAAACTACTACATAAGAATGTTTAGTTTTTTGGGGTTTTTTTGGGGGCTGGGGGAGATTTTTACTCTAGGGCGCGTGCGCTCACCAGACAGACAAAGAGAGACAGGGAGACAGAAAGCGAGAAATCATCCCCCAGGGGGAATGGCGACGCCACAATCCCTTCTCCTCCATTCTTCTCTTGGGATCTTGGGCATGCACGCACACGCGCCCAGCGTGAGTTTTAAGCCACCGGGTCTGGGATGCGAACCGCGGTCGACTACGTGGGAGTCCAGCGACATAGCCATTACGTTAACTGCTGGTTCCCCATAAGAATGTTCAGAAAAGTGATTTAGAAACCAAAATAATGTGAGTGTGAATAGATTACAAATCATAATTAAACGTGATAACATCTGAATTTTAAGTGTCTACTTACCATTCAAATCAAGGAAGAGAACAGGGATGTGGGTTTCCATTCCGGGAGGTGGGACCCTAAATTTAATGACAAAATTTAATCAAAACACAACATGTGTCTTAACATTTTGTTAGCTAAGATGTCGCAGAGCCCTGGAAACAGAAGAGGACCACTGTGGACAGGCAGAGTCTATGAGGGACATAGTTTCTCTTATTTTTTAAAAAGATTTATTTAATTTATTCATTCATTTATTTTAATTTGATCAGAGAGAGACACACAGAGAGAGAGGGAAAGTGAGAAAGCAAGCCACCAAGTCCAGGACTTGAACCACAGTTGCCATGTGGGAGTGTCTAGCACCTTAACCACTATGCCATCTGCTGGTCCAATACTTTATCTTGAAACTTTCCTGCTAATGTGAATTATCTGAATTATGTGACTTGTGTAGAAGTTACACAAATCACACTTAATTTGTTAAAACCAAGTTTCTCTGGGGACCAGCAGTTAGCGTAATGGTTATGTCGCTGGATTCCCATGTAGTTGACCATGGATCGAGTCCCAGACCCTGTGGCTTAAACTCATGCTGGGCGCGTGTGCGTGCGTGCCCAAGATCCTGAGAGGAGAATGGAGGAGAAGGGATTACGGCGTGGCCATCCCCCCCGAGGGGTAATTTCTTGCTTTCTGTCTCTGTCTCTCTCTGTCTAGCAAATGCACGTGCCCTATAGCAAAAAAAACTCTCAAAAAAACAAAACAAAACAAAACAAACAAACAAAAAAAAAACCAAGTTTATTTGCAGCCTCTCTGGAGCTAATTCTGTGCTAGGGCTGGCGATGCTGGAGTGCAATAGGGAGGGTCAGAGTCCAGAGGGAGACACCGAAAGAGACGGGAGCGAAAGGTTTGAAGGGACAGAGGGGCAGGGCTGTGCTCAGGGCCGACACACGGTGCTTCCTCACAGACTGACCTGACTGCCTCAGAACCATCTCTGAGGCCTCTTGTAACGAAATTCCAGGCCTGTCCTTCTCTTCTAAATCAGACTAGCTAGGGAGGGTACCCCAGGAGTCACAAACACTCAAGATGATCCAAGCTTTGAAAACATCGCAGAGAGAGACTGGGGTAAAGGGAAGGACTGTCTAGACAGGGCTGTGAGGGGCAGAACGAGACTGGGAATGAGCTAGCTGTCCACAAGGACTCACCAGCAAACACGAGCGATCGTCAAGAAGTTCATGGGAAATGCGTCTTATGGAAACAATTACACATACATTTGAAAAGTTTTTCACATCGAGATGAGCTCGTACTTTAATCCCATCTGCCATGAACTTTCTGATGTCTCCGCGTATACTGTATGTGACCTACGAGTTTCTAGCACAACCGCAGAATGGGCAGGGAGAAACATTAGGTGGTGGAACCAGCAGATGGAGTAATGGCTATGTCGCTGGACTCCCATGTAGTGACCGCAGTTTGGGTCCTGGACCCGGTGGCTTAAACTCACGCTGGGCACATGTGCGTGCGTGCCCAAGATCCCGAGAGGAGAATGGAGGAGAAGGGGCTTGGGCATGACCTCACCCCCTGGGGGGTGATTTCTCGCTTTCTGTCTCTCTGTCTTTCTGGTGAGTGCACGCGCCCTACAAAAACCAAAGGAAGAAAAAGGAAGACATTGGTGGCAAATGATGTGTCTGGAAAGTCAGGCTTTCTAGCTTCATGCACCAACCTGCTCTCGGTTACACTCATTTATCACCGTAACTCACGAATGACTCTATGTCCGGCCAAAGGAGGCGAACCAGGCATGCACAGTCTGCTCTGAAGGAGTCCGACTCCTCTTAAACGCCCGGCGCATGTTCTCATTATAAGAACGAGGCCAGGAAACTGTGGCAGCCGCTTCCCGTTAATGAATGGGGACAAAAGGCATTCTCTGCGCAGTGTAATAGTCGAGGCTCTAGGAGAACACACAAGGTACTTTATTTATACCCTCTTTAATTCTCACAACACTACTCCAAAGGCCGCTCTAGTGACAGACATGAGTGAGCCTCGGAGAAGCTAAGGAAGTACACTGCGGAGTGGCAGGTGGAGACTATCCGGGTCTGGCTCCCTGCGGAGCTGGGCAGCAGGCTGCTGTCATGAGCTCGCCTGGGGGTGGCTGGGACCCGCTGACTCGGCATCGTGCATGCAGTACTGGAGGGCCTACCCTGAGCTCACCACCACGCTGAGGAGATAGCACGGCAAATTCGATGTATTTTCTGCCCTCGTCAACAACCCTCTGGAAACATTCTTCTCGTGAGCCAAAGGAAGAAGAAAAGGATTTCTGGAGATCAGGAAACAGCACCCACGCTGCTAAGGAGAGCAGCAGGGAGAGTGGGGTCTGATGCCAGGTAACCAGTGCGCCCTGGCTCCCAGCGGGGGAAGCCAGCTACAGCAGGGAAGGAAGCAATGGGAGGCAGGGGCCTTCCCTGGGCAGCTCAGGGAACACCCATGAAAACTGTGCATGGCTCCTGCCCGGGCAGTCTGTGCCATCTCACCACGCCAGTGCAGAAGGGAGGCCAGCCTTACCAGTCGGCGGGCGCCCCAGGGATGCCGCTGCCAGGGGCCGGCACCAGCACGGCGTTCCTCTCCTCGGTCAGGCCCACCCACTGGCCCACAAGCCGGGCTTCCCGTTCCACGTCGTCTTCTGTTTTCTCTGCAGAACAAAGTGAGGGGATGAGCACCAGCAAGAAAGGACGGTTTCTCTCTCCTCAGTGAGTGCATATACCCTCTGGCAAATAAAGTAAAATAATGAGTGAGTGGTCAGTAGCCACAATGGAACTCATCTTTAAAAAAAAAAAACACAATCTGAATTTCAGATAAGCAGACTTTCACTCATGATATCTATAAGCAGCACAAACATCCACCATCTCCCCAACAGAGGGGCCCATGCTCTGGAGTTCAAGCGGGGCCACCCAGAAGAGCTACGAGATGCTGGAACAGCAGAGGAAGATCCCGTAAGCCAGGACTGGGAGAAAAGGCACTGGAGGGCCAGCCCGTGGCCTGATGGTGAATATAACTGACTCTCACATGGCTGACGGTGCAGTTCGAGTCCTGGGACTAGCTAGCAGCTTGAGAGACACCCCAGGAGCAAGTACATGCAGCCCAAAACCCCGAAAAGAGAAAGAGAGGGGAGGGCAGTGAGGCATGACCACCCTCCCTGCCCTCTCTTTCTGTCTCTCCGGCAAATGTACACACTTTGGAAAATTTTTAAAAAGAAAAGGGCTCTGGAACAGCAGTGGGAGGACTTCGGTTCTGTGATTTACAGAGCGACTGGGCAGATGAGTCTCGGCCTCCTCACTTGTCAAACAGGGAGAATCCAAGTCTTAGTGACTTCGCGGACTCACTGGAAGGATCAAATGAAATGGCAGCTGTGACGCTGCTGTACAAAACTCTCCACCAGCTTACAAAGATGGCATTAGAAAACACCGCATAATTCACTCTAAAGCGATGTTCTTCATGTGTATTACAAAAGGGATTCTGTCTGATAGATTTTGAAATCCTCTTACACACAATGCAATTCTGGAACCAACATGGAAAAGTCCTCAGAGGGAGTTCTCAACAGAAGCGTGAGCACATACACAGACCCCAGAGGCTGAGCCCCGAAGTGTTTTCAAGGGAGAGCTTCGCTAACTTTCATATGACATGGATTAACACTGATGACGTGTTCTTGGCAGGCTCGACCACATGAACAGACCATGGGGTCGGGATGAGAGACTAAGAATATTTATTTAACTGTCAAAGGGAGCGTGCACTTGCCACAGAGAGAGGGGAGAACGAAAGCACCCCTCACTGGGGCATGGTCAGGTTGCAATCCCTTCTCCATTTCTCTATCCCCTTGGGATATGGGGCATACATACACATGGGCCTAGCATGTTTTTCAAGCAGCCAAGATCAAGATTCAAACCAAGGTCGACCATGTGCGTTCTATCTCCTTTAACCACTAGGCCGTGGGGCTGGTCTGAGAGGCTAAGAATGTCAAGAGAAGATTTCTACTCTAGAATCCAAGCGGCCATTGCCAGTGTGAGCAAAATGGCCTGTGAGTGGCACTGGATGGGACACTCTGAGCCAGCTAAGGGCATGGCTAAGGCCCAGAAGGAGCTGGGCACTTACCTGCCACATGGTATGGCTTTAGAGGTAACACTTTCGCTGCTGAAAACCCTAGGTTCTGGAGCCTGGGATGCTTTGTACGGGTACCTCAGTATTAGTAACACTGGGCTCATCAAAATAAAATTTGAGCTTGACACTGAATGTTCCAGTTTTATAAAAACGTACCACTTCCTAATGCAGCACCTTCGTAAACTAACAGTGTACCATCTGATTCGCTGACGTCTATAACTGTTGCAGGGTCACAAAACTGAGATGCTATTATCCAAGCAAAGGAAGAGAGCAAGCTGTGCCCTCGTGTACAAGCAGTGGGGCCAGTGCGGGGTGGCTACTGACCGCCTCGGAGTGGTGCAAGCTCACGTACCTTTTTTATTGCTCACTTTCTTAATCTGTTCGTCCAAGTATTCTCGCCGTTTAATGAGCGCATCTGACCACCTCTCCCTTACGCAGTTCAAGTCTTCTTCCTGACACCGGGAGGGAAGACATTTTCTTGAAGAGTGCACAAGCAACTGCTTTTCTTTTCTTTTCTTTTCTTTTTTTAAGATGTTTAAATTGATTAGGAAACTTTTCTTCGGGAAAGGCCACTGAACACTGCTGTGTGATTAATATGCAAGAAAGCAGAGAGGCCTCCGCAACATGGCGTGCTGACCGGGGTGCCATCGCCCAGAAATCAGAGCCCCTGGATCTCCAGAGAGACAAAAGCAAGACAAGCCCAAATCACAGCAGCTGGTGGGTGGCTGTATGTGTACGTAGGGGTGTATGTGGGCACAGGTATTTGAATCACGGCCGCGTATGGGTGTATGTGGGCACAGGTATTCGAATCACAGCCATGTATGGGTGTATGTGGGCACAGGTATTCGAATCACAGCCGTGTATGGATGTATGTGGGCACAGGTATTTGAATCATAGCCACGTATGGGTGTATGTGGGCACAGGTATTTGAGTCACGGCTGTGTATGGGTGTATGTGGGCACAGGTATTTGAATCACAGCCATGTATGGGTGTATGTGGGCACAGGTATTTGAGTCACGGCTGTGTATGGGTGTATGTGGGCACAGGTATTTGAGTCACGGCTGTGTATGGGTGTATGTGGGCACAGGTATTAGAGTCACAGCCGCGTATGGGTGTATTGGGCACGGGTATTCAAGTCATGGCCGCACATGGGTGTATTGGGCACAGGTGTTCAAGTCATGGCCATGTATGGGTGTATGTGGGCACGGGTGTTCGAATCACGGCTATTCATTGAAAATGCACAATTCTGGTGATTAAGACACACGGACAGAGCTCAAATCACATAACAGCACATGAGATGCAAACAGCAGGCATTTTCACAGCTCACAGTTCAATAGTCTGTGAACCTATATTCTCTGAAATGCGAAGAATAGGTTAGCAGAGAACCTCTGGGACTCGCTGCAAAGACTTTACCTTCCACCTCCACCACGAGGAGAACCACCAATCTCCCATGCAGAACCCCAACATGCAGTCAGCCATGCTTCAAGAAATCCCCAAGCAGCTGCTGGGCCTCACTGGGGACCAGGTGGCGGGAAGCGCGAACTGCGCAGGACGTTAGTCGGTGGTGTTGCTGGGGTCCGTGTGGACACTGATATTGCCCCTAATGTTTGTTTCTGTTGGCTTGCTTTCTTTCTCAGAAAAATTGTGAGTGGGGGGGGGAATCTATCAATTCTATCCAAAATGCTCTTTGACTCGCCTGCTTCCTAACTCTTCAGACATTGCACTGAGAAGGGGCCCCCGGCTCCTACATCTCCACCTTTCCCTCCTAGGAAGGCACTTGGGGGAGCATCCTTTTAAACCGTGTGGAGGGTCAGTACAAAGACAGGGACCGACCCCAGAAAACACCAGCGTGGCTTGTGCTGCTTTGACCTTGGCCCGTTACTCAGTTATCCACGTTCTGTGACATCAGGCCAGTCAGTGCCGACTAGGCAAAGCTTCGCATTTTCACCAATTTTTCCCTAGACTTCCAGCAAGAAAAGGCTGACTGTACATTCTACAGGCAAAGGAGAACTAAGCTTGCCCCTAAGGAGAGAAGAAAACTGGCTAGGCAAAACGAAACAAAACTACGTGCAGAAAATGACTTCGATTTTCCCACCCTGCAAAAGCCTCTTAATTACAATAGCGTATCAGAACGGGACTCGTCTCCTGGAAGTAAGGAGCCCAGAGCAGTTTCCCAGGGGAAAGAGAAGCGTCTACCTAAAGATCACAGATGGATCACTGTGGTTTCTAAGATCACGCATTTATTAAAGCAGTAACAATCTTTGTAAGCAAGGCTTTGTAAGCTAGCACTCTGAGGTGGCAGAGTGAAAATGCAGCATCTAGTTACAGAGTTTGAACTGATGGAAATTTATAATTGAGTGCAGCGTGTAGTACTGTACCCCTGACTACACATAAAGCAAATCAAAAGCAAGGGGAAAACTGCACGCTCGCTCTTAGGACCCCTGCCTCCTCTCTGGCCTCTGCTTTGCGAATGCTGGAATTAGCAGAAGCTGTGCCCCATGCCACAGGATGACAGCGTAGCAATACCTGATAACTATCCATATCATCACCATCCTCATCATCTCTCTGCTAGGAAAAAAAATAAACACAGAGGACATGCATTTTGTTTGTCAAACAGCACACAGGGAAGATAATTCTTTCAGCTCAACACACACATTACAACAAACAGCTCACACGACATCAACACAATACAACACTTCATTGAACCTCAGAAAGGTTCAACGGATTTAATTCACTTATCTCTAATTTCAAGATAAAAAAATTAAAAAAAAATATATATGTATATATATATATATGGGGCCAGCAGGTGGCATGATGGTTAAGGCACTAGACTCCCACAAGGCTGATCATGGTTTGAGTTCTGGACCTGGAGGCTTGCTTTTTCAGTTTCCCTCTCTCTTTCTCTCTGTCTCTCTCTAGTCAAATTAAAATAAATAAAGAAAGTAAGTTAAATAATTCCTTAAAAAAACCTTTGTTGGTTTTAGCGACGGAGGCCCTGCAGAATCACATGATACCATGTGGGGATCACACAGACAGTGGAAGCTCCGGGCTGGAGCCGAGGCCTTTACTTGCCAACCTCAGCAGGGCCACTCTCCCAGATGGTCCAGCACAAATCGGTTTTAACTTAAGAAGTAGAACTCTTTTAAAAATGCAAATAATTCATCTCGATAATGTGTCTCAGATGGAAACATTGAGTCATCTGACGATCTATGTTCTGTAGGTCAATGGGGACACAGAATGTCTAATCTAACACTGGAGATTTATTGCAAAAAGGGACCTCAAAGAATGATCAAGTCTATCTCTTCATTTTGGAGGAGAGAAAAAGGGAACTCGAAAATTCCAATTACCCAGTCAAGGTAACCACTCAGTTCCGCTGAAGCAGACTTGGGCCCAGGTCTCCTGACGCCAAGTTTGTGTTCTCCTACCACATCCTGCAGTCGCCCCCGGAGCGGGGCCCAGGCAGGGACCGCGCTGGAATGAGATGTCCGACACCCCAGCTCCTGGCTCCAGAGGCTGCACACCATGAGGAAAGGCCTGGTGGAGAAGCCTCCCAAAGCAGATCCTGACGCCGCACCTGCACTCACACTTCCGACAAAGCAAGGACAGCCTTGGGGAGCTGGAGAGAACATGGGCCCGGGAGGGGAAGGCGCTGGCTGACAGGCTGGGCCTTCTTTAAGGCCGAGGAGTCGGCATGCTGAGTTTCAGCTTTCTGAAAAGTCTTCGCCTGAATGCCAGGAAGCCCACAAGAAACTAAGAAGACGAATGAATGTCAAGACCAGGTGGGCGTATGCTCGGACTCCACAGGGAAACACGGGACAAACGTTTTCTCCCCATCAGGATCGGGAGACTGTCCCTGTCACACACGGCAGTGAGGGAGCCAGGCTTTCATCTTTCACATTTTTAAATGAGAAGATAAGGTTTAGGAAATAGAGATTTAATGGACAAAAATGGCCATGAAGATCTTTTTTTTTTTTTTTTTCTTCTTTAAAATTTGCTGAAGGGGGAGTGGGTTTGCTAGAGAGAAAGAGAGAGAAGGAATGAAAGTGAAACAGCAACCCGAGGGGGAACAGCCCCTCCATCTTGTTCCTCCTTCCTCTTTGGATTTTGGCAAGCACGCACTCACGCCTCATGTAGTTTTTAAGCCATTGGGTCCAGGACTCAAACCATACAGTCGCCCATGTGAGATCCAGTGCTTTAAGCACCATACCACAGGTTGGTCTGAGGATAACTTTGAATTGAAAAAATAAATAAATAAATAAATAAATAAATAAAGCTTTTAAAGAGCTGGGTAAGGATGAATATGGAGACAATTTATGAGATAAATCAAAGTGGTCATGTGAGACAGCAATGGCAGAAATGTAGCCCTGGCCAGATATAAAGGCAGGCCTGCCTGCAGTCAATGCCTCCTGGGCATTAGTGTATGTGTGTGTGTGTGTGCGCGTGTGCGTGTGTGTGTGTGCGCGTGTGTGTGCATCAATAAAACAATAATTACTCAACACTAAGCAAACAGTGTCTTACATCTGGACAAAAGGCAGTGGAGAGTAGTGTGGATGGCAGACAGGACCGTGGCCATAAGGAGGCGCTTTGTTGGAGTACCAAAGAGGTTCCTACCAGAGACAACGCCCTGCCCTCTTTCCGCACTGGCCGATCGTTGCCAAACCCCGTTTTCTCTCTCCTTGTCTTACCTGGTAACTGTCCAGCCCTCTCTGGAGTTTGGTGGACCTGGCAGTCACGCAGCCGATGGACACTGACAAGATGGCTTCCACCATGAGCGGCAGCGTCCCCGAATGCTGGACAGGCTTGACTGTGACTTGCACTCTACGGGAGTGACCCTGTGGGAGGCGAGGAGGGGAGTCAGGGAGAACGGGGAGGGATGGCAGAAGGGGAAGGAGGAAGGTTAAAGAACTAGAGAATGAAATACAATTACTTAGAGAATCCCCAGAAACTGTGTGGAAGGGTGGGACAGACAAAAAACATGAGAAAACAAAGAACAAACCCACTTGGTACCTGTCTGAGCTGAAAGATGCCCCCAGTGTTGACATCTTTGGCCTGGTGGAGTTCCACCGCAGCGTACTCTCCCAGCTCGTTCAGTTCCAATATGGAGATCCACATTTCGATTCTGCGCGTCACTTCATTCCACCTGCAAAAATCGTGTTTCGACAGACAACCGCGTCATCGTCCAGGGACGCTATTAGGAACACACAGGCTGAGCATCCCTAGTCTAAAAATCTGAAACCTGAAACTTTCTGAGTGTCATCACGATGCCATAAACAGAAAAATCCCACCCTGACCTCACGTGATGGCTCATGGTCAAAACAGTGTAATTAATCAGGGGCTGGCAGGTGGCATGGAGGTTAAGGTGCTGTACTCCCACATGGCTGACAGTGGCTCAAGTCCTGGACCTGACAGCTTGAAAATCACACCAGGCCCTTGTGTGCACATGCCTAAAATCCAGAGAGAATGGAGGAGATGGGACTATGGCATGGCCAAGCCCCTTGGGGGGTGATTTCTCACTTCCCTCTCTTTGCCTCTCTCTGGAGAGCACACGTACCTATGGTAAAAACCAGAAAAACTGAAGTAATGCAATACCAACACACTGTATAAAATTACTTTCATGCTGTGTGTATGAGGCATATGTAATAAAAATGAATTTTGTTTGTAGACTCGGGTCCCCTCCCCAGGATAGCTCGCTAAGCATATGCAAGTATTCTAAAATGCACAACTATTCAAAATCTGCAACACGTCTGGTCTTGGCATTTTGCAAAAGGGATACTCAACCTATAGTCACATGCCGCCGCCACTGAGCACCTGCTGGGCCGTGCGATGTATGCCACACACCTTATCTCCTTATTTAACCCTGAGAAACCTCCTAGTAGAGGCTTGTCCTATTTATTTTATTGAGTTATGACTTATATTCAGTGAACGGCCCAGATCTCAAGTACGGAGATCGTTGAGGTTTTTTTTTAAGAGAAATTTTCGTGGGGCCAGCAGGTAGGGTGGTAGTTAAAGTGCTGGACTCCAACATGGCTGACCACAGTTGGAGTCCCAGACCTGCCAGCTTGTGCTCTCACTTTCTCTCCGTCTCTCTGGTGAATTTAAAAGCAATAGTAATAATACAAATAAATAAATAAAAGAAATGCAGAAGTGTTTATACCAAAACTTCAAAAAAAAAAAAAAAGAACAGATGGGAACCAGCAGTTAGCATAATGGCTATGTCACTGGACTCCCACGTAGTCGACCGCGGTTCGTGTCCCGGACCTGGTGGCTTAAAACTCACGCCGGGCGCGTGTGTGTGCGTGCCCAAGATCCCGAGAGGAGAATGGAGGAGAAGGGATTGCGGCGTGACCATCCCCCCTGGGGGGTGATTTCTCGCTTTCTGTCTCTATGTCTCTCTCTGTCTGTCTGGCGAGCGCACGCGCCCTACAGTGAAAATCTCTCCAAAAAAAAAAAAAAGAACAGAGAAATTTTGTTACAGGGCGTGTGTTCACCAGAGAGAGACGGAAAGTAAGAAATCATACTCCCCTGTTTCTGGACATAGGTTTCCATCTCTCAGGGTAAGGATCCCTGGGGGTGGGACTGGGTCACAGAAGAGGAGAATCATCAGTTTCACAGGAAACTGCCAGTTGCCCCTCGGGTGTGGTTTGCCTACTCGCTTTCACAATGATGCCTTTGATGAGCACAAGTTTTTAATTTTGATGAAGTCTAGCTTACAAGTTTTTTGTTTTTTTTTTCCTGGTTTGTGCTCTCTGTGGCCTTTCTTAGAAATACGATGACCTCGAAATTCTGAAGAGATTCCCTTGTTTTCTTCTATAAGCTTTGCAGTGTTAGCTTTTTCGTCGAAGGTTATACTATATCTCGCATTAACTTGGTGTAGGTGTGATGTAAAGATCTAAGGTTTTGTTTCTCATTGATAGGCAGTTGTGTCGATGTTATTTGATGAAATGACCTACCTCACCCCACTGAATTTCTTTAGTACCTGATAGTTTCTTTCATCATTCTTATTTTGAAAAAGAAGAAACAGGCTCAGTGAAGTTAAGTAACTTGTTCAATACAACAGAAGTCCCAGGGTTCAAACCCAGTATTCTCAAACACTGTCCAAGTACTAGCCTTGACCCCGGTCTGAAGCGCTCAGCACTAACCTGTCGTGTAAGGTTCTTGTCTTAGCGTGAAGCGAATCCACCTCCCAGATGGAGCTACCATTTCCTGCACAGCGGTGGCCCCACACTTCAATTGCCAACGCTCCCTCCGAAATGAACTCCAGGAATTCTTCTGTTACATTCACCACATAGTCCTAGGGCAAACAGAAGGAAGAAAAAACAGTGCAAGAATTATGCATGAAAGTCTGTGAAATTTCCCTTTTGCATTTCAATGTATACAGATTGGCTTTGGAATGTATTAGCCTAATCTCAACCTTCAACTCATCTCTTCTGTTTTACAGAAAAGCATTGAGGAACACAGAATATTACAGCTAAAAGAGAAATTATAAAGTAACTTAATCCAACTCTTTTCTTTTATAAAGGAGGAAAGTGAAGAGAGCAACTTGTTCCAAGTTCTGTGGCTCGCTGGCTGCAGACTGAGATGCTGTTTCATTCTTGGTTCCACGGCCCCACTCGGCCTTTTCAGCTGGCTTAGACTCATTCAATGACTGTTCTCCATAGTGGCATAGGAGGAATATAACAGGATTAGACTTTATAGGAGTATTATGATTCTATGTTCTTGCCCTTAAGGTTCTCCACAGATTCCTCATCCTAAAATCAAGCGACTGTGAGGAAATGGACACTGAATGGCCGAGAGGTGGGGCAAATCACCCAGAGCCATGCAGCGGGCAAGGACCAAGCCGGTTCCTCTCCATTAGCCTCGCGCAACTCTGCCATGCTCTGTTCTGGAAACAGCTATGCTCTACTGATGTAACCTGACAGGATCCATGAGCTTCCTTTTACATGGAAAAGAAAACTACTGATCAATTAGTAAAATCTACACCCTGTAGAGATGGACAAGCTCAGAGGTCACATAATGAACCCAGGGACAACGTAATTAGCATTTATTAAATACAGTTGTTACCAAGATGCACTTCAGGACCAGCAGTTGGCATAATGGCTATTTCGCTGGACTTCCATATAGTCGACTGTGGTTCGAGTCCCAAACCCAGTGGTTTAAACTCACACTGGGTGCATGTACGTGTGTGCCTAAGATCCCGAGAGGAGAATGGAGAAGGGATTGTAGCATGGCCACCCCCTCCCCCTCCCCCTGTGGGGTGATTTCTTGCTTTCTTTCTCTCTGACTCTCTCTGTCTTTCTGGCGAGCTCACGCGCCCTATAGCAAAAATCTTTCAAAAAACAAAAACAAAAAAGATGCACTTCAAACTCAGATTTCATCCTTTTTTATATTGGCTTTTACCATACGGTGTGTGCACTTGCCAGAGAGAGACAGAGAGAGAAGGTAAGAAATCACTCCCCAAGGGGGATGACCATGCCATCCTTCTCCTCTAGTCTCCTCTAGGGATTTGGGGCACATATACACATGCACCCAGCGTGACTTTTAAGTCATTAGGTCTGGGACTCCAACCACAGTTGACCATGTGGGAGTCCAGCACCTTAACCACTATGCCACCTGCTGGTCCCCAGATTTCATCCTTCTAAACAAACTGTTTCGTGGTTCCAAAAGAAGTCAGAGGATTCTTTTAAATAAAAGAATCTTCAGAGAACAACAAAACCGATTAATAAATAGTTCAAGAAATGAACTTGGTGAATAAAAAGAATGAAATAAAGGTTAGGGTTAGATATGTCGCATGGTGGTTGGGGCAGCTGAATCCCACATGGCTGACCGGTTTGAGTCCTGGACCAAGTACACTGAGAAATACACCAGGCACATGTACATGAGTGCCCAGGGTCTCAACAAAATGAAGAGATGAAGAAGAAGGTATTGTGACATGCCATGCCCGATAGGGGTTGCTCTCTCCTCCCCCTCTCTCTGTCTCTCTTGCTTTCTCTCTGGAGAGTGCACACACTCTCAAGCAAAAAAAAAAAAAAGAGACTGAAGAAAAAAAAGAGAGAGAAAAGAAGAAATGTAGGCTAGAATAAAGAATCCAAAAACCCAAAAATAAATCCCAAAACGTATAGCTGACGGACTTTTGAAAAAGAGCACAGCGGAGAAAAGAAATTCTTTTCAACAAATGGTGCTGGGAAAACTGGATATCCACCTGCAAAAAAAGGAAGCCAGACTCTTCTCTCTCACCAACTAAAAACCAAACATACATCAACTCTAAATGGATTAAAGAATTAAATGTAAAGCCTGAAACTATAAAACTACTTGTAGGAAATGGAGAGGAAGCATTTGAAGACACAGGAGTAGTTTTTCAAAGATTTCTTCAATAAGACCCCTAAAGTACAGGCAACTCTAAAATTAGGTAAGTAGGATTATATTAAGGTAAAAAGCTTCTACATAAAAAAGGAAATAATAAATAAAGTAACAACTCATACAATAAAAGAAAATATTTGCAGACTATATTTCAGATAAGGGATTAATAACCAGAGTATATTGAAAATGCAAGCAACTCACTCACAGAAAAACTAATAATTCAATTTAAAAATGGATAATCTCTCTGAACAGAAAACCCTCCAAAAAGACATATGAGTTGCCAAAAAAAGGAAAAAATGGTCTATACCTCTTAACCCAAGGAAAATGCAAATGAAAACCACAACTTTTTACCTAACACCAGTCAGAATGGTTGATTAAAAAAAAAAACAAAACACAGGACCAGCAGATGGCGTAGTGGTTCTGTCACTGGACTCCCACATGGGCAACTGTGGTTCAAATCCCAGACCAGGGAGCTGGAAAATAATGCTGGGTGTGTGTGCGTGTATACCCAAGATCCTGGGAGGAGAGTGGAGAAGAAGGAATTGTGGTGTGGCTATCCCCCGGGGGAGTGATTTCTCACTTTCCCTCTCACTGTCTTTGTCTCTCTCTCTCCCCTGTGGAAAGTAAATTAGCACAGCCACTGTGGAAAACAATATGGAGTTTCCTCAAAAATGTACATATAGAACCACCCTATGACCAGAAATCCCACTGCTGTGCATTTATCCAAAGGACAGGATATCACTCTGCCGGACAGAGTGTTGCATATCCATGTTTACTGCAGCAGTGTTCACACAGATAAGTCCTTGAATAGACCTACGTGCCCCCAACGGATGACGGGACAGTGAAAACGTGGGACATATACTCAGGGGGATATTCTCAGCCATAAAGAACGGTGAGACTCTGTCATTCAATACAAAGTGGGCAGATCTAGACAATTAAATGCTAAGTGAAATAAACCAGACTACAAAAGGTGAACAGGTTATGTTCCTGCTTAACATACACCCAATGTCTGTCTGCACTCGAAGGCAGAAATGGAAAGATTATTTTTTTTATTATTTAATTTTATTTATTCATTCATTCATTTCTTAATTTGACCAGAGAGAGACAGAGGGTGAGAGTGAGAGAGAGAGGAAGTGAGAAAGCAAGCCACCAGATTCAGGACTTGAACCCTGGTCAGCCATGTGGGAGTGTCCAGCACCTTAACCACCATGCCACCTGCTGGTCCCCAGAAATGGAAAGATTTGAAGATGAAGAAGTGAGAGGGCAGTTGTAGACACCAGAGTACATGGGAGTGGGGAGGGCTCAGGAAGAAAACATTTAACAGATACGAGAACGCATGTAAACAAAGCCAACAGGTTCTGGGATGGTATAACAACAGAAAAACATATATACTGTTAATTATACACCCACACAAATATACACATAAATGTAAATATATGTAAAAGAACTAGTAGAACAAAAATTCGAGGTTCACAACATAATGTAATGCTCTTTGTTGAAGAATATCCTTGATTTGATTATCACACACTTCATGCCTGCTTTGAAAAGTTATATTGACCCTATGAAGATGTACAATTAAATGTAAGTCCGGGACTTGAACTGTGGTTGACCACATGGGAGTCCAGCAACACAGCCATTACGCCAACTGCTGGTCCCGTCTTTTTCCTTTCTTTTATGATAGGAAGCACACATGTGAACATGAGAGAGAGAGCGAGAACATGTGCACTGACCTCCCATCCCTGGTTAGCCCTCCAGCCCCTCGGGCTCCTGGGCACTGACACATGGGATGGGAACCGCAGTCGACACATGGCGTCCAGCCCTGCAGGGCACTGGTGTCACTGCAGCACCGCAGAGCTCTGGGCTGTGCCCGCCCTGTGGCTCCCTGTGCAGCCGGCTTTGTAACGCTCCTGTACCTTACAGTGGGAGAAGGTCACCGAGTACCGGGCATCCTTGGACTGTGGTGAAGGCACGTCTGGGTCTACCACCGGGGCAGCCACTGTGGACTCGCACTGGTCCCAGAACGTGTACTGGCAGAAGACGAAATTCGAGAGGTTTAAGGGCAGTCCAGTTGCCTCTTTAATTTTTACCTAAAGACAGAAAGAAAAAAAAAGCAAATAAAATCCCCCTGCAGAAAACATTAAATAATACATTATTTTCTTATTTCAGCTATGGCAAATTTAAGAGTAGGCGATAAAAAATGTATCAGTCATGTACATGATGACTGAAAATACGTGACACCATTTCTTTAAGGTTCTAGCTATTGGGTCGTTGGAAAAGTCATGACATGTTTTTCTATGAAAAATGCGTCATGACCTGCCTGACAACCAATATAACCTATCTTAGCAGAGGTCTCTAACAACAGTATGTAAGCTTGGCAACGAAAGCCCGTGTCCTTGGAAAATCGCCCCCATGGCTAAGTCCCGGTATTGACTTAAATATATTCTTTGAAGAACAGCCGTTGTTTTTTTTTTTTTCTTTTTCCTTTTTTGGAGAGGTTTTCGCTATAGGGCGCGTGTGCTCGCCAGACAGACAGAAAGAGACATAGAGACAGAAAGCGAGAAATCACCCCCCAGGGTGGATGGCCACGCCACAATCCCTTCTCCTCCATTCTCCTCTCAGGATCGTGGGCACGCACGCACATGCGCCCGGCATGAGTTTTAAGCCACCAGGTCCGGGACGCAAACCACGGTCGACTATGTGGAGGTCCAGCGACATAGCCATTACGCTAACTGCTGGTTCCCAAGAATAGCCTTGATTTGATATCACATACTTCATGCCTGCTTTGAAAAATTCTAGCAGCATTTACTAGAAAAACATAATTTACTAAGCAGGATTCACTCCTTGCACATCCAAAACACACATACTTTTTTTTTTTTTTAAACACACATACTTTTGAAGTTTTATGAAATGACATCAGAAAGTACACTGTATTTCTAGACTGCCCACCACTGTACTGACTGTCATAAAATTAAAATTTTGTTCTGCGGGATGGAAAACTCTAATGAAAAAAAAAATTTTTTTAAGGTTTTTGCTATGGGACGTGTGTGCTCACCAAGAAGACAGAGAGGGACAGAAAGTGAGAAATCACCCCCCAGGGGGGATGGCCACGCTGCAATCCCTTCTCCTCCATTCTCCTCTCAGGATCTTGGGCACACGTGCCCAGCATGAGTTTAAGCCATCGGGTCCGGGACTTGAACCACGGTCAACTACGTGGGAGTCCAGCGACATAGCCATGAGATTTTTCTGTAAAATTGTTGTGCATTAAGGAGGTCACTTAGGGTCAGCCCCACAGCACAGGGGAAGTGCAGTGTGCAGAAAGCCCATCCCACGTGGCTGGCCAGGGATGAACCCCAGAGTAGCGGCTTTAAAAACATGCCAGGCACATGAGAATGCATTCCCAAAATCCTGACAGGAGAAAGAAGTGGACATGGGACCAGCAGACGGCATAATGGTTATGTTGCTGGGTTCCCATGTAGTCGACTGCTTTGAGTCCTGAACTTGGCAGCATAAAACTCACACCAGGCATGCATGAGCACAGCCACTGTGGAAAACAATATGGAGTTTCCTCAAAAATGTACATATAGAACCACCCTATGACCAGAAATCCCACTGCTGTGCATTTATCCAAAGGACAGGATATCACTCTGCCGGACAGAGTGTTGCATATCCATGTTTACTGCAGCAGTGTTCACACAGATAAGTCCTTGAATAGACCTACGTGCCCCCAACGGATGACGGGACAGTGAAAACGTGGGACATATACTCAGGGGGATATTCTCAGCCATAAAGAACGGTGAGACTCTGTCATTCAATACAAAGTGGGCAGATCTAGACAATTAAATGCTAAGTGAAATAAACCAGACTACAAAAGGTGAACAGGTTATGTTCCTGCTTAACATACACCCAATGTCTGTCTGCACTCGAAGGCAGAAATGGAAAGATTATTTTTTTTATTATTTAATTTTATTTATTCATTCATTCATTTCTTAATTTGACCAGAGAGAGACAGAGGGTGAGAGTGAGAGAGAGAGGAAGTGAGAAAGCAAGCCACCAGATTCAGGACTTGAACCCTGGTCAGCCATGTGGGAGTGTCCAGCACCTTAACCACCATGCCACCTGCTGGTCCCCAGAAATGGAAAGATTTGAAGATGAAGAAGTGAGAGGGCAGTTGTAGACACCAGAGTACATGGGAGTGGGGAGGGCTCAGGAAGAAAACATTTAACAGATACGAGAACGCATGTAAACAAAGCCAACAGGTTCTGGGATGGTATAACAACAGAAAAACATATATACTGTTAATTATACACCCACACAAATATACACATAAATGTAAATATATGTAAAAGAACTAGTAGAACAAAAATTCGAGGTTCACAACATAATGTAATGCTCTTTGTTGAAGAATATCCTTGATTTGATTATCACACACTTCATGCCTGCTTTGAAAAGTTATATTGACCCTATGAAGATGTACAATTAAATGTAAGTCCGGGACTTGAACTGTGGTTGACCACATGGGAGTCCAGCAACACAGCCATTACGCCAACTGCTGGTCCCGTCTTTTTCCTTTCTTTTATGATAGGAAGCACACATGTGAACATGAGAGAGAGAGCGAGAACATGTGCACTGACCTCCCATCCCTGGTTAGCCCTCCAGCCCCTCGGGCTCCTGGGCACTGACACATGGGATGGGAACCGCAGTCGACACATGGCGTCCAGCCCTGCAGGGCACTGGTGTCACTGCAGCACCGCAGAGCTCTGGGCTGTGCCCGCCCTGTGGCTCCCTGTGCAGCCGGCTTTGTAACGCTCCTGTACCTTACAGTGGGAGAAGGTCACCGAGTACCGGGCATCCTTGGACTGTGGTGAAGGCACGTCTGGGTCTACCACCGGGGCAGCCACTGTGGACTCGCACTGGTCCCAGAACGTGTACTGGCAGAAGACGAAATTCGAGAGGTTTAAGGGCAGTCCAGTTGCCTCTTTAATTTTTACCTAAAGACAGAAAGAAAAAAAAAGCAAATAAAATCCCCCTGCAGAAAACATTAAATAATACATTATTTTCTTATTTCAGCTATGGCAAATTTAAGAGTAGGCGATAAAAAATGTATCAGTCATGTACATGATGACTGAAAATACGTGACACCATTTCTTTAAGGTTCTAGCTATTGGGTCGTTGGAAAAGTCATGACATGTTTTTCTATGAAAAATGCGTCATGACCTGCCTGACAACCAATATAACCTATCTTAGCAGAGGTCTCTAACAACAGTATGTAAGCTTGGCAACGAAAGCCCGTGTCCTTGGAAAATCGCCCCCATGGCTAAGTCCCGGTATTGACTTAAATATATTCTTTGAAGAACAGCCGTTGTTTTTTTTTTTTTCTTTTTCCTTTTTTGGAGAGGTTTTCGCTATAGGGCGCGTGTGCTCGCCAGACAGACAGAAAGAGACATAGAGACAGAAAGCGAGAAATCACCCCCCAGGGTGGATGGCCACGCCACAATCCCTTCTCCTCCATTCTCCTCTCAGGATCGTGGGCACGCACGCACATGCGCCCGGCATGAGTTTTAAGCCACCAGGTCCGGGACGCAAACCACGGTCGACTATGTGGAGGTCCAGCGACATAGCCATTACGCTAACTGCTGGTTCCCAAGAATAGCCTTGATTTGATATCACATACTTCATGCCTGCTTTGAAAAATTCTAGCAGCATTTACTAGAAAAACATAATTTACTAAGCAGGATTCACTCCTTGCACATCCAAAACACACATACTTTTTTTTTTTTTTAAACACACATACTTTTGAAGTTTTATGAAATGACATCAGAAAGTACACTGTATTTCTAGACTGCCCACCACTGTACTGACTGTCATAAAATTAAAATTTTGTTCTGCGGGATGGAAAACTCTAATGAAAAAAAAAATTTTTTTAAGGTTTTTGCTATGGGACGTGTGTGCTCACCAAGAAGACAGAGAGGGACAGAAAGTGAGAAATCACCCCCCAGGGGGGATGGCCACGCTGCAATCCCTTCTCCTCCATTCTCCTCTCAGGATCTTGGGCACACGTGCCCAGCATGAGTTTAAGCCATCGGGTCCGGGACTTGAACCACGGTCAACTACGTGGGAGTCCAGCGACATAGCCATGAGATTTTTCTGTAAAATTGTTGTGCATTAAGGAGGTCACTTAGGGTCAGCCCCACAGCACAGGGGAAGTGCAGTGTGCAGAAAGCCCATCCCACGTGGCTGGCCAGGGATGAACCCCAGAGTAGCGGCTTTAAAAACATGCCAGGCACATGAGAATGCATTCCCAAAATCCTGACAGGAGAAAGAAGTGGACATGGGACCAGCAGACGGCATAATGGTTATGTTGCTGGGTTCCCATGTAGTCGACTGCTTTGAGTCCTGAACTTGGCAGCATAAAACTCACACCAGGCATGCATGCTCAAAATCCCAAGAGGAGAATGGGGGTGAAGGGATTGCAGTGTGGCCATTCCTCTGGGGGAGGGGTGATTTCTTGCTTTCTGTCTCTTCTGGGAGTGCATACACTCTATAGCAAAAATATCTCTCTAAAAAAAAAAAAGAAGAAGAAGGGGACCAGCAGTTAGCGTAATGGCTATGTCACTGAACTCCCATGTAGTCGACCGTGGTTCGAGTCCCGGACCCGGTGGCTTAAACTCACACTGGGCGTGTGTGTGTGTGTGTGCATGCCCAAGATCCCAAGAGGAGAAAGGAGAAGGGACTGCCACGTGGCCGTCCCCCTGGGGGTGATTTCTTGCTTTCTGTCTCTCTTTGTCTTTCTGGTGAGGGCACGTACCCTATAGCAAAAACCTCTCAAAAAAAAGAAGTGAACAGAAAAAGATTGAGGCGTGACCACGCCCCATTTGGGGGCTCTCTCTCTCTGTCTCAAGTTCACACACTCTCTGGAGATCCCCCCTCAAAAAAATTCATCTTTACGAGCCTCCCGTTGCCACCCTCTCACCCGGCAGGTCAGCTTCTTGACGCGGTGAGCGATCTCGCCACTGCTGTCCACGACCTCCAGGCTCCCGCTCTCGCTGGAGTTCTCCGAGGAGTCATCCTCCACCACGCGCTCCGGGACGGCTCCCGTGACGCGCATCACCTCCACGTGCAGGCGCCCGGCGACCTGGGTCACGGAAGCAGAGTGGAGTGTTTGGCATCCCGTGGGCAGGGCAGACCCGAGCAGAGACTCCACGCGAGCCCCGGTGAGCGGCTCTGCTGCTCGCATTGGCCACTGGCAGCGGCAGGGACCCACCATTCCCAGAGGGGTCCATCCCAGGGCTTGCCTCGCCAGCATCCTGCTTGGCAGAGCCAACGTGGTCTCCCTCCCCCTGCCTTCGAGCCCCCCTCATCTCGTCCTTCTACGGGACAGGCAGGAACCACTTAAAGGCAGCTCTCACATCCCACCTGGAGCTGTCTGCTCTCTGTGTGCATGCACTCACACACTCACTAGGACAGACGCCTCGCCTTCCAGGGTGCCAAGAGAAAGGCTCAGACTCTGCCATCAGGGAACTCAGTCAAGAGGGACGGACAGAGAACTGAAAGCCGGGACAGCTGCTTAGCCCAGTCGTTATAGCAGAGACCTGTGCAGGTCGTCGCAGGATACATCTGTCCGCTCAATAGATATTTATTTGCCAAGAACGACTAAGCCAGCAACTGCACCAAGTGCTCACAAAGCAGACAGACGCCCCCTGGGCTCCCGCCATCACCCTGGGGAAGAGCAGGGGCTGGGAGCAGAAGGGCTCTGTGCGGTGGTGACATCACCTGTACTCCGGGAGAAACAGCACACATGAAACCAAGATGTGGGGAAGCAGTTCTTTTAAAACTGTTTTGGGGCCTGCAGATGGTATGGTGGTTAAGGTGCTGAATCCCACATGACTGTCTCCACAGTTTGAGTCCTGGACCCGGCAGCTTGAAAATCAAGCCAGGCTTGTGTGCATGCATGCCCAAAATCCTGAGAGAAGGGATTGTGGCATGGACATCCCCTGGAGGAGGAGTGATTTCTCACCTTCTCTCTCTCTCTGTCTCTCGCCAGTGAATGCACATGCCTAATAGAGAAAACCTAAAACAAATAAACAAGGGAACTAAAAACCTTTTATTATTTTTTTTAATCAAAAGTTTGTATTTGCTATCAAGGTTGCTCTCTGGACAGGAGCTGGCTAACTGCTCATTAAGCTGGTTGCACCAAATCAAGTTAGGCGTCCAGGGGTCACCTTGAAGCTTGCGTTCATGGGGTGCTTTAATTGTCTTTGTTCTCTCATAACCCAGCCTGAGGTCGTGGGAAGGGGACCTGTGCTCTGGCAGCCTGCGTGTCTCCTGAAATAGTGAAGGTTGTGTTTCAAGGCTGTCTGGACCCAGCTTCCACACAGCCGAGGGCCTTGGCCCTAAGGACTTGGGAAAAACGAGTTGGTGATATTTGATAAGTAGGACAATACAGAGAAAGGAGGAAGGAAGTGAGAAAAACAGCTGGAAAGTAATGGAGCTGACTCTGTTTTCAAAGCTTTTTCTCTTTTTTAAGGTTTTTACCACAGGGGGTGTAAGCTCACCAGAGAGAAAGAGGGAAAGCGAGAAATCACCCCCCAGGGGGGCTGGTCACACTGCAATCCCTTCCCCTCTGTTCTCCTCCTGGGATCTTGGGCACATATGCACACACACCCAGCGTGAGTTCTGAGCTATTGGGTCAGAAACCCAAACTGTGGTTGGCCACGTGGGAGTTTCAGGACCTCGGCTCTTAGGCCAGCTGCTGAAATAGTGCTTTTTTTTTCCCAATGCTTTATAAAGAACTTAATACACTTTTTAAAAATTATTTATTTTATTTGTTATTATTATGATTTAATTTGACAAGAGAAGGAGAGAGAGAAAGAAGGTGAAAGAGCAAGACACCAGGTGTGAGACTTGAACCATGGCTGGCCATGTGGAGGTCCAGCACCTAACTACCATGCTACCTGCTCGCCCCAAGAATTTAATACACTTTTTATATAATTTCAGGGTAGTTCACAGGATACTCAAAGCACATCAGGGATCCCAGCTTAAGGATCTCTGGGCTAGGGAGTCAGCAACTAGATCCTTTAGCTACATGAGTTGTGTCCACTTTTTTTTTAATAAGAATTATTTTATTTAACTTTATTTATTTATTTTAATTTGAGCAGAGAAGGACAGAGAGAGAGAGAGAGAGAGAGAGAGGGAGGGAGGGAAAGTGAGAAAGCAAGCCGCCGGGTCCAGGACTTGAACCGCAGTCGCCCACGTGGGAGTCCAGTACCCTTAACCACCACGCCACCTGCTGGCCCGTGTCCACTTTTAACATGAGCAAAAGTGATGCAAGCCCCTGGTCTGCTAGAATGGAATGTTCTCGGGGATCACTCACAGAGTGGGACCTGTGGACTTTATCCCACACCTGGGAACCTGGGTCTATTTCCCAGCGTCACCTTGGGCAGAATGGCTTCTTATTCTCAGCCTGCTCTAAGAACCACAAGAAATGACCTGGGAGTTCCAGCTCACATGTTACTGGAGGACGAGCTAGAAAGGGAGGATAATACTAAATTGAGAATAAGGGCAACAGTGGATGAAATGGGTAAAAGCTAAAAAAGGTTTGAGCGTGGAACATTCTCTGAAATGTCTCAGGCCTTCGTAAGTCCAGTATATCTGAGTAAGTGAGACATGAGCGTTTAAAGGGGGCGGACTATGAGCTGTGCAAGCTTGTTTTCTAGAAACACTTTGGATTCCAAAACAAATCCTCACAAGACGTAGCTTGCAAAGACCACTGAGGGGCTGGGAAGAAACCAGAGTGTCACGAAGGTATGAGATTTCCTTCAGAAAGATAAATTAATACGGGCACGGGGTTGAACTCAGTTTCCAAATGACTCTAACTCGACTAAAACAAACAAACAAAAAAAACTGGTGAACCATAAATCCAGAATGTACCATTTTAACAATCTTTGACAGCCAGTTCTTAATTCTGATAGTTTCTTTTATTAGCTAATAGCAGAGAAGTAAGAATGCAGAACCTAAATACCTCCCCTACTTCCTTGATCTACCTCAAGATGATGGCTTGAGACACTGCAATGAAAAAATAACCCCCAGATGGACCCTGTCATTTTCTCCAAGACGGGCCCTCCTTACCTCCCCCTGCTGGCTGATGATGGGGACTGCATACTGAAGCTTCACGTCACAGAACAGGCATTCCAAGAACACGTTAGCCACCCCGATGAGGTTGTGGTTCTCTTGGGCTTCATAGAAAGGGTCCCCTCGTTTCCCGTAGAGTCTCTTTGCCTGATGGTAGGAGGGGAAGGTGGGAGGAAAAATAAAAAAAAGAACAAAACCATCAACTGAAATCATATGACTTACAATTAGCATTTAAAAATTTTTTTAAAGTAAACATGCATCCATGTGAAAGAACCAAGAAGCAAAATTAGAATGACACACAAATAAAACAAAGTGAGCGTGTGGGAGACGCTCGTCTGTGGGGACGATTCTGCTTCGGTTCCTGTCATCATCCCTGTCACACTCCACCCACAGCCTGTTCCAGCTCGGTCCCTGCGCTTCCCCTCCTCTCCTTCGCCAGGTCTCCCCACCACTACGGGCCGAAGATGGACTGTGTGCATGGAGAGTCCTCCTAGGACCCGCCCGGCCCTTGTCCCACAGCAGAGCCCACGGACACCTGCCAGTGAGCACAGATCCACGTGGGTGCCGGCTGAGCTGGCTCTCACGGTGCCGACAGATCAGAGGGAATCGGGGCCAGCAGGTAGTGTGGTGGTGAAGAGCCCTGGACGACCATGGTCGACCATGGTGGACCACAGTTCAAGTCCCAGACCTGGTGGCTTGCTTTCTTACTTTCGCTCTCTCTGTTTCTCGCTTAGCCCCTCTCTGGTCAAATTAAAATAAATAAAGTTAAATAAAATAATTCTTAAAAAAAAAAGAGAGAGAGAGAGAGAGAGAGAGCGAATCTACTTTGTCCCGCTTACATCCCTGGAAATGTGGGAACGATGGGGCCGGACAGAAGTCTGCTGTGTGTTCTCATCGAGTTTCCACCTGTGTGGGCCCGACCTCGCGCTCCTGTCAGGATCACTTTTACTGTATTTTCCTAACACAGACGTCCGAAGTATCAGGGGGACGTCCGTGCCTGTGTGGGTGAGAGTGCTGTTCTGACGGCTGAATCACTGATCACTAAGTGCTTACGGCACACCCGGACCTCCCTCCGCTGCCTCTAGTACCTCTGGAACTTTCTCCTTCCATTCTTGGTAAAGGTCGCGCATGTCGATTAATTTATTCTCCAGCTTCTCGATGGTCCACACCTGTGTGCTCTTTCCTTTCCGCCTCACCTGGATGGCCGGCTCGCTCACGATGACCCCCCTCTGCAGCACCACGGAAAGAAACGGTGGATGGTGTTAGCACTTCTCTTGTGGTTGCTAAAGCAATTCGCAGTCGTCAGCTCGTAAGTTTGCAAAACACATACATGTCTACCAAAGGAGGTAAAGTTCTAACAGCGAGGGAATGGTCTGGTTTACGTGTCGTCTTCTTGTATGCCCTGTAGATCGTTTTTATTTTCGTCATAATATGGACCTAACGAAAATGTAATCTCATGTCCTAAACTTTTTCCAGTTTTCTTACTGTTTTCCTGTATCATTAAATATACTTTGGTATATCATTTTTTTTTAATTGCTAGAGGGTATGTGCACTTACCACAAAGAGAAAGAGAGAGAAGGAGGGAGAAAGCATCCCCAGTGGGGCATGGTCACACTTCAACTCTTCTCCTTCATTTCTCCAAACTGTTGGGATGGGGGCACGCATGGACATGTACCCTGCATGTTGTTCCAAGTCACAGCGGCCGGGATTTGAACCTCACTTGGCCAGGTGATATCTAACTCCCTTAAACTCTAGGCCCCAGCCGGCTCTCATGAAATACACTTTATTAAAATGATATTTAAGGGCAACATATCGATAGCAATCCATATGGGCTTGCCACAAGCTGGACTGACCCACAGCCCAGCATCATGGCTGTCCCTGTCTTTGCTGTCCTAACAGCCACCACGGGGAGCACCCTTGCACATCAGAGGCCATAAGGCTTGGGCGATACTTCCGACTGTGGACTTAAAAAATATTCCTTAAAGAAAGAACTACTGGGTCAAAAGACGAAAATCCAGAGATAGTCTCTGACCCACTTCCTAGTTGCTAGCTGGAGGGAAAAATAGATGGATGAAAAAACTGTGTTTTTCCAAGTTTCTCCCTGCAAGCTGAAATGAGAGGAAACTTCCCAATGACTGTGTATGTAAAGATAGATATTACAAAGTCATCCTTTTTTGTAGAATTTAGTGTCTTTTAAAAAGACACTAAAATAAAATGTGCACACATCCTGGGCCGTTTCGGGAGAAGTCATTTATCTGCAAGGAAAAGCCGGCAGGATTACTTACATATGAATTTCTAGCTCCACTCTTTTGAAGAGAGCACTTAAACTAGCAAGTCCTGGCCATTAGCCTTTAGCCATTAAAATTCTGCTAATTTTGCTTCTGTCCTATCTCAGGGCGTTGTTCACAGGGCACTCTTACCCAGGAAGGAGCAGAGGGGACCTCACAAAGAACGAACACGCCAGCTCCTGCCATCTCCTCCGGATGCTGCCGGGTCTGAGAGGAAGGCTCTGTCCCACAGTGTTTCCGCTGTGTGTCATGCTTCATCTCTAGGACACTCACCTTTCTGTTGGCACTGAGGTTCGTGGCGGGGATCTGGAGAGTCACTTGGTAATCGGTGAGCTTGCGCATTTCCTCCGCCAGGAAGTTGGCCTCCCTCACCAAGGTGTTGGCTTTCACCAGCTGCTCTCGCAGTTTGGCCAGGCTTTGCCGGAAAAGCTCATCCCTGGGTGTCACAGAAGAGCGAATGGAGAAATTAAAAGGAGGTGCGACTCTGTTTCCGAGGGGGCAGTCTTATCAGAAAATGGCAGAGAAGTCCTTTCGGGCACTACTTCTCAATCTATTTACGGGGTACTTATCTCCTACCCAGGGGCATCTGCCGGGAACCACCCATGGGAGCGGGCTGTGGAGACACTTAACTGAAAGCCAGGTTTACATTATGTAACATCTGAGAAGTATCAGATTTTGATTTGAAGATGGAAAAAAATCCAATAATGGGACGACTGGGGTGGGGGCAGGGAAGGTGCTTTTGACTTTTGTGTGTTGGGAGAGGATGAGCAAGGGGAGGGTTGGCAGGTGAGCGAGGCCTGAAGCTGGAAGGAGGAGGCATGAGCCGTGAGCTCTGCAGTGGACGAGTCCTGCCGTGCGGCTCCTCTGCAGCAGCAGGGGTTCCTTCCCAGCTCTCCAAACCACAGCCCTTGCTGACAGCAGGCTTCTCCGACACCCTGACCTGGCCGAGCGCCCGCACAGCATCTGCCACGGCTAAACTTTTCATTTATTTTTATGACTACTTGACGAGTGTCTGCCTCCCCTACAAGCCCGTTAGCATCCCTCAGGCAGGAACCAGGTCTTTTTAGCTTAGTTCCTGGCCTAGTGCAAGGATTTGAAGGATATTTAAAACACGTGTACTAGGGGTCGGGAGGTGGTGTGGTGGTTAAGGTGCTGGATTTCCATGTGGCTGACCATGGTTCAAATACTATACCTGGCTGTTTGCTTTCTTACTTTCCCTGCCTCTCTCTCTTTGATCAAATTAAGAACCAAAAATAATAACAGATAAAATTAAACAAATTATTAAAAAAAATAAGAAACGGGGACCAGCAGTCAGCATAATGGCTACGTCTCTGAAGTCCCATGTAGCTGACTGTGGTTCGAGTCCCAGACCCGGTGGCTTAAACTCATGCTGGACGCATGTGACTGTGTGCACAAGAACCCGAGAGGAGAATGGAGGAGGAGGGATTGTGGTGTGACCATCCCCCCGGGGGAGGGTGATTTCTTGTTTTCTATCTCTCTTTCTGGTGAGTGCACGTGCCCTATAGCAAAAACCTCTCAAAATAAATAAATAAATAAATAAATAAATAATAACAGCACATCACCCACTGAATGAACGACAGGCGCCTTCCGGTTTTGATGCCTGGATCTGGGCTCCGGGCTCCCAGGTGACCCAGCCTGGTGCTGGCTCTGTGCCCTACCCCTTCTCCCCTCCCCCACTTACCCACTCCTCCATCAGTGTCCCTGTCACCATAGGATGACACAGGAGGCCCACAGTGAGGGTCTAGATGAAGACAATGGTTTTCCTAAACGATATCACCAGTTTTACATCCCTCGGGCTTGGGTTCTTTCAGTATGTTCAATCTTTTCTCTTTTCACACAATAAATCAAACAAAAACACAAAGCCCGTGGTTCACGTGTTACGTGAAACTACTGCCACGCCTGGGCTGTGGTGAGAACACAGGAGTGACGACGACTTTCTGATCCTCTCACTCCCCGTCTTCCTCCACTGCCTCCTCACGGAGTTCTCATACAAATATTCTAGAGCCATAAACTTTTTTTTAACATTTTTTTAAAGAATTACTTATTTCATTTTATTTATTATTATTATTGTTATTTAAATCGACTGCAAATAGACAAAGAAAGAAAAGGAAAGTGAGAAAGCAAGACACAAGGTCCCTGACGTGGAATGCGGTCGGCCAGTGCGAGTTAATGCCTTAAATACCATACCACCTGCCGGCCCTAGCCATGAACTTTTAAAATTTACATTTAGCAGATTTCCTAAGACTAAAGGTGTATCTAAACAGAATCAAGGGAGAAATAAAAAGAAGGAAATGTGTTTGCGGTAAGGAATTATTCAAACTTCCTCTATTCCAGCCCTTAACGGTCCCAGCCTTCAATCCAGTGTGCTTTGCACCAAAGGGTAAGTGACTGGAGGTGGGGGCGGGGGTCTCTCACCGCTGACCTTACAGTGAACACACCCAGGATGGCCACTGTCTTGGGAAGGAAAAGCCAATGGCCCACAAAGCAGACGAGGGACTAAGGTATCTCTCCTCGCTGGGCTTGTCCTGGGGCTCCCTGAGCCCCACTCACCACCCCGGCCCTGCAGCTCTGAGCTGGGTGCCAGCCCCACCCTGTCCTTACCTGTCCTCTGCCCACTGGGTCACCTCCTGAGCCCCACTCACCACCCCGGCCCTGCAGCCCTGAGCTGGGTGCCAGCCTCACCCCGTCCTTACCTCTCCTCTGCCCACTGGGTCACTTGCTGCTGTGCCGTCTGGCTGCTGTAGGCCCGGCGGGGGGGGGCGCTGGCGCCTGCCTCTCCGGGGACAGCTGCTGGCGGAGCTGCTCCAGCTCCCGCTCGTACATGAGCCGCTGCTCCTCCAGGGCGCTCCGCTTCTCCTCCAGGTACTGCTTCTCCAGGACCTGGACCACGTTCTGCACGGGGTCTGGGGGACAAGGCAAGGTGTCTTCAGTGGGGACGAAGACAGGCACCCGCCAGGTGCTACGGCCTGCCAGGGCTGCTTCTGCCAAGACCTGTCCCCTGCCTTGGAATCCAGCCCGATACGTTTCCTCTGAGGTCCGCGGGGCCTCGTGAGGCGAAGTCACCTCCATTTCCTCTACGGACATTCTAGATGAACGCCTCTGTGCAAACATCACGTGAGCTCCCTCTCACGTTCAGACAGGGTATGAGTCTGCCACCTTCAGGGGGTGGAGGAGAGGGGATGTGATCCTGCCCGAGAAGGACAACTAGAGACAGGGGCACGTGAACCCAGTGGCTGTGCTTGTTTGTGTCCTGTGCCCACGTCACAGTGGTTTCGGCATGTGACAAAGGGTTTATGATGTTTGTGACAAACCTTAGTGCTCTGGAATTTCTCTAAGGTTGGGGGGACCTTACAGGTCACACAGCACGCTGGACAGTATGGTCAGCCTTCTAGATCTGGGGGTCCTGCATCTGCAGAGTCAACCAACTGCAAAACTGCTACTTGGCTGCTGACCGGGACCAGGTAGTTAGGCCTACTAGTTAGCCCAAGATGGCGGCATCCTTATTGGACATGGGTAAGTGATACCGTGTACCAACTGCACAGCGTCCACAGCCTTCACCTCGCAGGCACCAGGACCGTACTGGACGTAACCCAGAGGTGATTTCAAGCGCACGGGAGGATGCGTAGGTTATATGCAAATATTGAGAGTACGCCATTTTATAAGCGACTTGAGCACCTGGATTTTATCTATGGAGTCCTGGAACCCCCGTGGACACTGAAGGATGACTGTACTGGCTGAGTGTATGGTCTGGTCATTGCTAGGTGCTAATATCTAGGAGGGCGATACTTGCAAGAATAACAAAAGCTCGCTTCTGCCATGGGATTGGTGCAGACCCAGAGTGCGCCACGGTTGACACAAGTGAGCAGGGACAGGAGCCGGGGGGATGACTCGTGGCCGTGGCGTAGGTGGGATTTGAGACTGAACAGCTAGTATCCTGGCCAGCACACTGAGCTCGGGGACTTGAAAAGAGATTGAGGCACCGGCCACGTGTGCCCGGCAGAAAGTGAGCGACCCCTGAATGACTGTAGGGAGGCAGTACACTGGACGACACAGCTGCGAGAACAGTACTTCCGAGAAGCAGGAATTCTCAGGAAGAGGGTTCTTTTTATTTGATTTGATGATGGCTGTTGGCTGACTTTGCCAAAACGCCCTATCATTTATGAGATGCATATATAAACTTCACTAATTTTCTATATTAGTAGTTAAGATAAAATGGTAACACGTTAGCTTAAAAAATTAGATGAAATAATAAAAAACAAACGAGCAATGTTTTTTAAAAAAAGAATCACAAGAAATGCTCAGTACAGGTGAGTTGTTTTTAATGACAACGACAACCACAATGGCAACAATAACTCGAGCAGCTACGTCTCAGGGGGAGGGGCTACCCAAACCCTTTCATGCATCAGCTCACCAAAGCCTTGCAACACACCTTAAGGGATGTTGAAAACTGCATTTGCGGCTGCCATGACAATGCAAATCCTACTTGTCTGGTCCCACCAGTGGCACCAAGAGGCGTGGAGACGTGCAGAGAACAGCTCAACACATCCTTCCCTGAAGCCTCCCCATACAGCCTGCTGTGGAGACCTGGATCTGCCTCCACCTGTGGCTCTGGTGGGCCGGAGCCTAGGGCATTTCACCTCTGATCCCAGTGACCATCTGAAAAACCTTTCTTGGGACCAACAGTTAGTGTAATGGCTATGTCGCTGGACTCCCATGTAGTCGACCGCAGTTCACGTTCTGGACCCAGTGACTTAAAACTCATGCCGGGCGCGTGTGCATGTGTGCCCAAGATCCCGAGAGGAGAAAGGAGGAGGAGGGATTGTGGCGTGCCCATCCCCTCTTGGGGGGAGGGGGTGATTTCTCGCTTTCTATCTCTCTGTCTCTCTCTGTCTGGCAAGTGCACACACCCAATAGCAAAAACCTCTCAAAAACAACAACAAAAAAATTAAATTGAAAAACCTTTCTTACAGATGTCTTTGACAATATTTTCTCTTCGAATCAGTGGGCCTGTGAGCCTTTACCACATGAACAGCATATTTTAAACAGAGCGGCCTGATAGGCAAGTCACGCTGACTCTGGGGTGAGGTCCAGGACGGAAGCCAAAGATTCTTTGGCCTCTTCTCAAATAACGAATTAGATGCCCACAGTTTCATTTTTCCTATCTCTTTTTGCCTCCTGAAAAAAATTCCTTTAAAATTCAGATAGCCTGGTACCTAAGGTGAAGATATTAAAGAGCTAAGTTATTTTTTTGTTCTCACCCCTCCCCCCACCAATATTTTCAAAGGCATGTGTGCTTACTGGGGAAAGAGACAGAAAAAGAGAGAGAGAGAGAGAGAGAGAAAGCACCCCCCATGGGGGATGGCCATGCTGCAATTCTGTCTACATTTCTCTCCGGAGTTTGGGCATACATATACATGTGCCTGGGGTGTTTCTCAAGCTGCTGGCCCGGGGCTCACACCACACAGTGAGCCACGTGGGACCCAGCTGCCTTAATCGCCAGGGCACCTAGTGGCCCAAGCAAGGCCTTCAGGAGGAGAAGCACATTTGCTCTGGGCACAGGGTCTTCTTCCCTCTGTCGGTTTGTCCCTCACCTGGAGGTAACTACAAAATGAACTCAGACGAGTGTCCTGGGAATGGAAAAGCGAAGGCGGTGTACTGAGCGTGGTGCTGGTGGGAGGCTAGTTACATGAGAGAATGAAAATTAATTTACACCGAGGTGTGCAAAGGCCTGACTGCAGGAAGGAGATCCTCAGGACAGGCCCTTTGCATCCCAGGTGGAATAAACTGGTTCTCGGACGCTCCGTCTGTCCCCCGCTTGCTTTCTGACTCCGAGCTGCCCGACTGCAGGAGCCAGCGAGCGTCCGACTCATTCTGAGCGGTGGGAGAGCAGCACTGCCACGGATCCCACGGATACCAGGTTTCCTTTGACTTTCAACTCAGACCCGCTGGGTTTTACATCAGTATTGACTGTCGAGACGCGAAATGACATTATTCTCGTCTCTTACCGGGATGACCTAAGTGTATGTGTATTTGGGAGTGCTGCGTTCCTGAACCGTTCCGCTGTCAGCGGTAACGAAGCCACAGTCGCACATCACAGCCATAACGACATAATACTGCGGTAGCGAGCGCACCAGTAAGGCTTCTCCGTGCTGCCCAGAGGAGTGCAGAGAGGGACGGCGCTATCCGGGGATCACCGTGGGGACGTAACGGGACTGGGACATGCGGGAGGGGTGGGCTGCGGCTCGTAACTGCAGGAGCGTTCCTCTGTCAGAACACGGAGCATCTTCAGCCGAGAGCTTCCGCGTCTCCCAGTCGAGTTAGTGAGGCTTAGCCAAAGCCAGCAGCACTGCTGAAAACCAGCCAAGCCCCCGCCCGCCCCGTGCTAGGCCTGTCAGTCCAAGACCTTTCTCCCAGCGTTTGTGGAGCAGCTTCGTCTGAAACCACACGAGAGGGAAGAGAATCTTCAGATAGGACCACCACGGGGACGACCACCAGGCAGACAGGCTGATGATCGGGAAGCCACCTAGCAGCAGAGGGAATCCCTGAGCTCTGTCCACACCGGCACGTCACCCGGGCTCAGAGCATGCCCAGGTGCCCGGAGGGAAGCCCCACTCACTGGTGGAACTGGACAAGGGCTACAGAGGTGGAGCATCTGTCCCTTTATAGACACAGAATCAGGCCTTGGGTCCAGAAGACGGCACAGCGGTTACGTCATCGGACTCCCCCATGGCAGTCATGGTTCAAGTCCCAGACCTGGTAGATTGAAACTCGGTGTGCAAAGGCCTGACTGCAGGAAGGAGATCCTCAGGACAGGCCCTTTGCATCCCAGGTGGAATAAACTGGTTCTCGGACGCTCCGTCTGTCCCCCGCTTGCTTTCTGACTCCGAGCTGCCCGACTGCAGGAGCCAGCGAGCGTCCGACTCATTCTGAGCGGTGGGAGAGCAGCACTGCCACGGATCCCACGGATACCAGGTTTCCTTTGACTTTCAACTCAGACCCGCTGGGTTTTACATCAGTATTGACTGTCGAGACGCGAAATGACATTATTCTCGTCTCTTACCGGGATGACCTAAGTGTATGTGTATTTGGGAGTGCTGCGTTCCTGAACCGTTCCGCTGTCAGCGGTAACGAAGCCACAGTCGCACATCACAGCCATAACGACATAATACCGCAGTAGCGAGCGCACCAGTAAGGCTTCTCCGTGCTGCCCAGAGGAGTGCAGAGAGGGACGGCGCTATCCGGGGATCACCGTGGGGACGTAACGGGACTGGGACATGCGGGAGGGGTGGGCTGCGGCTCGTAACTGCAGGAGCGTTCCTCTGTCAGAACACGGAGCATCTTCAGCCGAGAGCTTCCGCGTCTCCCAGTCGAGTTAGTGAGGCTTAGCCAAAGCCAGCAGCACTGCTGAAAACCAGCCAAGCCCCCGCCCGCCCCGTGCTAGGCCTGTCAGTCCAAGACCTTTCTCCCAGCGTTTGTGGAGCAGCTTCGTCTGAAACCACACGAGAGGGAAGAGAATCTTCAGATAGGACCACCACGGGGACGACCACCAGGCAGACAGGCTGATGATCGGGAAGCCACCTAGCAGCAGAGGGAATCCCTGAGCTCTGTCCACACCGGCACGTCACCCGGGCTCAGAGCATGCCCAGGTGCCCGGAGGGAAGCCCCACTCACTGGTGGAACTGGACAAGGGCTACAGAGGTGGAGCATCTGTCCCTTTATAGACACAGAATCAGGCCTTGGGTCCAGAAGACGGCACAGCGGTTACGTCATCGGACTCCCCCATGGCAGTCATGGTTCAAGTCCCAGACCTGGTAGATTGAAACTCACACCAGATGCGTGTGTATGCATGCCCAAGACCCCAGGGGGAAAAGGGATTGCAGTGTGGCCATCCGCCTTGTGGGTAATTTCTCACTTTTTCTCTCATTGTCTCTGTCTCTCTCTCTGGTGAGCACATGTGTCCTAAGGCAAAACTACCTGTATATATAATAATAATAATAATAAAAATCAAGACTCAGAGAGCAAGGCCTGACCTGGAGAAAAGGAGTAATGCGTGTGAGCAATATGAGCAGGCCAGGGACTGACCTCTGGCTAAAAGGACTGAGGACACGAACAGAAGATGCTTACTACATACTCACTGGTTAGTTAGGGGTCTCGTACACGCGTGATGTGGAGTGGGTAAAATCAGAAATCCGTAATCCAGGATGGGTAAATGACTACACTGACACCACCTGGACGCTCCGTGGAATGAGAGACCACAGAAGTCTAGAGTTCTATAACCACACCTGAAGAAATAGGCCCTCTCCAAAGGGGCTTTCTGCCACCTGCAGCTTACAGCTCCATTCTCCTCCATTCTCCTCTCGGGATCTTGGGCACACACGCACACACGTCTGATGTGAGTTTTAAGCCCCCGGGTCCGGGACTCAAACAGCGGTCGACTACGTGGGAGTCCAGCGACATAGCCATTACGCCAACTGCTGGTCCCCTGTTTGATTCTATTTAAAATTCCGGGCCTCATACTCTTTTAGAGATTTCCAGACTCTCAACAATTCAGAAACGACAGGTTCGGGCGTGGAGAATCCAGTAAGGAATTCTTCAAGACCCCGTTCTGTGTGCATGGACCGGGGGAGTGCTAGCGAGCTCTACACCTGAGGGGCGAGTGCCCATGAGCCCCTCCTTGACGGCCCCCGGAGGGGGAGGGCAATTGTGTGTCTGGATTTCAGAAAGACATTCCCTTCTCCACACTTGGCCCTGACCACCCACCCGAGCGTGGGCGTGCCCAGGGAGCTGGCCCAGGGCCAGGGCCTCACCGTTGCTGTTCAGCGTCTTCATGATGACCTCCATCTGTGCAAACTCGTAGTTGTAGTCCGGCTCGGAGGATGCCTCGCTGGCCGCGTCCAGGTCGTGCTCCGGCGGACCCGTCTCTTTCTCCAAGTCTTTCAGCCAGTCTCGCCGTTTCCTCTTCGGTAAGTTAATTCTGTGGGGTTTTCACGCTGACAGTCAACTCGTCCTCACTCACACAGGCAACGCGGAGAGCGTACAGGGGAAGAGGAGCGGACACAGACATGTTACCTGAAAAAGTGGTTATTCCCCCACAGGATGCGGTCCCCGTGCCACAGCTGGGTGCCACTGCACACCTGGGCGCCGTTTACGCAGGACCTGCGGGCGAGACGGGACGAGAATGAGCAGGGCACCCAGCCCGGGAGCCAGAGTGTCGGGGCTTTCTCTAATAGGAGTGTGCTGATGAGGACGAAGGAGGGTAAGGGGCACATGTGACCAATACCCACACAGGGCAACGGCCGCCAGCCTTCGACAGCCTGGCTCCACGTGCTCCTGATGGGCACAGAACACACGCCCGGCTTGTGAACACCTGAGCTGGACCTGGCTGGAATCCTTTAGCTAAAGACCAATTCCGGGGAACACCGAGGACAGGGGAGAGGGCAAACGATGTGGAAACACTAGGGCCAACAACCAGGTGTCTTCAACTAAAAACGCAAGGAGAAAGGACTCAGAGACAGACGCACACAGGAAAAGAGGAAAGGGAAACCGTAAGCTAAAAGCCGCCTCTGAAGTATCTTAAAGAACAGCAATGTCGAATCTTACTTGTATCCCATTTTTTTTTTTTTTTGAGAGAGATTTTTGCTATAGGGTGTGTGCACTCACTGGAGAGACAGAGAGAGAAAGAGAGACAAAGAGACAGAAAGTGAGAAATCACCCCCTAAGGGTGGGTGGCCATACCACAGTCTCTCCTCCATTCTCCTCTTGGGACTTTGGGCATGCACACCCACATGCCCAGCCTGAGTTTTTAAGCCCTTGGGTCCGGGGCTTGAACCACAGTTGACTATGTGGGAGTCCAGAGATGTAACCATTATGCCACCTGCTGGTCCCTTATATCCCAATTTTAAGAAACTGAAAAAGAACATTTTCGAGATAACTGGGAAGTCTGAACACGACTGGGTATGGGGTGATTAGTCAAGGATTACTTCAAACTATTTGGGGCGTGATGGAGTTCACACTGTTTAAGAACCCTCATCTTTTTTTTTTTTTTTTTTGAGAGGTTTTCGCTATAGGGCGTGTGCGCTCGCCAGACAGAGACATAGAGACAGAAAGGGAGAAATCACCCCCCAGAGGGGATGGTCATACTGCAAACCCTTCTCCTCCATTCTCCTGTCAGGATCTTGGGCACACACGCACACGCGCCTGGCGTGAGTTTTAAGCCACCGGGTCTGGGACGCGAACCACGGTTGACTACGTGGGAGTCCCGCGACATAGCCATTACGCTAACTGCTGGTTCCCAAGAACCCTCATCTTTCAGAGGCACATGCTGAGATGTAATGTATGCGATGCTGTCAGACCTGGGATGTGCTTTCAAATAATCCAGGGGAGGGCGAGGACACACACAAGGCGTGTAAATAACTAAAACGGGATCGTACATAAGGCGCTCACTGTTGAGGCTGGAGCACAGACACACGCGTGCTTCTTCATCTACTTTTGTGTTTGAAATTTTCCACAATAAAAACTTGGAGGCAAAATCCACAAAAGCTACCAGACAAGCTATGAGAAATAAAGAGCTGCGGACGGGGAGGCAGCCCTGCCAGTCCTCCTCATCCCGCGCCGCTCAGGTGCCACGCCGTAATGCCTGCGCCGTATCCCTGCGCTTGTGCTGGCCGACTCACCTTGTCCTCGTCTGTACCTGTGACAGGACTGGAAGATGAAACACCTCTGCTCGCTGACACCAAGACGTGGTCCTTCCCTGCACTGCCACCTCGACAGCTGAAAGGCCGTTGTGAGGAGTAGGCTGAAGAAGTCAGTGCAGAGGACTTCGCGGGTTCCCTAGTACTATAAGGGCTCGGCAAGTGAGGCCAGCAGGTGGCGTGGTGGTTAAGGCATTAGACACTCCCACATGGATGACCATGGTTCGAGTCCTGGACCTGGTGGCTTGTTTTCTCACTTTCCCTCTCTCCGGTCAAATTTAAATGAATGAATTAAAAAATTAAAGAATAAATAATTCTTTAAAAAAACAAAAAGATCTCATCAAACATTCTCTGACGGTCAGGCAGAGTCACTGTCACCTTTTTTAGCATAGAGGAAGTCTCCCAGAATTTTTAGCTCTGACAATTTTAGTCTTCTCATAAACATGTCTTCCACCTGAAGAGGTCTGGGCCCAATATGGCGGCACTCGGCAGCACGCGAACCGCAGTGCTGGACGCCACATGCCGACTGTGGGTCCGGATTCCCAGATCAGCCTGAAAACACACTGGGCGTGTCTGTGTGGCCAAGATCCTGACGAGCTGGACACTGGAGAAACGGGGTCACGGTGTGAAGAAGCCCTGTCAAGGGTGCGTCTCTCGCTCTTTATCTCTTAGTACACGCGCATGCACTCTGCCACGGATAAAAATAGGCCATAAAACTAAAAAAGATAAAACTAAAAAGGAGCTTTGATGATGGTGTAAAAACAAAACATCGTGGGGAACCAGCAGTTAGCGTAATGGCTATGTCGCTGGACTCCCACGTAGTCGACCGCAGTTCGTGTCCCGGACCCGGTGGCTTAAAACTCACGCCGGGCGCGTGTGCGTGCGTGCCCAAGATCCCGAGAGGAGAATGGAGGAGAAGGGATTGCGGCGTGACCATCCCCCCTGGGGGGTGATTTCTCGCTTTCTGTCTCTATGCCTCTCTCTGTCTGTCTGGCGAGTGCATGCGCCCTATAGCGAAAAAACCTCTCCAAAAAAAAAAAAAAAAGAAGAAGAAAAATAATACTGAGTTTCGAATTTCTAAGCTGTTATTTTCTCATATAGTTTCATTATCCTAAACCTCAGAAACTTGGAATACGCGGGACTAGAACTCACACGTGAAACAGCCACTCCTTTGGTCAACTCTGGTGACTAAGATTTTACGGTAAGCAGCAGGCACTCCGACACGTTGCTACACCACTCACTACAGTCAGAAGGCGAGTCCCATGAGGGCCCCGTGTGTCCCAACTTTGACGTAATGAAGCCAACAGAAAGCAGCAGCCTTCTCCTGAAAACCAAGCTCCCGGAAAGTGTGACTCTGGGCTCCTTTTCCTACCTTGCATTTTCTTTCGGGGTGAGCGTGACGTCCCCGTCAGAAGCAATCGCGATTTCACAGTGCTCAGGCTGGATCCCTATGCCGAACAGCTGGATATCCTGGGAGGTGTCGGCACCCACCCTGGTGTGGTCCTAGTGCAGATATCGGGGAAAGAAAAACACACTCCGGATGATTCAATAGAAATGTGTCATGACCAGGTCGGATAAGCCAACAGCATATATGTGACAGCAATAAACGAAACACACAGTAAACGGGTGCATTAGAACGCAAAAGCTCACCATAACTTTACCAAGAGCTTCCCATAACTTTACCAAGAGCTTCCCATAAGATTACCAAGAGCTTCCCATAGCTTTACCAAGAGCTTCCCATAACTTTACCAAGAGCTTCCCATAACTTTACCAAGAGCTTCCCATAGCTTTACCAAGAGCTTCCCATAACTTTACCAAGAGCTTCCCATAACTTTAGCAAGAGCTTACCATGATGCTTCTTGCTCCAAGTCTAGCTTATTCTTCACTGCACTCTGAACATACCTCTAGGCAGACTGGAAACCTTGACAAGGCGTCTACATAGCCTTCCCCAAGTGGACAGCACTTCTTCACTGGAGATTTAGGTGTGGACCGTCTACGTAAGCTCCTCAGCTCCCTACATTCCTGATCTGTGACAGCTACTTAAACAGCCACAGGCCTGGTTCTGAGACACTGCCCCAGGGAAGCTGGATCCCACACGGTGGCCACAGTTTGAATTTTCAGTCTGGTCCACCTGAAACCCCCTAGGCATGCATGAAAGGGCCAACCTCACACAATGTAAGGGCTATGTAGATAGCTGTTCTACTGTTCTATTGTTCAGGGGAGGAGGACAAAAAAAAAAAACAGTGTGTACATTTCAGTACAGGCCTAACTATTAATGTATGCTGCCCACCAGCAATGCTGGGCCATTCCCCACCCAATCTGGCTGAGTCTCAGATACAGAACGCACAGGCAGGGAGGGTCTCCTCTTCATACTAGCACAAGCCAGCCAGGGCACGTGCTGTGACACTGCGAACACCCTGCCGGGCAGCTGAGTGCCATCTGAGGTATCCGACATCGGCACCACTCGGGAGCCCCGTTCCAAACCGATGTCTTACTTCCCACTTAACAAAACGAGCCACCGGCGCTAACAGTGCGGTCTGAGAACCCCTAGACTATTTGAGAACCTTTCAGGAGGTCCACGAGGTCAAAATTGCTTCACTAAAACCCCTCAGATCTGACTGCCTTCTCTCCCGTATTGTCATGCACGAACAGTGTTTTCCAGAGGCCACATGACGTGTGCCGATGCTGCAGCTCTGAAGACTCCTGCATGCATGTTTGTGTCCTAAAATGTCCTCGGTCTTAACGTCTACTACAGTAAGCACAGACAGGTGTAACCCAGACATGCAAAAGGTCATTGGTGTTCTCAGCACTTTCCAAGAGGGCGAATGGGTTCAGAAGCAAGGCAGTTTGAGAACTGTGTCCTAAGTTAGCTGCTGCAGCAGAGCCCCAGGCCAACATGGCAGCTTCCAGAGGCCGCGTACCGCCTCTGCACTCCAAGGGTGATTATGGGACCAAAAGTTATTTCCCGAGCATGGAGGTGTAGAAGAGACAGACCGGGAGGAACTGAGAGCTACTCAGAAGCATAACTGAGAACTTCCGAAGCAGCTCAGGATGTTGGTGGCTGAACCCGGACATCCTCAGAGTCCTTATCACCTCACATCTGGGGCCTTCTCACACGGCCAGGGATCACCTGATGCCCTCAGTCGCCCACTCTGTCCCTCCGAGCTGCACTCGGAGGAAATCATTCCCAAGTGCACACTTCCGGGATCCAAGGGAGCTGGTTTTCAATCTCAGTTCTTATTTTAATGAGGGCTGGGTTGGATACAGAAAGCAAAACCTTGGAGACCAGTGTGCGTGAGGCAGGCGGGGCTGAGACACCGGGGCAGCGTCCTCACCTTTAAGTAATACACCAGCAGCTCGTTGAGAGCAGGGTCTGCGTTCAGGTTGACTAAGTAGCACTTGTCCTCGCCCACCTTGATGCCGGACGTCTCCAGGGAGATCCCCATGCTTTCGAGTTGCCGCTGTCTCTCCTGCGCGCAGACACAGACAGAAGCAGGGGCTCTACTTGTTGCTCCACTCACAGATGCAGCCATGGGAAGAGAAAGTCACTGTTTCTGGGGACGATGCCAGTGAAATGACACATTCCACTCAGCTCAACCGAACGAGAGCCTGTGACGTGGGACATTCCAGGACGATGTTACAGGGTCACCACGGGTAAACCAGGCACCAGCCCTTCAGAAGCTGAGTCTCACAGAGGGGACAAGACCACATAACTGGAATCCAGAAGAGGAGAACCCTGTGTCACAGGGGTACAAAATGCTGTGGGGCTTCACAGAAGGGTTAGAGAGCAGGAAAGGCTTGAGGGAAAGAACAAGCCTGAGGTGGGTCCTGAAGCAAGAAGAATCTCACAGGAGAAACGGTAGAGTAACAGGATAAGGGCAGGGTGTTCGCACAGTGAAGACTGGGCATTCCGTGTGATTCAGTGGCCTGGAACCTAAATGTTGGTTTCCAAGGTGGGAAAGCACTGGAAAATGGGGCAGGAAGAATAGGTTGGTCCCTATGGTAAAGGGCCTCACACTCATTCATTCATTCAGGACGTATTATTAGAGTCTGTAATGTGGTAGGTACTGAACTAGGATGCGACTAGAACAGTGGACAAAACAAAGCCCCTTCTTTCCTGGGAACTTACATTCTTGTCGGAAAATAGACCGTGAAATAAAAACAACAGAGACAAGTAAAAACAGAATTTTCATGGCATTAAATGCTATAGAGAAACATAAAGCAATCTGAGCGGAATAGAGAGTTAGTGGGGGGTGTGTGTGTGAGAGAGGGATCAATCGTTCTACAAGCAGAAGGCTAGACTGAGTTCCAGTGACCCAGTGACTGTTTTTTTTTTTTTTTTTTTTTTTGCCATCGGGTGTGTACACTTGCTGGAGAGAGACACAGAAAGGGGAAGTGAGAAATCACCCATTGTTGATGGCTCCCCAACAATCCCTTCTCCTCCACTCTATTCCTGGGATTTGGGACACGCATGCACACACGTTCGGTGTGATCTTCTAGCCACCAGGTCCAGGACTCAAACCACATTTGGCCCTGTGGGAGTCCAGCATCTTAACAACTATGCCACCTGCTGGGCCCTCCAATGACTATTTTTAAGCTACCTGATTGGGATGCTCCAACATTTCTAAGTGATGGATAAGATGAAAACGTCCAGGAAACGCATACTGCAGAGGAGTATGTGTGCACACGCACACGCACACGCACACGCGGAATCTGCCCTTTCTTTGTATTTTAGTTCACGTAAAGCTCATACAGCATTTTCTAACAAGCCCAAAGGATCAAATACACACAAAAAACGACACTCTGCTGCATGTTATTAATTTCTCAGACACAGTGAGATTCGTGCTTTGCCACGTGATAGAAAAAATCACAAAACAAACTAAATGTGAAGAACGGGAAATATAACAGACATTTCCTGTCGCCACGCTGGTTCAAATGCAATGTTCTAGAGAACGCTTCCAGCAATACACATGTGGGCCGACCTGTAAGCGGACAAAGGGCACGAAGCCTGTGTCTAAAACTGATCTTTGCCTTCTCTAACTCAGCAGCAAGGGGCCCTTAAAAAACATTTTGAGGATGACAGGTGGGAATGCAGAAATGACAGCCAATGAGAAGGGACGAAGTGTTGCTGTTTACAGCTGCTGAGATATGCAATCGAGCCAGCTGCCCAACAGCCAATGAATGGATAAGGAAAGTGCGGTGTGTTCGCCTAATGGAATACTATTCAGCCTTAAAAAAGGATGAATTCCTGTCCTGTGGCCAAATGGACAGACCCAGAGGCAATAACGTGAAGGACAGTAAGTCAGACGCTGAAAGACAAACACGGTAGGTCCTTACTCATTCGTGGAAGCTCACAGATTTGACCGCATGTTACTGGGGAGTGTAACTGTGGATACAAGACGGTGGGAAGGGGAGGAGGTTGGGAAGACAGGGAGAACTCGGTTAACAGATACAAAAGGGCATGTAACTAAGGAGGGGCTAGGGTAAGGGACGTTGGGGGATTCTGAACGTGCACAACACCAAGGAACGGTAAGTGTTGGATGTGGTAGCTAGTCTGTGGCCCTGGTCTGATCAGAACACATCACATCCATGTGCCCCATAAGGACATATCCCTGCTATGCGTGAATTAGAAATGACAGTAAAAATAATATTAGGCCTAAAGTATTAGGCTACCTGTGCGATCTCTTCTGTTTTCCTCAGCTTCTCTTCCCATGTCACTGTTAGTTCTTTTATCAGCTTTTCAGACTCTTCGAGTTTCTCCTTTAGTTCAGGGGCCTTCATGGCCTTTAAAAAGAAAGAACAAATAGCTGATTTTCAAAAATCTACCATCCTCGTGTACAAGACCAAAACCTGGTACCCTTCTCAACAGTTATCCAGAGTCTCACGGGAACCAGTAAGTCACTGCCGGGGGTGTTCAAATGAGCTGTGAAGAGGGACTTTTCAGACTCTTCGAGTTTCTCCTTTAGTTCAGGGGCCTTCATGGCCTTTAAAAAGAAAGAACAAATAGCTGATTTTCAAAAATCTACCATCCTCGTGTACAAGACCAAAACCTGGTACCCTTCTCAACAGTTATCCAGAGTCTCACGGGAACCAGTAAGTCACTGCCGGGGGTGTTCAAATGAGCTGTGAAGAGGGAGTGCAGAGTCTCACGGGAACCAGTAAGTCACTGCCACGGGTGAGCTTCAAATGAGCTGTGAAGAGGGGGTGGCTACTTCTGTTGCAGGGTGGAGACAAATGGAAACGCTGAAGGAAAATGAAACAAACTAGCACAGAGTCACTTTATCTATTGTACTCAAATTTCACATGTAAAGACCTAAAAGATGCGAAAGTTTACCTTCAGAATGGAAAAGTAGAAAAAAAAGATACTGAAGCAGACTTCGTTTTCAGTAAGACGGATCAATACAACACCAGTGGACACACCACAGGTATGTCAACCTACTAGCAAAAGTGAAGACTCTTCTCACTTATTTTAAAATATAAATCGAGGCCCCTTCAGCTACTTTTCCTCACTGACCGTAATACATTTAGCATACCTAATGCTCGCTTGGACACGAGGCACCTACTTGGTTAAAAGGACAGTAGTTTCCCTCTGAGACTGTGCAGTGAAAATAGCTATGGGGCCTAAATACTGATACCTGCAGCTTTGAAACACCGTGGGTGGTGGAATCTTTACTTAGCACAGTGTGCTGTGACAGCCCATGGTAACGTGAGCTTCCACAGAGTAGAACCCTATAAACCAGACAGGTGACAACTCCTGCAAGGAGCCGAGAGGGTAACATCTGGAAGCCAGCTGGGCCTGCCAGAAAGTCTCAGTATTAACAGACCCCGGGAGGGACATCGACTGGTAAATACGGGGCACTTGTGGGACCTCCCAGGTGCACCTAGGCGGCTCCTCTGCTCTTTCCTGCAGCCAGCTACTGCCCTAGCCACCTGGCCTAGACTACGTGGTCACAGTGGAAACGCAGCTTCACAACAAGAGGAACAAAACCGGAAGGAAGCCCCGAACCATTCCTCTTCACGTGCAGCATCATGATGCTGCAAAGTGTACCGAGCACCTGAGATGTTTCTGGTGGTTCGCTGCCCTTCTCGGCATTAATTAAAAAAAATACGCTTGACGCACTGAAAAAGGACTTTATAGGAGGGTAAAGTAAAAGTGGCACGTCTCTCGAGCACTTACTAGTGCATTGTGCTAAGTGCTTCCCAGTATCAGTCTGGACTAGGGGCTAGGGGTGAAAGACTGAAGGAAGCACAGCTTCCTACATTTCAGAACTCACAGCCTGGAAGAAGGGCGAGGCGTGGAAACATGGTGACGACAGAGCGCCAAGGGGACCAGTTCGCAGACTGCTCAGACCCCTGGCTTTGCCTCCTTCCTGTCTGCATGTGTATTTGTTAACACTTGCCATAGGGTGCAGGCATTTGCCAGGCAGACACAGAGAGAGAAAGGGAGAGGGAGGAAGCACCTACAATGGGGATGGGGACCACAGTCCCTTCTCCATTCTTCCCCACACGCAGGGGCCTGGTACGCTTTCCAGGTCATGAGGGTGGGATCTGAACCCTGGTGGGCCCTGAGGGATCCAACTCCCTTTAACCACGGGGCTATGGTGCCGGCCTTATGTCTGTTTTCGTCTCTTGCTGGCTACTTTTTTTTTTTTTTTAAAGAATTTTTCATTTATTTAGTTCCATCTGTTATTATTATTTTTTAATTTGACGAGAGAGAGAGAGAAAGAGAGAAAAAGGAAAAGCGAGAAAGCAAGCCACCAGGTCCGGGACTTGAACCATGGTCAAACACGTGGGAATCCAGAGCCTTTTACCACCACACCACCTGCCAGCCCCTGCTGGTTACTTTTTGATGTGCTAAGAGATACAATGTATTGAAGCAGTGCCTGGCACACGGCTGCTCAGTAAATGGTGGCTCTTACCACTTTTCTCCCAGCTTAATACTTTCCCGACTAGAGTGGGGTCAGGAGAGAGTGGTGAAGGAACATGAGCTGAGACTGGCAGGGGCACACCTGAGTTTTGGCTCATGGGACGTGTGACTTGAGTTAGGACATGTGACCTCCCGTTCAGGTCTCTTGCCTATTTCAAATGAGACAGTGCCTCACCTGGCAACGCGTGGAAACCAACACCTATCTAGAAAAGCCTGTGGTGACTCAAGCTTGTGTGAAGCCGTGAAAATAAGAATGCAAACACATTCATGTTGGGCCCTACTAGGGATTGATATAAATTAAAAAGTGAAAGAGGGGACCAGCAGTTTGTGTAATGGCTATGTTGCTGGACTCCCACGTAGTCAACCATGGTTCAAGTCCCGGACCTGGTGGCTTAAACTCACGCTGGGCGCATGCGTGTGCGTGCCTAAGATCCTGAGAGGCGAATAGAGGAGAAGGGATTGTGGCATGGCCATACCCCCCCTGGGGGGGGGGATTTCTCGCTTTCTGTCTCTCTGTCTCTCTCTTTCTAGCAAGAACATGCACACTATATGTAAAACCTTTAAAAAAAAAAAGTGAAAGGGAATTTTGGATTATTCAGTTTAGCCTTGATCACATTGTCTCCATACCTTAACAAGGAGATGAAACCTCACTGACTTCTCTGAAATCGTCAAGGCCCTGTGCTGTTAATAAAACCACCCTTGGTTCTGAGGATTTCACACCGGAAGTGGAAGGAACGGATTTCTGAAGCAGTGAGGCAGTGGCAGGAAAGCTCTCGGATGTTCTGTGACTGCAGGGTCCCAGGAAAGAATCTCAGGTTCCCTGTTAGGGTGTTCACAAGGCTCTGCACACACAGATGCCCCCAGACACCGTGATGCAGAACCGCGCTGACACGCCCGCAGCTGCGCACAGGCACGGCCCAAACCCAGGAGCGCGGGCTGCTCTACCTCGGCCCGCGAGAGCTGCTCTCTCAGCTTCTCCACCTCCTCTCGCAGCTCCCGGATGACTTTCGCGTTGGGGTCCTCATTCACCACAGCGTGGTTCACGATCCGTTTGGCCCGATCTGCGTATCTCAGGGTGGACAGGGTCTCTTCGTAGTTGTCTGCGGCTGGGCTGATGGTGGCGATCATGGAGGTCTGGCTGTTGCCCCCCAGGTTGTCCTGCAAAGTACCCAAACAGCCCCTGAGGAAGTGCATTCCAGGCACAGCCCACGGGCCGAACGCGGCAAACACACAGGACCTAGACTGTAATGAGAATGCCGTGTGGACACGGGCTCATGTGTCACCGATAATTTCACAACGAGATGCGACGTGGCCTCTCTGTATCCACAGCACTCAGCAGTGCCTGTCAAACATTATAACGGAGAAATCGCAGCGGAAACAGCCCTCCTTCCGCGTCCCTCGGGATTAGGAGGACAAGGTTGTGAGAGAGGTCTCTGTGCGGTTGGTTGGCTTTGCATGGGCCTCGCGGCTGTCACAGCTGGGACAGCCAATTCCCGGAGGGACCAGAATGCCAGAGCGATGCATTACCTTGAGAAGCCAAGTGAGGACTGAGTCTCGATAAGGCACAAACTTGTTTTTGCCCTTGCCAGCTGCCTGGTCAGCCAGTGAGGATATGACCAAGCCCAAGGTTGTAAGCGACCTACCAAGAGAAAAGGAAAACATCCATTTCATGGAATGTTTATTTTGCTTTCATAAAATGGTAATCTTCCTAGGAAACAAATATACAACATACAACATTAAAAAAAAGAAAAAGCCCTAGCGTTGATACAATCAAGTCTGAAGCTGAGAAAAGAAAAACAATTTAAAAAGGAACTCTATTAATTTAAAACAATGAATTCAGAATCCACTGAGTACAATCATAGGATCTGTGAAACATACATCTAAAAGGTCACACGAAGGGGCCAGCAGGTGGCACAGTGGTTAAGACGCTGGACTCCCACGCAGTCACCACGATTCAAATCCCAGCCCTGGTGGCTTGAAACTCACACTGGGCATGTGTGACTAGGTGCTCAAAATCCCCAGAGGAGAATGGAAGAGAAGGGACTGCAGCATGGCCATCCCTGCCCAAGACCCCCAGTGTGTGTGATTTCTCGCTTTCTGTCTCTCTAGCAAACACATGCACCCTATAACAAAAATCTCTCAAAAACAATATATATATATCACACCAGAGAACCGTGATTTGCTTCCAGTCATGCAGGTAAGACCTCAGACCATCATCCTCTGGGTCTCTTCGGTGTCAGGCCCTGATCTTGTCACAGAACAAGTGTGTGACTGGCAGTGCACCCTCCACTACACCCTGCGAGGGAAGACCTGTTCTGGAGCCTGTGACCCTCTGCCCTTCCTCCTTCCCCTTCTTTCTGAACTGCAGGTATGGATACTGGAATGGCAGAGCTATAGCATGAGGAAGGCATGGTCGCACACTGAGCTTAGTGGAGCTGTGCATGTTTCTTAGTTTCTTCAAAAAAGTTTGTGTCCATGGGGCCAGCAGGTGGCATGGTGGTTAAGGTGCTGGATTCCCACATGGCCAACTGCAGGTCGCATCCCGGACCTGGTGGCTTGAAACTCACACCAGGTGTGCATGCATGTGTGCTCAAAATCCTGAGAGGAGAGTGGAGGAGAAGGGACTGTGGCATGGCCATCCCTCCTGGTGGGTGATTTCTCTCTCTCTCTCTCTCTCTCTCTCTGGTGAATACATGGGTCAGAGAGACAGTAAAAAATTCTATCTTAGAAAACAAAGCAGTTTCTCTGTATCAAGACAGATAGACAGAAACGCTTAATAGGGTTTTGCCACACCACAGACCTCATTCCAGCCAGACAGGATCAAGGGCACCTACAGGTGCACCTGGTGTGTTCAGGGATCAAATCCAGGCCTCCCATTTGGCTCCAATATTACGCAATAATGCCCTAATGCCCACGCCACCAGGACTGGGCAACTCTGTACATTTCTTTCTTAAATTGCCAGAGTCCATGCACTTACGAGAGAGAGAAAAAGAGAGAGAACGAATCCCCTGACTGAGCATAGCCACAACCGCAATCCTTCATCTTCCACTTCTTCCTGTCACAGTTTATGCACGGTCACACGCATGCCCAGCATGCTTTTGAAGCTGCCATGTCCTGGCTTCCAACCTCAGTGACGTGGGTTCGAGTTGCCAGCGCACAGGCTTAGCCACTGCGCTATGGGGCTGGCCCGGCTGGGGCACGTCACAGGAGCTGCACAACCTCTGGACTTCTTGCTAAGTGAGAAAATATCTAACCAGCTACAGTGGCTTCGACTGCCTAGAGGAAGACGTAATCCTTGGCTTTGAAAGTTTTAGTTGAGAGATGATGAAATAAGTGGATTTGAGTTCAGAATCTGCCCCAGTAAGACCCCACTTCTAAGAGAAAGAGTTAATGTGGCAAGTTAAGGGGAAAGAACACCACTATACGACAGAATAAGAAGGAAAATTGTTAATCCTACAACATGAGCCTCATTTCCTTGCAAACCACTTTTCAGCGGCTGACACCAATCGCCAGATTCAATGTTTGTGTGACGAGTATCAGTCCTAATTTATTTTCAGTTCTGTAATGAAACAAGGAATACACTAACATTTCCAAAAATGGGTTCTACTGGACACTTGCAGGAATCTTAATATACGTTACACCTAGAAGTCTGTCAAGTAAGCCCGGGGGACGAGCTAAAGTGGCCGATTCGTTCTCACAGGACTTCATAAGACTTGCAGCGCTCTCGATCTCCAAGGGGATGCTTTGTGAACGGCCCCGCTCAGAATTCTTTGACCAGGGATCAGTCCTTCCATCACAAGGTCACAGGAGGAAATAGCATTTCACAAAAATGCTGGGAAACACGGGTGAACCCTGTAACTTTCCCCAAAAAAATGTGGCTGGTATGTTCTGAGGGAGCTCTCTGATGTCTTTCTGGGTCTCCATGCTGAATCCAAAACCATCTACGCAGGATGTTTTCCACATGGTCTGACCCTGCAGTGCAAAAACCAGAAGCTCCCGTGGCCCCTGCCATGAACAACGGGTATGATGGGCCCCCTCACCCTGCTCAGTGCACATCCAGGGTTGGGCAGGCAGGCAGTGCACACCCAGTGCACCACCTCCAAGAGGAAGGGCAGGCGGCGTGGAAAATCCCAGGAGAAAAAGGTGACTGAGCCTCGCAGTCTTAGAGCACGCTGTATGATGTACCCCCAGAAGCAAACAAAGGCTCGGGATTCCGCTCTTAGTTGTTAGTAAATATTTCACCATTCTTTTTAAAGGATAAAATAATTCTATTATTTAAAAGTCATAAAAGTTCTATTTCTCCCATGAGTGAGAGATGTGGGGGTTGGGGTGGAGGCCACACCCAGCAGGGTCTCTGTGCCATGATCTGCTCTCAGCCCAGACGGCCCTGGATTGTGGGCATACATGCACTCGGTGTGTTCAGGGAGGTCTCCAGACATGAGCCTGGAACCCTCCCATGTGGGGTCATCCTCACCGAGCCTTGCATTACTCCTGCACCATCTGGTCCTGCACTTTATTATTTCTTAAAAATCATTTATTTTATTTATTATCATGGTTATTATTTTTTAATTTACTATAGGGCATGCGCACTCACCAGAAAGCGAGCAAGAACAAGCAAGAAAGCAAGCTGTCAGGTCCAAGATTTGAACTGCAGTCGGCCATGTGGAGTCCAGAGACTTAACCACCATGTCACCTGCTGGCCCCACCGTACTTTATTATTAACCTCAGCAACTAAAATGGAAATGAGACTGGGAAGGAGACTGTGGGATGACCATTGTTTGTGCTTGGTGACTGGCCATTGTTGAAAATAAAATGAAGCCATTTTTTATGTCTGGGGGCGTTAGAGAGAATGCTCTGTGCATAATGAGTTCTCAGAGAAGCTGAAGCAGATAGACCCGAACAGCAGGGCAATGAACCCCCCTGTCCACCATCAACAGATGGGGACACAGGCTGGTTCCAGGGATGGCCCACGGAGCACTTGCACCTGAGCCCTGCACCTTCCCTGGCAGTGTGGCCACACGGCACCTCAGATCTTCACAGGGAAGGAATAACAGGCACTTTAAAGCTCTTAAGAGCTTGGTAGAGATGAAGCTCCCAAATCCACAGGCCATTAAGCAGACACTAGCGTCTGCATGGGCTCCCTGACAGGTCTGCTTAAGAGGGTTACTGGGGCTCCGTTCAAAGAAGCCCAGAAAAGAGGCTGAGAGGAGTCTTGGAGGCATGTCAGAGATCTCCTTGGTTTTAACACTCAGCTGTGTGCTTAGAAAGCTATGGAAGGGCTGATGGCGACAGGTTGCATGTGTTCTTTCACTGTACATCATGGGTACACCCTTCCATAGACGGCGCCCACGTGCAAGGCTCTGTCCTCTGTGCTCTGCTAGAAGCTACTCTCCGGTTGAATCCTTGTAGCGACCCTACTCACTGGTGGTCTGCTCATCCACGTTTGATAGAGGAGCCCGAGACTCAGCGAGGTCATGCAGTTAGTTTACATGACACGGAAACTGCGGTGTCTCCTCCCTGATCTTTCCGGCAGGCTGTGCACCCTCTGAGTTCCCAGCGCACTTCGGTAAGCATCGGGAGCATTTCGTGTACTGCGACAGCAGTCCCCATGGCCTTGTTCCCCGCTTCCCGAGGTTCCACTCAAGGCGCCCTAGTGCTCTCACACCTGGTCAACACACGCTCACTAACAAGGATCAGAACAGGGCAGGCCCACAGCTCTCATCTCAAATCCTTCGGCTGACGGACCAGCAGATCATTTATTAAATAAAATAAATGATTTTTAAGAAATAATAAAGTGCAGGACCAGGTGGTGCAGGAGTAATGGCTATGTCGCTGGACTCCCATGTAGTAGACCGTGGTTCGAGTCCCAGACCAGCCAGCTTAAACTCATGCTGGGCACGTGGGCATTCGTGACCTGAAGGTCCTAAGAGGAGAATGGAGGAGAAGAGATTGCAGCGTGGCCATCCCCCTGGGGGGATGATTTCTTGCTTTCTGTCTTTCTGTGTCTCTCTGTCTTTCTGGCAAGGACACATGTCCTATAGCAAAAACTTATCTTAAAAAAAATGCTGAGGTTGAAGTATGTCTTGCAATTCAGAGTTTTAGGGTTAATTCAGGATCATTCTATATGAACCCCACTGGGCTCCTGGGGGTCCTGAACAGCACCCCATAATACACCACAAATGGCCATACCAAGTGAGTAACAAAGACCATAAATATAAGGAAAGACTTGAGAGGGTCTCCTGAGAACGAGGGGATCTTGACCTTGTCTCCTTGCTTCGTTCTCGAGTGAAGTGACTTATTGCTATCCTAAACTACATGCTCCTCAAACCCATCTCCACAAACCTAAGTGGCTTAAATCAGCACACATTTATTATCTGCAGTTCTGGAGGCCAGAGGTCCAGAGTGCACCTCCCTGGGCCAAAGTCACGGTGCCGCAGGCCTGTGCTCCCCAGGACACCCTGTGAGAGAGCTCGTCTCCTCGCCTCTTCCAGCTCTTAGGCACTGCCCACATCCCTTGACTTAGGGCCCCTCCCCAGTTCCGAGCAGGCAATGGCTGCTTGTCCACCCTCTGTCACTGTGAGGCTACTTCCCTCTTTACTTACAAAGACCCTTGTGATCATGCTGGGCCCACCTGATAATCCCTCCATCTCAAAATCTTCAACTTTATTACATCTGCAAAATCCCTTTTCTGGTAAAGCAACAGACACAGGTCTTGAGACTCAGAACGGGGATAAATTGGGGGTGGGTGGGAGGCATCATTCCTCCTAACAAGGCCTGAATTCCTCCTGGATCCCCAGCTGCTAACCGAGAGCCACACGAACAGCAGAGACTGGGCTTTCACTATGTCCCTCAACATCGCCGAGCTTCAGTTTCCTCATCTTTAAGCCTCACAAAGCTCTGAAAAACTATAGGCTCCTCAACAATATCCCGCACACTTGTAGTGAGAATATAGACGCCCTTTGTTACAGAGTGGGTGTATACAGAAGGAAGGAGAGAAGTGTGTGAGACGATTCCCCTCAGTGCGACAAGTCTTCACAGAAAGAGCCCATCACGAGAGGATCTAAACCATGTTGCCATGTAGCTCCGAAGCAACCCAGTTAGGGATATGGCATCATTAGCGTTCACATTTATGGAAGCAGTCTTCTTTTTTTGTCAGAGGGTGTGCGCACTCACTCCAGTGTGTTTTTCAAGCCGCAGGCCCTGGACTTGAATGGTGTGGTCGGCCATGTGGGATCTGGCTCCTTTAATCCCTTGGCCATGGGCCAGCCCAGAGGCATTATTAGTATTTACTCTGGGACAAAAGTACCAGCAAATGTTTCTGGGCAAAGGGAACACATGGTCACCCCCTCACCCCACCTCCTCACGGCAGCATGTGGGCTGGGCCTGAGCTCTGAGACCTCCTGCCCACAACCGAATCTCTTAGAGTCTAGTGACAAGGACAAGTATTTTATTTATTTATTTTGAGAAATGTTTGCTTTAGGGCACATGCACTCACCAGAAAGACAGAGACAGACAGACAGAAAGTGAGAAATCACCCGCCGTGGACATGGCCACACTGTAATCCCTTTTCCTCCATTCTCCTCTAGGGATCTTGGGCACACACGCACACACGCCTGGTGGGAGTTTAAGCCACCAGGTCTGGGACTCGAACCATGGTTGACTACAAGGGAGTCCAGCGACATAGCCATTACACCAACTGCTGGTCCCCAAGGACAAGTATTTATTGGCTTCCTGTCTTGTTTCCTTTGTAAAACGGGAATAACAGACTGATGTCACAAGGCTGATGAGAACAGACAAGGAATTTGGAATGGAACAGCCGGAACCATGCGTGGGGAGTGACAGCTCAGTAAGTTAGTGGTCAGGGACCGGACAGTGGCACGGCACTGAAACATGACACTCGCAGGGCTGACCCACGTGGCAGAGATCCAGTTCTCAACCAGAGACCCTTCCGAGCACTCTGTGATGTGGGGCAGGCCGAGGCTGGGGGTGGATCGTGGTGTCAAGATCCTGTAGGGGGTGCAGTGTCTGTCTCTTTCTCACTCACTGAAAAAATACTTTTTGTTAGAAGTTTGCAAAAAAAATTAGTAATCATCCACATGGAGGTCAGTTTACATTAAGTCCCACAAGTCACAGAACAGACTCCCCAACGCGGTCCCACATGGCCAGACAGCAGGCAAAGAGTAGGTGTGGCTTGGCGCCTGCAAATGGGTCCCTGGGAACATGGGGAAGCTTTCGCTGATGCCTTCTCCCTCACACCATCTCTGCTCTGCTATCCCGGTTCCTAGCCCAGTTTGAGACTCAGAGCTGCCGTGTCAGCCTGGGCTCCTGCAACGCCTTGTGATGAAGCCCAGCGAAATCCTTTGTTATCAGAGCAGGAGACAGGCTGGCTGGGAGATTAACTCCCTAAAATAGCCACCATGCCTAGGGAGTACAGCTGTGTCTGAGCCGCAGAGAGTGCGACGGTTTACTTTTAATTTTTAAACTTCTGTATACTAAGATCAATAGCAAATGAACATTATCTTAAAAGGCAACCTGTGGCAGACATGTTCCTCGATATATTTTCCCTCATCGGGTCCTGTCCTGTCCTAAATAGAACCCCTAGTTGTTACAGCTCAGCAGAACAGGATTACAAATACAGACGGAACTGCTTTCCGCTGAACTTGGAGTAACGATGATTATGCTCATTCCAAAAATAACAACTACAACAATTGATATTTATTTGGCACATACTCGCTGGGGGGCATTGTCTAAGTACCCTCTGGGCATCTAATCCCCAGCAAGTATGAAAAGAGGGGCTGTATGATCTCCATTTACAGATGAGAAGACCGAGGTAGAGAGTGGAAACATTCCTTGGCCCTATCTATTAATAATAGTGCAGAAGCAGGATCAAACCCCGGCGGTCTGGCTGAGGCGTACACTCCTGAAAACCAGCGCTGTTCCCTGCCATGCTGGAAAGCAAAGAGACTTCCTGCACATCAGAGCCACCTTGAAATGCCCCATTCCGAAAAACAGCGGGCCCTACACCAGCGCCTCTGCCTGCCCGCGTGAGTGCAACGCCTGTGTCTCCTTTGTCCACTGGCTAACTCCTGCCCCTCCCGGACCTCCCAGCTCTCTGCCTGCCCTCCTGCATCACCGTGGGGCTGCATGTGAGGCAAATCCCAAGACTTCAGAATGGCCGTAACTCACTAACGGTGACAAGTTCCTAAGAAACTGATGTTTCAACAGTATGAGCCTTACAAAGGGATTCAGAGCGGATTTTCTTTTCAGAATAAGCTTCCTGGATTCATTTATTATTTGATTCACAAAACTGTGATTCGCATTGATGTAAGACTACATTACACACAATGATACACATATGTGTTGGTTTACTTCAAAAAAAAAAAAAAAAAAGATTTTGCCTAGTATGTACACTCACTAGAGAGAGACAAAGCCAGAAAGTGAACACTGCCCAGGGAAACGGTCATGCTGCAACCCTCTCCCCTCCTGATTTTAGGCACGCAAACACACGTGCCCAGGATGCTTCTCAGGCCACCATGTCTACAGCTCAAAGCGGATGGCTGGCCGTGTGGGATCCAGCTGCCTTAACCACCATGCTATGGCTTCCCTGCACCAATTTTTAAAAAAAGTTTTCACTTACTGCTTTCATGAGGATGATGGAAGTGGGAGAAAAAGATAAGCACCCTCAAAGGGTATCACGCTGCAATTCCCCCAGCCTTCCTGGCCAGCCAGATCACAGGTGCGTACCAGGGTGTGCAGGTCAACTAGAGAACTCCATCTGGGATCTTGCACATGGGCCCAGACTCACAAGGGCAGCACCAAGACAGGCCAAGGACTGCTCCGAGCGGGGCTGCACCACAAAGCTCTGCTCACACAAGCCTCGTGTGTCAGGGAGAGGGAAGACTACGTTCTCCTCCAACCCGGTTTTACTAACACAGGACCCATACAACGCAGTGAGACCCCCCAGGCCCTGAGGACACCACGATGAGAAAAGCCCCGGTGGTCCTCGCCCCGGCCGCTTACTTGTTAATGTTGCTGCCTTCTTTCAGCCGCTCTCCTGCGGCTCCTGTCTTAGACACTCTCTCGCTTCCCGCCAGGTCGACCAAGCTGACCTTACTGACTTTCTCTCCCGAGTTCTGTTGTGGGAAACAACAGGGAGACCACACACATTAACGCAAAACCGCACGGATAGCAACCCAGACGTTAGCCCCGTGACAGAGCAGCCGACACCCACCCCACCCCACCGCCACCCCAAATGGCATCTTTCTTAAGACGCTGAATGGCTGGAAGAGTTATTTGAACTAGCAATGAATTTCATCATGGAAGTCTGAATTGGCGTGGACGTGTAGCATTTTGTTTTGCAGCTGTGTAACAAACACGCCCAGCTTTCCAGAGTGTAGAAAGCTGGAGATTTCAGAGACTTGTGAGGACAGATGAGGAATCCTACACATTCAGGTCAATATCAGATTTCATATTGAGGTTTCTTCTTTCTTGTCCTTCCATGACTAGGAAGTAGACTCCGTTGTTAGAGCAACTCCAGCACGAAAGGACACTAACAGCTGACGGTGATGTCACCTTGCCGTCTTAGGGGACGGACACGGGAAACCCAGTGTTAGAACATCCATACATAAAGGAAGCCTAGCAAAGTAAACGGTGCTGGCAAAGCAGCTCATCTATTAATCAACTCAGCCGCCGTGTCCCACCGTGAATCACTCCATCCTTGTGGACACCACGTGTCCGCCTGCTGCCTCCAAAGCCCCGGCCAGTCCCTCACCCCGGACTGCAGGTCGTACAGCGTCTGAGTGATGATGATGTTGAACACGGCATGGGAGCGGCTGCTTTCTTCATTCATGTTGGTCGCGGCCACCGTTCGAGATTTATTTCCCTCAGACATCAATGACTCGATGTCCTGGAGCAAAGCACGAAGAACAGCATCAGCAAGAACACGCACACGCAGCCCTCTCTCCAAGAACATGTGCTGCGACTCTCCGAGGCCGCGTCACCACCTCCCACAGAACCTCACCGCCTCTTCTCCACCGAGGGCGGCTCGCAGCTCCATCCCCTCGGAGCTTTCCTGCGTGTGAATTGTTCCCCCTGCAGCCCCCCTTGCCATCCTTCTGGGTTCAGCCCGTTTTCTCCATGATAACTTCCCAGGGGAGCTGTTCTCCATGGAGCCCTGTGGACACCCCTCAGCGGAGGTGGCCATGTTCACCCAGACTCGCTTGTGCTCCTCTGCCAGTACTGCCCACTCATCTGCCTCCCTCAGCGCTGTGGCTCTCCTAAGACGGGGCTTTCTTTATCCAACTCTGTATGCTTTTTCCTGGGACACCTAGAGCCTCAGGGCTCCTACAAAATGTTGGCTGAGCGAACTTTATAAAAGAAGCATTTTCCTGGTTTTACAAACAGGATGTTGATGTTCACGGAGGTCAAATGTCTCCCCACATCTAGCAAGAGGCAGAGCTAGGCACAAACAGAGCTCCTAGGCTCTCCCCAGGACCCCCGGGGCGCTGACCCATCATCCTGAGCTAAGGACTAGGCCCGTGGTGAAGGGGCTGAGCCAGCACCTTGAAGCAGAAAGGTTTCCCTCTGCTGGCGACGGCCATGGCTTATCTCCAACCTGAGCAACACTACACTTGCCCTGGTTTACACGGCGGGACAGGCGCCTCCCAGGTTAATTTTAGTCACACTACGTCTGGGGTGGTAATGTCAGCCACACCCAAGACAGCAAGAGCATAGGGATTCCTTTGTTCAGTCATCCATCCATCCATCCCTAGATCCATACGCTGAGTAACAGAGATTACATCTTATTTGTTATTATTTTAAATGTTGCTGTAGTGCACAGTTTCTTATGAAATGTCCAAAGCAAGGACTATAGACATAAAGGCAGCGGCAGCTAGGTGGGTAAGGCGGCTAAATCCCACACAGCTGACTGTGCAGTTCAAGTCCCAGAACTGCTAGCTTGAAAAACGTGCTAGGTGTGTGTGTGTGTGTGTGTGCGTGTGTGTATCCTGGACCCAGTGGTTTAAACTCACACTGGGCGTTTGTGCATGTGTGCCCAAGATTCCAAGAGGAGAAAGGAGGAGAAGGGATTGTGGTGTGGCATCCCCGGGGAGTATTTCTCACCCTCCCTCTCCCTCCCTGCCCGCCCCCACCCCCGCTGAGCTCACACACCCTATATCTAAACTTAAATACATTTATAAATAAATAAATAAGGGCAGATGGGGCCAGGTGGTGGCACAGGGGTCATGCAACTGCGCCCACAGGGGAGAGGTCCTGGCTGGTGACCTGGGACCTCCCTGAGCACGGTGGGCATGCGCCTGCGATTTGAGCGGCTGAACCTTGGGGTGCATCACGGCGTGAAGACCCTGTTGGGGAGGCCACCTACTGTCTGTCTCTTTCTCTCTCTCTCATGGAAGAAATAAATAAGCTTTCAAAGAAAAGAAAAAAAGAAAGAAAGAAATAAACAAGGGCAGAATACAGAGTCAGACATTAAGGCATCAAAGTCAGGGAGTAGGACAAAGAAAAACAGGGCATTAGTGGGGAGAACGATTCAGGGAAAAACAGAGCCACTAGAGTGAGTGAAGAGTGACAGAAACCCAGGCAGGAGACTGTCACAGAGAGGCCTGAGTCGACTACCAAAGACTGTTTGGACGACCAGGTTGTCTCAAAAGACATCCCTGGCATGCAGGGACAACAGTTCCGCAGAGTGGGATGAGCAGAAACACTGCACCCTCGGAGCACCGGGCCTTCCAGCCGCTACCGGAAACCTTCCCCACACGGCAGTCCCAGCATGTGGTCAGAAGCCCTTTCTCTGTCTGGGGTGTCTGGAACTGGCTCCTGACGCCATGGACAGGACCAGCAGGCTATAAAGCAGTCAGATAAAAATACATCCAACACTTCCACGCTTTCACAGCCAGCCTTTAAATGACATTAAAAAAAAAAAGCCTTACCTCAAAACTAGTGACAGCCAGCTGAGATAAACCATCCACATAGGGTCCCAACACCTTATGTTCACGAACTTTAAGAGACTGTCTACTCCTGTGGGAGGAAAAAGGAAGGAATCAGATCAAATTTGGAAGCTTTTCTTTCTAAGTCCTTCGTAACGAAGAGTGCAATTTCAAAACAATTGTTTTTAATGACTGAATAGATAAATAAATAAATCGAAATGCTACTTTATTTGGATGACCACAACAGCACTCCACATGGGGAATGTCTTTTATGTTCTGATTTCTATTTAAAGTAGCCTGCTATTTAAAAACTTCTCTCTCTCGTCCCAAACTAAACAACCAGCATGCAGAACACCGGGTCAGGCTGTCAGTTTAGTGCCTGACCTTCAGTGTCTCATGGGGTCGGGGGACCTCAAGGGGGTGCAGGGAGAAAGTGAAGCAGAGCACACTCCAGCTGGCGTTGGCCTTCAGGTTATTTCATCAACAGGCACAGTAAGTACTCACGCTCAGTAAGTACTCACACTCAGTAAGTACTCACGCTCAGTAAGTACTCACACTCAGTAAGTACTATCTTAAAGTCTTGAACAGCCATATTAAATGTTTTCACTTTCACTCTTTCAGGTCTGCACAGGTTAAAGCTCACAATGTTACACAAAAGGTGAGATTACAGTAGAGCAGTTGTTTATAGTAACTGATATCCTATATTTACAGCTGGCTCTGGGACCAGCAGATGGCATAATGTTTATGTTCCATGTAGCCAACCGCAGTTAGAGTCCCAGACCTGGTGGTTTAAACTCTCACTGGGCGTGTGTGCGTGCACGTCCAAAATCCCGAGAGGAAAATGGACGAGAAGGGATTGTGGCATGGCCATTGCTTTCTGTCTCTTTGACTCTTTAAATATAAATCTCTCTTAGAAAAAAAAAAAGAAAAAAGAAAAAGAATTGGCTCTGCTGGTGCAGGTCTTGAATTTTTAAATGGTAAACCTGGTCTGGGACCCATCTGAAGAGCTGGTCAGCAGACCGTTGAGATTAAGAGCGAAGCCATCCATCATGGACTCTACTCTGAGTGCCACATTGGTGTGATCGACTCTCCTGTGTCCGTCACGTTAGTGTGTGTGTGTCACACGCATGTGTTTGACTCTACTGTGTAAGTCACGCTTGTGTGTTTGGCCTATTACGAATGTGTCTTCCATTCTACTGGATATTAATCACCTTTCAAGTGAAGAGTCAACGCTTGGCATCACTCAGAGCAGAGAAGGAATTCTGAAGCACTGAGCATTTACCGAAGCCCTGGCGTTGTTCCCTGAGCACTCTTCAGTTAGCCCACTTCCTCCTGCTGCATCCCTGCTAAGTAGATCCCACTGCATTTGAAGGATGAAAACTGAATGTGACAACCAGGAATTCTGTTGTACCCTAAACACGGGCAGACCACACGCATGTCTTCAAGAGAGCTATCTGGGTGCACACACCCCAGCCCTCAGTTCACCGTGCCTGCACACTCAGATTCCGTAAAGCTATTCAGCGGCAGGAAGAAGTCAGCCTAGCACAGTACTGAGTGTTTGTGCTGGGGTCCAGCATCCGGATTTCTTGTGCAATGCGGGTGGAATCCCTTTGGAAAACAGCTTTCACTATTTAATAGAGCTGGAGCCTCAGTATCTTATTAACTCATAGGTCCACCCGTGGGTGTATCCTCCAGAAACTCCTGCGCTTACACATCAGGAGACCTGTACAAGAGGGCTCAGAGCAGCATCGAATGACACAAAGGGGAACCACACAAATCGGGGAAGGATAAATTGCAGCACGGTGCAATCATACGGTGGAATACTAAATAGCCGTGAGAACAAATGTGTGATTATTTCATATACAAGAACGAATCAACTGCTCGGGGAAAAAAGCAATCACCAGAGAACATAGATACTGTGGTGCCACTCATACAAAGTTAAAACCTGTGCAAAATCACAAATGCTAGAGAAAAGGAAGAGAAGGATAAAGCCAAATTTATAATAGTAGTTACCTTGGGGAGCTGTAGGGACTAGAATGGGCCAAAGAAGAATGGGGGGGGCCATCAAAAACTATTGGTCAGGTTCCGTTTATGAAGCCAAGTGGTGAGTGGGCAGCTGTTGGCTCTATTATTCTTTGTACCTTACAGGCATTATAAATGATCTTTCAGACACATTTGATCATTAATAACTCTTTAAAGTAAATATAAAACTATTTCCTATGATTAGCTCACTTCCTTGCCACTCAGAATTTTGATTAGACTCTTGATTTCAGCTAAGATCTTATGGACTTGTACATGTTAAGAAATATTACATAATGCGCAGCTACTAACATTTTTTTAAATGATCTCTAATGACATGACGAAGTCTTCATATGTTATGTGGAAAATTTAGGCTGCTGAGTTGTATTTACAGAATGTCCTCAAGACACGCATGCTCACACCCGCCCACACACCCGTGCAAACTCAATCTCAAACACAGGACCAAAATGCACCCACGTATGAACAGTGGCCATTTTTGAGTGGTAGGAGTACAGATCATTTTAACTTTTTCTTAGAGTTCACCTAGCTTTCTATAAATATATATTATTTTAAAATCACCATAAGCATTTTTAACTGAAAAATAAATAAGTGGCCTTTCTGAATTGGACTTAGTTTTTACAGTCTGGTTGTGGAAACATGTAGAGGCCTGGGCTTCACACTGGGTCAACGGAATCATGGGCTCCATGGCCAGGGCTCAGGCTAGCAGATCCTTCAGGAGCCCCCTCTAGGGTCCCGAAGCACAGCCAGGCAGCGAACTCTGTGCCTGGGATGGGCTGTTTTACTCTTCCAACCACTTCCCCTCCAATATAGAGCTGATGCTTTCTAATACAAAGGGAAGAACTGGAGCCAGCAGGTGGCATGGTGGTTGGGGTGCTGAACTCCCACATGGCTGGCCAGGGTTTGAGTCCCAGACCTGGCGGTTTTCTTTCTCAAGTTCCTTCTTTCTCTCTGGTAAGCACAGCTGCCCTATAGCATATTATGAATAATAATAATAAGTAAAATTAAATAAATAATTCTTAAAAAAAAAAAAAGACAAAGGGAAAGACCTATGTGTTATTTGCAACTCAATTTTTATGAATAGTCCATGGTGGCAAAAAATAGCACCAAGAGTGAAAATACCTTCTCAAAGGCCTCTGTCGGCCACTTCACACACAAATGGAGGGCCATCTGTGTGTGCAGGGCACCAGTGGGCTCTGAGGAGCTGAGGATTTCTCGGTGATGATCTGAAACCAAAGCAGTGGCCCAGGCTCCACTACGTATAGGCACTAGCCATTCTAACCTTAGGATCACGTACAATTACTCCATCACTCCAACCACTAAACTCACCCTTTGGGGTCTAAGAGATCCCGAACTTTCTCATTATAAATTTCCATGTAGGATACTTCGACTTTAAAGGTCTGTGACTCATTCTGCTCCAAAGAGATCCTTCTAAATAAAGCACAGCAGAGCCTTGGGATGAGGCCCAGCTGTTCGGCATGGCCCATCATGGAGAAGGACTTCCCCGAACCTGGAGAAGAGGAAGCAGAAAGAAGGGGGAAGAAGAGGCAAATGGGATGCTCCCGCCACCCACGTCTTCTTGGCCTATCAGCCGAGGGCACACGGCAGAAATGGGGCAAGTTCGGCTCTCATGGCCAGGCACTCGGACGCCAAGGGTGCCGTTTTTCCATACACACATGGCCTCCTGCCTCTGTGAGAGCCAGGGGGCGCCCCATTCCCAGATGTGTGTGCATAAATGCAACTACTAAGAACACAAAATCTTTAACAGAACAGACAGTAAAATTCCAGTTGCACATTAATATTAACAGCATTTTATTGTTGGGCACATTTTCTCCTCTGAGTCTCCTGGCTACCCTGCATGTATGACTTATTTATTTATTCCTGCCTCAGAGTTGTCGAAACGCTGGCTCAGGTGTGAATGGCTGAGCTACAGTAAGCGTTGGTTTTCTCGGCTTCATCAACTGCCCCACATGCCTAGGTCCAATCACCTCCCTTCACTCCTCCATCCTAGTGAAAGTCCCCTGGGCAGGATGCTAGTAAGAGTTTTTCTACAGTTTCTAACTGCAACATTTATGCTGGGAAAATGGCAATTATTTTTCTAGTACAAATACAGCTTAAAACTATAACCGAGGAAAATGACATTTAATATTGGGTTGCCGGAAAAGTCACAACCGTATCTTTCTCTTTTTCCATGCAAAAATATAACTTTTCCCACGTCCTAATAGTTTGAAACTAGTTTTGCTCATTAATGCTGAAATGACTCAAGTACCAAAACTGCTGTGGCACTTTGGAAGAGAGTTTCTTTTGATTATCTAATTCAGTTAAAGCTACAACGTCAGAAGTATTTTTCTGTTGTATCTCAAGGTTTATTTCCATTTCTAAGTCTAAAGAAATGCATTTTCTGTAAGTAATAGCAATTTCTTACCTGTCTGTCCATATGCAAAAATACAAGCATTATACCCCTGAAAGGCTTTCTCAAGAATTCCTTCCCCAAGGCACTTGAAAACCACTTCTTGACCTAAAAAACAAGACAAGCAAATTTTAAAGCTTAAAGAAGGACAGGGCCAGGCAATGGCACAGCAGTAGTGAAATGTCCCACATGGGGAAGAGCTGGGGTTCGTTTCCCGAGGACACGCTTTCCCATGAGCCAGGCTGGCTGAGACCAAGGTAGGTCATAGTGCAAAGGCCAGGTGGGTGCGTATGACTGCCAGATCTGGAACTCAAACCATAGTCAGCCATATGGGAATCCAGTGCTGTAACCGCCATGCCACCTGCCTACCCCATACACTTCTAAAGTGTAGTTTAGAACCTGGATAAATCTACGATTCTACAAAGCGTTGTCCTCTGAGACATTTCTCTGGGCACTACAGTTTCCTTTCCATTGTAGATGGGCCAGATAGAAGCGACATTCGAACTGGCTTTAATATTTCCTTATTTCCTTTCCATTGTAGATGGGCCAGATAGAAGTGTCATTCGAACTGACTTTAATATTTCCTTACGACATACTATCCAAAATGTCATTAAACAAGACTGTTTTTAGCTCCCCCTCTGGACCGGGAGCTCCGGGTGAGCAAGAACCATGTCCTGCACCTCCTGGCATGCCCTCAGCACCTGGCATGGTCTTCTGTACATGCCACAGGCTGAAAACCTGTTCGTTGCTGAGGGTGGAAAGGTGACCTGAGCTGCTCTCTGCAAATTCCCAGGCAGCCCTCAGCTGCGCTCCCACGGGGGGTGTGGGGACAAGCTCTCTACATGCACGTCTGCATCAGCTGCAGCTCCTGGGGTGTCCTGCCATGCACTATGGCAGAGCTGGGCTGAGGAGCAAGGCTGTGACGATGTTCATAAACCTTTAAGCTGGCACTGACTGCTCTCCGGCACTGCTGACTTTCTTTTTAAAAAAATTTCTTTTAAATTTTATTTATTCATTCATTTATTTTAATTTGACCTGAGAGAGACACAGGGAGCGAGAGAGAGGGAGAGTGAGAAAGCAAGTCACCAGGTCCGGTACTCGAACTGTGGTTGGCCATGTGGGAGTATCCAGTGCCTTAACTGCTGACTTTCTAACATTTGCTCCTCATCATTAACAGAATTAAAATTATATTCTCTTTCTCTGTGTCTTAGAGTCCTTAGAACAGTCTCTGTCACAACATCGGCAGACACTACAGGTTAAGTACCTGCTTCTTCCCTGTGAACGAGAAGCCCCTGATGTCAGAGGGTAAAATCTTGTTATTTTGTAATCCCAGTGCCTAGTACACGGCGCTTAATAACTGATCGTTGAAAGAATGAGTCAGTATAACTTACAACCCCACACGGGAGTTCCTTTTACATTTGAAGATAATGCAGCGTGACAAACTTTAGGCTGTGTGTCTTCCCTCTACACACAGCTGGTCTGATCTTAGCAGTCCCTTCTGACACTAGCATCCATCGGGACTGGAGAATGAGGACGAGATTGGAGACGAATGTCGACACAAAATTAGAGATACTATTTTCAAACACCAGGTTTGCAAAACATAGGACTCTGTCAACATCAAATATCGCTGGACCGAAGGAAAAGGTATTTTCATAAGCTGCTGGTGGAAGAACAAGTAGACACAGCCATCGCGAAGGAAAACCCAGCACATCCACAAGAGGGAACGGCCCACACCGTGAGGCTGCAGAGACACGCTCCACGAGGACCCTGTCCTGGAACCTCAGCAGCATTATTTATAATACTGTAAACTGGAATCAGCTTAAAAGCCCATCAGAAGACAAGCAAACTGTGACCGTTGGATATGATGGGATACTATGAACATTATAAAATAATCATAAGGCAGCTCTGCTGCACAGAAGTCAGACACTGATCCAGAGAAGCCAGGTCCCATATGGTGACTTCAGCTGGACTTCCCAGATGCAGTCAGCCTGAAGCCACCAGGCACACATGCAAACGCCCAAGGCCCGACGGGCTAGAGGAAGGGGACCACAGCGTGCCCAGACCCTGTGAAGGGTACTCATCTCTCTCTCTCTCTCACACACACACACACACACACACACACACACTCTCTCTCATGTGTGCACACACGTGCTCTATTATGAATCAAAAAAAATAAAACATACCTATGTGTAAGCAATACCAGAATTAAAATCATTGCAGAGTGGGGGCATATTTAGAACTGCACATATAAAGAAAAGACTTATGTTAAATAATATGCGAGACAGGCAGAGGTTTTATCTCTGGATGCTAAAGTGTAGAAAATAAATTGGGAAAAAAATATACCAAATTTACATAATCTTATTTCTCTATTTTTAAGTTTTACCATCTAGCACAGAGCGTGGTACCAAAGAGATAGTCAAAACATGGTGCAATATGTGGATTTTTTCAAATAGGTGTATCATAAAAGCCTTTTCTAAACACACAGGCTTCTGTGAAGAGTACCTACAGACGTGCACACATACACACACACACACACACACTCAGAGAAAAATAATGCATCGCCCAAGTTCCTCCCCACTACACATACACTTGAACTGCTTTTAGATTACAGTCAAGTATGAGTCTTGTGCTCACTAAGAAAATATCTGGGGACCAGCAGGTGGCATAATGGCTACGTCGCTGGACTCCCATGTAGTCGGCCACTGTTTGAGTCCCAGACCTGGTGGCTGAAACTCACGCCAGGTGTGTGTGTGTGCGTGCCCAAGATCCTGAGAGGAGAATGGAGGAGAAGGGATTGGGCGTGGCCATCCCCTGTGGGGGGTGATTTCTCACTTTCTGTCTCTCTGTCTCTGTCTTTCTGGCAAGTACACGTGCTCTATAGCAAAAACCTCTTCACCGCCACCCCCCCCAAAAAAATATCTCACTATCTTGGCATATGATTTTCCAAAAAACACCAATTTTTTTCCTCATGTATTGTCTCAAAGGATCTTCCTTATTCTCCATATATTCCCAAGCCCCACTTCAAAAGCAAACCTTAAATCTGGAGCCCAGCCTCGTGCTGGAGAAGATCTGGAGGTAAACCCAGCCTAGACCTGCCTGTGGTCCTCGGTCAGGCCCAGTGCCCTGTGAAGGCATTCTAAAGGCAGCCTCTTCTTGGCAGAACTGGCTGAATGGAGCAATCCTGTTTGATCTTCCACTGCTTAGCCAGCCCCCAGGAAAGGAGGTGGATGAGGGTGGGGATGAGAGGATTTAAGACTTGCCTAGGTAGGGAACCAGCAGTTAGCGTAATGGCTATGTCGCTGGACTCCCACGTAGTCGACCGTGGTTCGCATCCCGGACCCGGTGGCTTAAAACTCACGCTGGGCGCACGTGCGTGCATGCCCAAGATCCTAAGAGGAGAATGGAGGAGAAGGGATTGCGGCGTGACCATCCCCCCTGGGGGGTGATTTCTTGCTTTCTGTCTCTCTCTGTCTCTCTCTGTCTGGCTGGCGAGCGCACGCGCCCTATAGCAAAAACCTCTCCAAAAAAAAGACTTGCCTAGGTCTAGCATTCTGCTGTCATTCCTGATCTCAGTTCCTAGCTAGTTACTTGACAAAAAGCAAGATCTTAGGTTGATGAAAGGACTTAAATGCAGAGAAGCACTGTGGTCAAAGAGGTTTTATATCAATAAAGACTTCACAGAGCCCGAAGTAGTGGACTTTCTATACCTAGTCATGAATCAGGCGATGTAATGTAATATATTTGTCAGTTCTGCATTTATGGATTCAACCAATCATAGATAGAAAAAAATTTTTTAAGTTCCAGGGGGCTGGTAGGAGGCACAGGGATTAAGGCGCTGGACTCCCACATGGCTGATCACAGTTCAAGTCCCAGACCTGGTGTCTTGCTTTCTCACTTTCCTTCTCTCTCTAATGATAATGAATAAAACAATTCTTTAAAAAGAATTCCTGAAAATTTCAAAAAGTAGAATTTAAATTTCCACATGCTGAATCCACACAAATAAAGTGATGTATAGAAACTGTAATGGGTGTTATGAGTAATTGGGAAATGATTCAAAGAAGGTGGGAGAGGGTACATATGCCATATTTGAATACTAAGCCATTTTATGTGAGGGACTTGAGATCAGCAGATTTTTTTTTTAAGGGAGGTATTTGCTATAGGGCACGTGCACTCACCAGAGAGACAGACAGAGACAGACATTGAGAAATCACCCCCCCACCCCCACGCCGGGTTGGCCACATCACAATTCTTTTTCTTCCAGTCTCCCCTTAGGATTCTGGGCATGCATGCACCATGTGCCTGGCATGAGTTTCAAGTCACCGGGTCTGGGACTCAAACCATGGTCAGCCATGTGGGAGTCCGGAGACATAACTGCTATTCTATCTGCTAGTCCTAAGATCTGCAGATTTTGATACCCATGGGTAGGGGGCTATGTCCTGGAACCAATCCCCATGAATACTGAGGCACTGTACTTTTGTTTTCTACTTCTGATGCCTAGGTGGCTGAAATTGGGAGAAATAATTTTTTCTATGTTCTTTCGAAAGCAAATCACAATGTGTCTTTTCCTTGGTAGGAAGGGCTTTGTAAATGAAATATTACTAGTTAGAAAAACAGAAACAAGAGAAAATGCTATGGAGCCACATAAAATAGGTTTATGGGAGTCCTAGCCAGAGTATTTAGGTAAGGGAAAGAAAGGCAGGGCTTCCAAAAGGAAAAGGAGGCAGTCAAACTGTCCCTGCTTGCAGAAGACATAATCTTACATATAGAAAAATCTAAAGACTCCACACCAGAAAACTGTCAGAACTGGTAAATAAATTCAGTACAGTTGCAGGATACGAAATCAACACAGAAAAAAACAGTAGTGTTTCTACTTACCAATAAACTAGCTGAAAAAGAAATCAAGAAAACAATCTCATTTACAATAGCTGCAAACACCCCCCAAAAACAAACAAACAAAAGAGAAAACCCTAGAAATAAATTTTACCAAGGAGGCAAAAGATCTCTACAACAAAAACTATAAACACTGCTGACATACAAAATTTAAGAAGACACACACACACAAAAAGACATCCCATGTTTATGAAGTGGAAGAATCAATACTGTTACAT